TTCTTCTTACGTCACTATCACGTGCTGAGATCTGTAGAGGAGGTGCGACTTGAAAACCTGCTCCTGCAGAGTGTCATAAGGTAAGGTATCTCAGGATGACTCGAGATAATGATGAGGGGTAGAGACGGCTGACAACACCAGACCAGTAAGGATACCCTCCTTGCCGATTGCGCAAGTTTGTCGACGCAAGGGCCAATTTCACATGCAAACCCGATCCAAGCCAGGAAATTAGGTCATGGGGAGCATCCTTTCCTGAGAAAGAGGAGGACGCAGGATCTATTCTCTAGCAGCGTGGTGCCTACTGTGCTCCGAGTCATTCGGCCCATCATTGTCCAACAGACCCTCCTCGGCCTCACAACTTATGTCCAGTATGCTTGACAGCCTGCTGATAAGTCTGCGTCGCCTCGCAGTCCTTCAACCACTGGTTGATCTTGGGCCACTCCTTGCCCTTGGTCCCCAGCTCGCGCGCGAGGATGAAAGCAGCCGAGAAGTGCATCATGATATCCGCCGCCGTGACTTTATCTCCGAACAGGAATTTCCCGCTGCTGTTGCCGAGTTCGGATTCCAGGTGATCCAGGTCTTTAATCACGTTCTTGCTCAGCCCTTCGACGGTGGTTTCCACGCTGCCGTCTTTCTGGAACCACTTCGCGTAGAGGACCGCGAGGCCGTGGAGCATGAACGTCGCTTCGGATGCGTGGACCCATTGGAGGACTTTGTAGCGGGTGGGGTCGCCTGGGGCGGGCAGGAGGCGATGCTCGGGATCGTACTTGTCGCAGAGGTATCTTGATCCCTTTATCAGCATACAGCCATCCTCTCGCTGCCTTCTATTTCAGGGCGTTCCTTACTCGGTAATATTTCCGCTCTCATAGACCATCTCATTCCCATCTTCCAGCGTCGGGAACTTCCCTAGCCCTCCAGCTTCCTTCTTGAACTGCGGTGGTGCAACGCCATTCTCGCGGTTCGCAAACTTGACTTCGTACGGAAGACCGAGTTCATCCAGTTGCCAGGCTGTACGGATACATCTGGAGGCTTGAAGGAAATGAAGCTTGATCTTGCTGCCGGACATTGTGTAGTCGATTTCTCCAGATCACGCCGTGTCGAATGGAAAGAGAGGGAGAGGAATGCTCGAGAAAGCTTTTGGCTTCTTTCTCGACAGAGTTGCTCTGCTGCAATGGTAAGGTAGGTATAAGATCTGGACCATGACGTTGACCCTCTCAGGTGGGGCAGCAGGAGCTCCTCGATAACCGCGGAACCGACTCAGTGACAAATGTCAAGCAATTTCCAGCATGGGACGCTTCATGGCTTGGAGTGAGAGAAATGGTGTTGCCAGTTGCTTTGATGGGTTCGTCCCTTCCATTGAGACTGATAGCGTTCGATGTTGTGACTCTTGTGAAGAAGGGTCCTTCACCATTCCATGGTCAGCGAATGATCACAAATACCGGACAAGAACTGATATAGACATCGAATCTTGATGAACATACACAGACGCCCGTTGTTCTGAAGACAAAATCGTGATACCGTCGATGAAAACGTTGTCAATGGAAGGAAAACGACAACTACACGAAGTCGAAGAGACTGCACCTTCCTTGACAGTACGAACTCTACAATTCTATTCTCAATTCTACGCCAAGGTATCTTGTACAGCATGAGGAGAACAAGGAGGAGTGAAGAGAAATCACGACGATCCAGTCTCAATCGATCAGGATTCGTCCTCGCCAATGCACAGTGTGCAGAGTATACAGACCTCTTTCGACTTCACTTCGCCACAAACAACCCAGGAACGGACCATACTTGCTCCTCCTGCAGGAGATGGAAGGACAGCGACTGATGCCATGGATTGATTCGTAGATTCTTGATACGCGAAGACACCCAAGCTCTTGCAGTCGCCCCCGTCGTCGATAGCGACGTAGACGAAAGCTGGACGAATTTCGAAGGCGGCGAAGTTGTCGACAGTGATGAGTAATGACTATTGCGACAGAAGGACTTCTTAGTGACACGCTGACGACCATGTTCTTGTGGCATGGGTGCTGACCTGATCTTGCCAACTCCTCTGATTCCGTATGAGGGAGAAGCGTCAGATTCAAGTGCGAAAAGGTGATGGATCAGAATAGAGACGAGAGCCGGCAACGGAGTGATTGAGAGATAGCGTGCATTTTCGTAGATATTAGGTATCAAGATAGATCGTGTCATTCCGTCGCATCGTTCCACTTACACATAACCCTTCAGCAATCTATGCTGGGTGGTCCTTGCGCTTGCCCTTCTCGGAAGCGCCCTTGACGAAGCGGCTCAGATCGCCGACGGGAAGCTGGAATGGGAAATCCAAAGACGCCAGCAAGATGGCGAAGAAGATGTACCATCCACACATGTCCGTCACGAACGTCAACGCGCCAGCAGCCAAGACCTCCGTCTTCGCCAGAGCGGCGTTGCCCTCGTAGTCCTCAGCCAAGTGCCAGAAAGCAGCCGCGAGGAGGGCGAAAGCTGGCACAAGGGTCATGAAGATGAGGAAGAAGACCACGTTGGTTCGCAGGGCGAGGATCATGTACAAAAAGCACAGGACACCCATGAAGACCAGGAAGAAGGCGAACGAAGCGTTGAATCCGGTGGTTTGGAGACCACTGGCGACGGGGTCGGTGGGCGCGGCGATGTAGGCTCCGTAGCTATTGTAGAAAGGCTGGAGAGTCGCGGCGTAGGACAGCCAGAAGGCACCGAAAGTTCCGAAGACGACAAAGGGGAAGGTATTACCGAGGATGAACTAGAACATCACAAGTCAGCTCAATAATCACGAGAAGATGGGCACGGTGAACTGTCTCACCTCTCCGAGCGAGCCCAGTGTCATCAAGAGGCCACCAAAGAAGAAGAATACACCGGTAGAAGCAGCTCCATTGCCACCAGCACCTCGCCAGCCCATAAGATCGCAAGAAAGCGGAGTCAGGGACAGCAAGAATCCAGCGAGAGCCAATGGAGTCGGGTTACCAAAGGTCTTTCGGAGATCACCGGCGACTTTGTTCTGAGGCGAGAGGTAGATCTTCTCGAAGAGCTCGGGAGAGACCGAGATGGAGCCTGTCATCAGAGTCGGGTTAGAATTGTTCGAACTCGGGCAATTGAGCAAAACCCATCTCCACATTATGCGATGCAATGAAGCTCTCCCTCGAGAGCGCCGCGCGAGTCCTCGTCCTCAGCAGGGTGAGAGAGCTCGGAGGATGCGCAGCTCTGGGGGAGAGCTTCACTGATAGTGGCTTCCTGGAGTGTGCTGCATGCGACGACTACTTACCAGATGTTTGGATCCTCCTCAACGCGGAGTCTGGGTCCATGTTACCGTCGAGATGGTTGCCATTCTCAAAGTCCTTCTCAAGAGTTTGGTTGCTCATCGTGGCGATGCGTGCAATGTAGTACTGCTGGTGTAGGAGACACGGCTGTGGACCCAGTTAGGACGATGGTGCAACAGACAGCCTAACAAGCAGACGAGGAGCGAAACAGCCTGGGAGACATGGGGGGGAATCAAGCCATCTTATTTGATTGCGAGCGTGAGCACGGCTCCGCACCGACAAGCGGAACCTAGACCAATCTGTTCGCTGTTGGCGTTGGCGGAAAACCAAGACGGCCTCCTCCTAAACAGCCCGCTCGCCATACTGACAGCTCTCGTAACGCGTACGATCAACGTCGCGTGCAGCTGTCCGGGGGACAAGCTACCCAGAACAAGCATAGCCCTCTCCGCAGCCGTTCGCACGGTTGGAGGGCTCCTGCCGTTCCTGGCTCGAGCTTGGAGCCCAGGCACCTATTAAGATCCGATGGATGGATGGCTGGGAGCAAATCACGGTACGAAGGTGCCGATTGTTGGCGTCGTCGGCGTGACTCGTTCTCACACGGAATCACTGTTTCTCGTGGAGAACGGTAGGCGAGGCATGATTCCCGTCTCCCATCATCATTGGAGCGCACAACGGCCATGTCTAGGTGGATGGCGAGGCCGGACTGCTGGAGAAAGAGCTCTGCCGTGCAAGGCAACGACAGAGTGCACAACATGGAATTCCCTACGGACGGGCGGAAGGCTGGCGAGGCGTGTGAGGTGGGCGTGTCTCACTAGATCGCTACCGGTTTAGCTCTGCACGCCGATCTTTGCGGGGGAGGAGTCTGGGGCAAGGCAGTCTCCACACTCCACAGTACGCCAAGACGCTAGTGCTTGGGAGGCCTGGTCCATGGGGTTGATCGCACTCCTCGTCCGCGATTTCGGGTCTGATGAATCGTTCCTCCGCGAAGGAGTCGGTTGCCGTTCCACGTTCTTCTCGCCTGCGACTGCGCCGCAGTTCACTCGCTCCGCCCATATCTCGTCCATGTGCAGCTCGACGTGCGAGGCACGTGCAGCTCTCGGCAACGCAACCCTCCGAACACCGCCAGACGAGAGCATGCAGACTACTCGTCATCGTTTCTAGTCAATAGCGGGCCGATGGCCGGCGAAAAGGACTTGATTGGCTCATTCAGCTGAACGCACGAGACGGCTCCCCGGAAATGAAGGCGTCATTTCATCGCTAGCCATATGAGGGCAAACTTCTGAGCCTCTGAAAGTCTGAATGGTCTCCAGATTCACCGTTTCAGACCGATCGAAGACAATTCCCCGCAGTTTTGTTTTGAGTTGCAGTCTTGGGGTAAAGACCCTGCACAGTGTTATTAGGAGGAAGCAGCCGGCCCAGCCATGCCTACCATAGAACATCCTCAGAACGACTCGAGCATTCTGCACCATCACATGTCTTCGACTGGCCTTCGGTCGTGTGGTCTTGTTGACGCGGCAAGCGCGGCGAGTCGGTAGCTTAGCCGCGCTGTCATTCGGAATTGGGACCGGTGGATGGAAGGCGTTATATCTCGCAAGCCACACGCTCGGTACGTATTGCGAACAGAGGAGCATGAGGTGCTGCGGTGCTGCGGTCGCATAGGATCGGAAGCCGAAATTTGTCTTTTAACTTTCGGTGCAAGCCGTTGTCTCTCCTTGCGAGATGATAGCACGCCTTTGCGAAGTGTGAAGGCGTGCACTTCTATTATCTCACTTGATCACTCTACCAACTCGTAGTCGAATCACAGATAGGTCCTGCCGCGGATTCATCTCAAAGTGCCTCGACGCCATCCCGTGGAGCGAGTAGACGTCCTAGCCAGGTTCGAAGCTCCACGAGAGTTCATGCAAAGCTCAGAAGTAGGACGGCATGATCATCGCTCGCGAGGCTCAAGGTGGACTCCTCGCATAATTTAAGCAGCGGCTGGACGGAGTGAAGTCTGCTCTGCCAGATTGGCAGGGCAAGGGTCGCGACCCAGGTCTGCATGAGCAAGGATAGGTGGCAGAGATTCCTGACCAATGTTTCAGGAGGTACTGTGTACCGCACAATACACGTGTGAAGGTCAGGCTTCACAATGAGCTTGTTGTGAGGCTCACAAACAGAAAGGTCCTCTTGCAAGTCGAAAGCATTGCTTAAGGCTGTTAGGTGCACGTAATGGCGATTCAGGCCCATGGCCCAATAGCTTCGTGCTACAGAGTCTGCCAATTATTCTTCTTGGGCTTCTTGGTAAATGGTCGGGTCGCATCATTAGTCGTCTGGCGACAGCTGAGCCTCACTTTCATGTCGTCAATTTGCGCACAACTTCGGCTTGCTTCGCTGCCAAAGCCTTTGCAACGGCGTCCACATCAAGCTCACGCATTTCATCTCCCAGTCTCTGCGTCGAATTTTCAAGGACGTCCAATGCAGACTGTAAGGTGCCATCAACGAGCTGGGTCTCGCTGTATTTCGATTGAGCGTAGACTGCGCTCAGCACGTCTTCGCTATCCTGGTATACCTTGGCCAGTGAGCGTCCTGTCCCTTCAGTCATGCTGAGCTCAGTGTTCTTGTCGAGCTTGGCGAGGCGCTCTCTGCGGTCCCGGAGGGTGGATTGCAACATTTCAGCAAGCCTCGAGGTGTTGTCGCTGTCCGAAACGCGGATTTCATGCTGTCTAAAGAATTGCATTGCAGGATCTTGGCCTTCAGAAAGATTGGCTTGCACCAGCCGTAATGGTTTCAGACCCTTCGAGGTGGTCCTTTCTATCGTGGGCGAGCCGGTGCGGTCGATTGCGCCAGACTTGACATCTGGCTCCGTGAGTGTGTCGTCCAAAGTGCTGGAGATCGCCCGTAAGGCAGCACCAAGCGCGTGCATATGCTGGACATGGTCGTTGAGAGCATCAAGCCTCGAAGTGAGGTAGACCAGGGCAGAGACTGTGTACTCGGTCCACTTAGCCTTTTGTAATTGCGAATCGGCTCGCGAGGAGATTGCCCCTTGCTTGAGCGGCTTGCGGTACTGATGGTCAACCACTATTGCAACCAGACCATCCACTTCGCCTCCTAATTCTTCGAGCTCGGCACGAAGATTATCACGCTGCTTCTTCTGCTGGCCGGAGAGGTCCTCACTCGATCCATTGGCAAGATCATCACCAACGCCTGTATTCTCTTGGTACACTCTGTCCAGCCGAGCGCGGATTTCCTTGACAAAAAGTTTGTTCAACGTGGAGCATAGTTGCTCAACCTGCGTCGCGTCTTCGCCGTCCGTCATCGACTCAGAGAGCTTGGGCAGTAACTTCTGCAACCCATCGAGTAGCCTGTCGTCCTTCTCCAGAATCCGGTCAATCTGCGAAGGTATTCCTGTGGTGGCTACGTCGGTCTGCTTGATGGAGGATCTAAGACGGCCAATCGTGGCCTGCACCAGATCATCAATATCGAAGTCCAGTTGCGCCTTCTCGCGTGCAAATTTCTTCTGTCGGCTACCTTTGGCGTCAGTGCTGGCTTGGCTGCTCGATGCGTTCCGAGTTTGAATCTCCCGAAGTGCTCTCTTCTGAGATTCAAGTATCTGGCACTGCTTCTCAATAGCACTGGTACTGTTTTCCAGAGAGGTAATGGCCGCTTCAATCTCGGCATCGGACAGGGGCCTTCCCGGGGCATCTTCACAATTTGGCACTTCAATGCCTCGCTTCTCATAGCTGTCAGGAAGTCAGCATACACAACAATGCCCCAATACGAAATGATCTCACAATTCCAGTTCGTCTTTCGTCAACAGTGTAGAGGGTCGCAGGTACTGTTGAACCCATTTTGATGCATCACGGCGGGTCTGCGTGCCTTCAAATGCCCAGGCCACATCATCTTCGTTCAGAGGTATGTCGCGGTTCCGAAGTGCACGTATCAGCGCCTCCATGTCGAGATGTCCTATGACATTTTATTATTTAGGAAAGGGAGAAGAGGGAGAAGCGGAGTGCGAAAGCAATGTTTACATTGGGCTCCAAATTTGTGAAGTGGTAACCGGAAGCCAGTTGCCGCGGATGGCCCCACTTGGTGTCCTCCCTGTGACCTTTCCCTGCTAACCACATCGACTTCAACTCATCTCTGCCCAGCATTCACACGATCGAGCATCATCTGCAAACATGCTTGAAAGCTTTACGAGATCGTTGCTAGCGAAGCAAGTCCCACCGCTCTTCGTCTTCCAAGCCGGAGCAAGACCCGCCCTCCTCAATTACGCGACCACCCAGGCGAGAACAGCAACAACCTCCTCCCTCCCAAATCAATCCGCTGCCTCACGCAGAAGGTCCGTAACAGTAATCAACGACACCGGTGCGGTACCATGGACAAAGCTCCGCGCAGGAGAGAAAGCCGCCCGAGCAACACAACAGACATTCAATTTTGGAATCGTCGCGCTTGGCGTGGTCTTGACTGGAGGAGTAGCAACCGTTTTATGGCTCGAAGTCTTCTCCACAGACAGCAAGACGGCGTTGTTTAATAAAGCGGCAGACCGAGTAAGGGGTGATCCGAAATGTCGCGAATTATTGGCTGGAGATGGAATGCATAGTAAGAGGGATATCAAAGCTTATGGCGAGCCGAGTTGGAGTCGGTGGGCGAGGAATAGGACAATTGCGAGTAGGGTTGAGAAAGACAGGGCGGGAATTGAGCACTTGCATATGCACTTCTATGTTGAAGGGCCGGCAGCGAAGGGCACGGTGAATTTGCAGATGAGCAGGAGGCCAGGGGAAGATTTTGAGTATGAGATGCTTGCGCTGGACGTCCCAGGGCAGCAGAGGTATTATTTGGAAGATGCGAATGCGAGGAAATTGGATCAAAGGAAGTCTGGGAGGATGTTTGGAGTGAGATGGAATTAGGAAAGGACCTTTAGATCCAGCCTTTTACTCTCATGCAGCGCTCTAGCTAGCAGCGCCGGAAGTCTCGCGCTCGGACTCGTTGGCCGGAAGTGCGATGGTCATAGCAGTACACACCATTTCAATCCCGCCACCATTTTCCACTGTGGTCATTGCCGAACGGCGACGCCCATAGCACTGGCTCGACATCCGTTTCTTTCTTACACCACGGGCAAGTAGGCATCGTTTGATCTGAGCAGAACTCTACGACGCAGCCCTCACACGCGTAAACACGATTCACATACTTGAATCTGAGCGCCCTCGCAATGTCGACCGCAAAGCCTGGGATGCTTTCGATCGCGCCTTCGATGGCGTCCGAACCACTGTCACCGATAAGGACGTCTTCTGACCCAGCGACCCACTCGACCAAATCGATGCATCTCTCCTTCGTTACAGCTCGAGCCTCGTATGCAAGTTTGATTGCGTAGGCAACGTCTTCGGGCTGAGGGTTCTGATCCTCCACAACGTCCTTTCTTCGCTCCACGGGAATGGTGTCTCCTGTCTTGAGCCTCTTCTTGACTCCATTCCCCCAGGAGCGGTGGGGCCGCATTGCATGCTCGAACTTGTCTGTAGCGAGGCTTTTCAGGGGCTGAATGTCGTACTTGTCGGCCAGAATGAACATCGATACGTGGAAGCTGATCGGACCGCCATCCTGGACGTTCGTAGTGTAATCAAAAGCATACAGGTACTCGACCAAAGCCGCCACAGCCGTCTCTGGATCTGCGGACAGGTCGATGGTCGCCTTCTTCGCCTCCTACCCTGGAGTCAGCCGCGTGTTCGGAGTAACCCAATTTGCAATGCAGTACCTCGAAGTTCCCAGCGCAGGCTTTGGTCAGCACGGCCGAGTGCACTACCAGCGCAGTGCGATGGACCTTCCATGTGCGGTCGCCGTGTGTGATGGTGAAGTCTTTGAGACGTTCGAGCCTCTCTAATTCGGCGAATCGTTCAGCGACCGCGACAAGTGACTCCTGATGCATTTTCGGAGTCCACACGCTGTGTGCCTGAGGAGGACTTATGCTTGGTGTGTGGTTGCTGCAAATTCCGACGCGAAGTGTGAAGTCGAGGTAAGAAAGGAGAAAGACGAACGGCGAAGTTCTCGAGCAAACGGCGCATGTGAGGCTCGCTAAGCTTGCCGCACATGCTAGCGCCAAGCTGACTCATGCATTCGAAGAAGGCGTCTTCTACCCATACCCAAGCAATACATCACTTCGAAAGCCAGTAATCAAAATAAGCCACCAACCCTCTCAACGACTGCTCCTTCGCCCATCCTAACAACCAAGTCAGCACCTCAGTACCGTACTTCGCAAAAGAAAATCACTCACCTTGATAGGCATTCTTCAGATCTGCTCTCAACGCAAACCCATGCTCCACTCCATGGAAAAGCTGCAAATGGTACTCCTTCCCATCTTCAATCATCATGTCCACCGCTTTATTTCTACTCTCCGTACCGAAAGTATGGTCAATCTCCGCGCAGCTCAGATGCAGAGGAGCCTTCAAGTTACGGAAATGATGCTCCTTCAAGAAAGCGGGATGAGCAAAGCCGCCGACTTGACAGGTCCCATCCGCTAGGGAGTTGCACACGTAAGGAGCGCCGAAACAGTATCTACCAATCCCAGTCAATGAAAGACACAGGTATAAGTGGAGTGTATGGAGAGCTTACCCAACACAAGCATACTTCATGCCCGGCTTTCCGTACATCTTCTTCACCTCGGCCGTCCATTCCGGGACTTTCTTCTCCGCGAAGTCGGCATACTTGTTCTTCCAGGCTTCAAAGTCAAAATCGGGCTTGCTCTCCTTCGCGTTCAAGCGATGCAGGAAGATGGGGTCCTGCAAAGTAAGTCAGCTTACGTCTTGCATTCGAAGAAGCGGATGGTACGTTGTCAAAGTAATCCAAGCCAAGAGTCAGATATCCGGCATCGGCAAACTCATCCATCACCAACTGAGCGTTGGTGAACATGCCGTACACATCTGCGTAGTAGAACAAGATGTTGCCATTGCTCCTGCCTGGCTGAGGAGGGGTGATGTAGGTGTCAACTCCCGCAATGGTCTCGAATTTCCCGCGAGGGTGGCCTTCGTGTAGGTGGCCTTTCAAGCAGCAATCTCCGGAAGGCCTAGGTCGTTGATCAGTATGATGCCTCCATCATTCGCCTCGACCTGTGTATACTTTGCCAGCCAAGGGACATCAACGTGTCGCTTCTCGTTGGAGCTCATTGTGAATGTTGTCCAATATTTTCAATGCGATGTATCGTGCGAATTGGCAAGACTTATTGGATTGTGCTGTTATTGTACTGGATATACTGCAGCTCGAGCTCTGGATATCGGTGACGTCGTTGGCTTGCTTGCCGTCGGTACCCAAGTGGCCGGAGCATGAGAGTTTGCCACGCCTGCTTCCCCTCTTGCTCTGCAGACAAGCCATCATCAAACGCTGGCCAGCAAAGCAGACGAGTGCAACTGGGTAGCCTCAAACCCTGACAGGTTCAAACGTCTCATTCTTTTGCGATGTCGAGGTGATGTTGCTTTCGCTCAGTCTCGCCTTGACATTTTAGAGGCGGGCAGGATTCTCGGCCTCGCGTCCGAAGTCGTAGCCTGTAACATCAAAAGCAATCTCTTGACCTCTCGCGAAGGCGGTGCAAGCTCGACAGAATGATCATTTTGCAAGCTCCTTGCATCTTTGTCGATCCGGACCAGAGCCTCACGAGACTTGGTGGAGTCTTGATGATTCTCTTGAGCAATGGCGTTGAACATTCTTCCTCCATCCTAACGATTTGATCACTCAGCACGTCGCATGATTCTTTATGCTCGGTCTTGCGTAGGTCATCTTTGCATTTGACCCCGCAATATTCACATCGAGGTCGTTTATGTTTCTTCTGCGATCTGGTCGGTAGTATAGTAGACCCGGAGTTGTCTGGCTCGTTCGTCTTCGCATCCAAACCCAACTTCAATTCATGTCTACCGCTTTGCTGTGAGTCATCTGCCCTACCCAGTCGATCTCTCTCATAGGCTTCGGAAGTATGATGGGCCTTCCCGCGCTTGAGCTGGCGGTCTTGGTGCCGCTCCTCTAGCTCCAACATCCACTGCTCCTGGCTGTTGCGACGCCTCTTGGTGTATGGCTTCCGAGGAGGCTTGCAATCTGGGTTTGCATCGATATGCCTCTTCACTTCAACCTTGTAAGAGAAAAACTCTCCGCACATTCTACACATGTGGGGATACATTCGTCGATTACTAGGGTCGGCTTTGCGGTCTCTGCGCCATTTTGCCGCCCTCTCCTTCCATCTTGCTTTCCTTTGGGGTGTAAGCAACGTCTGCTCGTAAGCCCAATCTTTCTCCGTTTTTTGCAGGCTCGGACAAGGTCTCCTCCACCTGGCTGAGTTTAACCTGTAATGATGCTGCGCAATTTCCTTGGTTGGGAAGGCCACTTTGCAGCGAGAACACCCGAATGAGGCTGGCAAGATGTCATCACTGGTCTTGAAGCTATCCTCTTCAGGCGTTTCCACCCCCAAGTCCGAGAATTCATCGTCAATTGGTGAAATTGCGTCCATTATTGCGCCTGAGAAAGTAAATCGCGTGTTTGTTGGACTATGAGCGCATCTGACCGTAATGTCAATCCCGCAGATTTTGGAGTATTGGAATGAGACGAGCGAAAGAGAGGGAGTCGAGCAACAAGAAGTTTAGGAAAGAGTAGTAGCCCTACGACGCGTATCCCGGACCGCGTTCTATCACGCTAGCCAGGTTGTGGTCGCGTCAGTCACGTGCGCTACACTCCGGAGCTCCTGACCTACCCAGATAGGAGTTTTCCGTCAACTTTCCCGACAAGCGGAGAGTCAACGGAAAACTTGCCCTACGGCCAGTACGTTGGCCGTGTGTTGACGGAAAGTCGTCATGAGCGCCGTTGATAAAGCCACTCCTCGTCCGCCTCTGATCGAGCCAACCAGAAACCTGATCCAGTTTGCGAGATGGCGAAGCTCTATGAGAAAGTAGACCAAGAGCAACTGCAACAGGATGCCGACGACACGCTATTGCATTATGGGACATCATTTCATCCCAGAATCATCACTCACGCTGAGGGCCGAACGATCACCGATAGCTCTGGCCATCGGATGTTGGATTGGACTTCTGGTAAGTGACGGAAGCAAGTCAGCATTTGGACAAACAAATTGGTTAACACATTCAGGACAAATGTCGACACTGATCGGCCACGGCCACCCCGAAATCGTCGAAACAGTCCATAGCCATGCCAAAAACCTCGATCATCTGTTCTCAGGAATGCTAAGTCCTCCCGTAATCTCCCTGGCAAAGCGTCTCACATCTCTTACGCCTCCCGGACTGGACAAAGCGTTCTTCCTCAGCACTGGCGGCGAGAGCAACGAAGCTGCAATCAGGTTGGCCAAATTCTACACTGGCAAGTTTGAAATCGTTGGGCTTGCGTCGAGCTGGCATGGCGTTACGTCCGGAGCCATTGCAGCGCAGTATCATGCCGGCAGAGCAGGCTACGGACCCAACATGCCCGGAAACCTAGCCTTGCCGACGCCAAACTCGTACAGGTCGATCTTCAGGCATCCCGACGGCTCGTACGATTGGCGCACTGAGCTTGACTACGGCTTCAGTCTGGTTGATCGACAGTCCTGCGGATCACTAGCCGCACTGATTCTGGAGCCCATACTCTCTTCCGGCGGCATGTTGGTCCTTCCACCCGGGTATCTCAAAGCTGTCAAGGAGCATTGCGAGCGTCGCGGAATGCTTCTCATCATCGACGAGGCGCAGACTGGTATTGGCAGAGCTGGAGACATGTTTGCCTTCCAACATTTCGCAGAAGATGAAGATGTTGTTCCCGACATTTTGACTTTGAGCAAGACTCGTAAGCCAGCCCGTGCCTACAGCAAACATATCTGCTGATCCAAGTCTCTTAGTCGGTAATGGGTTACCGCTGAGCGCAGTCGTTACCAGTAATCGGATAGCCCAATTCGCCAAGGAGAACCAGTTCTTGTTCTACACGGTCAGTCCAAGTCTTATCTACAGGCAGGATAAATGCTGATCTATTGTAGACGCACATCAACGACCCGCTGCCCGCAAGCGTCGGTGATAAAGTCCTAGAAATCGTCGTCCGCGACGGCCTAGTCGTGAAGGCCAAGAACTTTGGCGAGAAGTTCCAATCACGCCTCCAAGCGCTTCAGTCACAATACGAATGCATCGGTGATGTCCGCGGTCGTGGTTTGATGGCTGGCGTGGAAATTGTTGCGGATCGCAACACGAAGACGGGCGATTCTGAACTCGGCGCTGCGATTGCTACGAAGATGACAGACCTGGGGCTCTGGGCCCAGCTGAGCACAATGCCGTCCTTTGGTGGTGTATTCCGACTTGCTCCGCCGCTCACCACAACGGACGAAGAGTTGGAGGCGGGCTTGAGAATCATTGAAGAGGCTTTTGCAACGACGCCCGGAACGAGGCCGTTGCACGCTGCTTGCGAGCCGTCTGCCGCATCATTGACCCAGGTCGAGGCCAGACTGTGAAAGGCAGGGGTCCTCTCCTTGGACAACTCGACGAGAGGGATGCTGAATGGACGTTGAAGAGGATGGCGGCTGACTTGACGTTGCATTGCTTCTCTGACTGCCGAACTTCTATGTAAGCTCCTTCCGGATACTCTCAACACATCTAAGCATGATCCACACGAGGTGGTCCCACCCCAATGTCAATTGTATACACATATAGCGGCTTCTGAATCTTGCTCGTCATGTTCTCTTGGAAAGGAGTTCCGCGGTTCAATTGCGCAGCAGGCATCCACAACTTCTGATCCGAGCTGACCCACATCGCGTCGACCCAGAGCAACCTTTCGTCCCGCAGGAACTCATGCCATGTTCCATTCGGGTGGATCCTGATGATAGCCTGTCTGTCGGTATCGGAGCAGTAGATGGCCCCATTGGCATCGATGGCTGTGCCACCAGTGGATGGAGTCAACGCAAAAGGCGAGACAGATTGAGGAAGGGCGGATGCATGCGACTCATTGAAATACACCTTGTCCAAGTCCGCGGTGGGTATGCGTGAGAGCCCGCCATTTGCAGGCTGGAAGTAGTAGTATTTCAAGTCCGGCGATACTTCATGCTGGTCTGCGTAGACGTATTGGACCGGAAAGCTCGGGTCAGCCGAATTGTGGAGCAGTTGTCCTTCCGCGGAGGCTGGGAAGGGTGCGCCTCTTGTCGAGGAGTCGTTTTCCAGAACCCGAATCGCTCGTCCAGTGGACAGTTCTAGAATGATGATGGCGGGCACTCCAGCGTCGGTGATATAGGCAAGTCCTGAGGAAGGATTGAAACGAATGTCGTCAATCTGACTATTTTCTAGGGTAACACTGCCCAACGGAAAGACCCTCTGAACGTCGTTCGTCGTCAAGTTGACAGTAACCAGTTTCGGTCCATCAGGAAGGATGACAGGTGCTCCAAAGTTAGGCGACCCGACGTCCACAAGCCAGAGTAGTCCATCAGGTCCAATGCGCTGGCTGTTGGTACGGATCAGGTGGGTTGAGGGATCTTTGCCTTCGGCGTACGAATTCCATTCAAGATTCGGATATGGCGCGTAGGTGCCATCGGACAGATGTTCTGCCACCTGGATTCCCTTTGAGCCGTCGACACGAGCGAAAAGAACGAAGAGGCGGCCGGAGGGAGTGGTGCTGATCCCGTTGACCGGCGTTTGGAGAGTAAGAGCAGTCTTAATGCGAGAGTCCTGGATCGCTACTGCCACGGAGGCGATTGCGAGGAGTGAATTCCACAGCATGTTGCTCGTGAGCATTGTCGTGAAGTTGGCAATAGAAACGATGAGGTTCGCAAGTGCGGAGGGCGAAGGTAGAGTTGGAGTGCCACGTCAAGCAAGCTGTTTTACCGCAACACGGCCATGATGTAGTGGCCGCGGCGTCGCCGGCAGCATGTGAGGCTTCCCTTGCTGATCCCTAGAGCATCGAATCATTGGTATTGCGTTCAGAAGAGTGGACGCGAAAGTTTCGAGGAGCATAAAGCATCCCTGTCGAGCTGGTGCTCAAGTATGTAGCACGACGTTGACTTAACTGGTAGAAGCCGCGGACAGAAAGTAAGCCGCTATTCGTTCGTGGAATCCGTACAGAGTGATTGAGCGGTGAGCCAGATGCTAGAGAATGATTCGCAAGGCGTATATATATGTTACGAATATACGTATACGCCGGCTACAGGGTCTTGCAAACGTCGGGTAATGAGGCAGTACGAAACATATTTCAACAGACGTGGTCTCGCGGAGTTACGTTTATCCGATAGCAGATTCATTGAGCCCGTGCATGGAATATTGATTGACGCCAAGGCTGCTTCCGCCGTGTCCCGACCTCACTCGATGCTTCCATTTCCATCAACCTTCACCGATATGTCTGGTTCAAGTCCGGCCGTGGGAATCTGTCACACCCACGCGATAGAGGATTCGAGCGTCGAAATCTTGGCGGACACGATCGTTATCTCGGCCAAGTGCTTTACCGAAAATGCGGCGGCAGCCACTTGATCTTCTCCCTCGGAATGCCACCGAGAACACTCCCAGCATAGGAGAGAAGCTCTGCGATGAATCGCAATATAATCTCTACTCCCTCGGAGGCTCGGCCATATCGGTCTCACAGGGTGCCGGCCTGTGACTTGTGTCGATCCAGAAAGATTCGTTGCAATGTCGAAATCAGTGGCCAAGCATGCCGCTTCTGCAGAGACAGAGGTCTAACTTGCGAATACAAGCAGAAACACCCTCGAGATGAAGGGTCTGCACATCATCCCAGGCATCGAAAGTCCAACTCAAGTCCAAATGCTTCCGAAGTCAGTCAGCAAACCAAGGGCGGCCTTGCTCAATTTCCCAGCGTGTCCGGCACGTCGCCAACGGAGTCCTCCTTGATGCTGAATCCTCCTATGGCTGAAGATATCGAAGTGGTTGAGCACTATCTCAAATCGAATGGCTCGCAATCCGCCACGAGCGGACGACCGTACAGTCTGATTTCCAACACCTCTGGGAATTCCATTGTGTATCTGACTGTTCCTCGCCGTCGGAAGGGGCTTACAACAGCTGCTTCGTCTGGGAAGACACAACGGGAAATCATCGAACAGATACTTGGACCTTTCACGAATGATGTCGTCTCGCTGTGCGTTAACATCTTGATAGCGACGACCTCCACTGACATCGCAGCAGATACTTTGAACGGCTCCATCCTTGCTTTCCCATTCTTGATGAAAAAGACTTCCATGAATTATGGCGAAAGGATGCATCTTTGATCCCTTCTGCGCTTGCCTGCGATGTCTATGCTTCTGCTCTTCACTTTTGGCAGACATCACTTAATCTCAAGCACCATCCTCGGCCAGATCTAGCGTTCATCTGGAATCAGGCAGTGGCTGCCATTCAAGAAGACTTTCTCGGCTCCACAATCTCTACTGTACATGCATCGCTTCTTGATCTTGTCGGTCGACCTGTGTTATCCATCACGGGCAACGTCACGACGGTAGGCCGCACGGTAACTCTGGCCCACAGCCTTGGACTACACAGAGACCCTACATCATGGAAAGCCACGCACCATGAAAAGAATGTGCGAATCCGCCTTTGGTGGGGTGTTGTCATCCATGACTACTGGTCTAGCTTGGCGCATGGAACTCCACCTCTCATACATCGCCAAAATTGCGACGTTCCTGTGCCGAGTCTTGCAAGCCTCCTCGACTCAGACTCCATTGACTCGCACAAGAGGTCGGCGGCATCATACTTGCATCTCTGTACGCTTTCTGCGATCTTAGGCGATTTGCTCCCGCATGTCTATGCTCTGAAGCAGGACAACGAGAGCGTCTCGAAAAGCTTACGACGACTTGAATGCCGAGTTGATGACTGGGAGTCATCGCTACCCGAATTCTTGAACCCTGACGATGCCAACGCCTGCGTCAATGGCTCAAGTAATTTACGGTTCTGCTTGCTCTCAGTAAAGCTGCTAATGTGCCGGGTATCTTTCAAGGTGGGCTCGAACCTCAATTCTTCATGCCATCTCAGCTAAACACGTCGCAGGCAGCAGTCGCTGACACAGCGAGCATACTGGCCGAAGTCAGATCTTATCGCCTCGCAATGCTGCGCGAATCTGTCATGAAATTGACAGACTACGTCACAGCGTTGCGTCCTCCCCAACTGGACGAATTTTGGTTGCCCTGGACTGCTCACGCGCTGGTATCTGCGACCACGATCCTTTTAAGATGTTTACTCGAGTCTGCAGATCTTACGACTAAGCGCGAATGTGCAAAAAGATTGCTGAAGCTTAAAAACCGCCTCCAAATCGCCAGAGATGAGTCAAGCTGGGACCTTGCAGATTTTTGCCTTGAGCGCTGCTCGGAACCCATAGGCAAGATCGCAGCAGCCATGGGTCTTGTGGACAGTACTACAAGCTCAAATTCATCTAACATGATACCAGCCATAGAACAACCCGACGAGCTGGACCGAAATCTCGATACTTCGCCCTTTGGGACCGACTTCTACTTTCCTGTGGACTCGTTCGACTATCCTTTTGACGCCTTCTGGGACGCCAATGTATGAATCTGGGAGACCCTTGAAGCAGTCAAATCAATCACGATTGGTGGTAAAGTCCCTCTTCCGGGGGTGGGACACCGTACCAATCAAGCCCCAGTCTGTCCTCGGGATCTGGATCGGGCATCTGGTCTTTCATCTTGTTGTCAGCACACCGTCCTTTTTGCAGTCGAGGACGTCTATACTCACAATAGCCATCGTATCTCCACCATGTACGGCCTTCCCAGACATCTTCGACCGGTAGCACTCCTTCTAGTTTCATCTGGTCCCGAACGCCGACAGCGCCCTCCCAGACTCTGAGCATGTTGCCACCTGCAACTTTCGCCAGCTGCTCGTGTGTCGCTCCACGGTCTAGAATGGCTTGCAGCAACTTTGGATAGCAACTGACATCCTCCAGCCCGGGTATCACACTAGCGATGCCGTCAAAATCAGATCCAAGACCTACATAGTCCCATCCGATTCGCTGTGCAACATAAAAGCTGACCAGGTGGTCAGCAAAGGCAGCAGATCCACAACGATTTTTTCGACTCACAGATGGTCCAGGACCATCTCCATTCTTGCATCCTGTCTTCGAGTGGTGACATGCTCTGGTACGAACGTCACGGCTATCAGGCCTCCATTCACTGGGATCATGTCTATGATCTCATCTGGAACGTTCCGAGGACAATCAAAGACAGATTTGGCGTTGGAGTGTGAGAACATGACAGGTGCTCTGCTGAGCTCCAACGCTTGCTTTGCAGCATCTGGTGACACGTGCGAAATATCGATCAGCATCCCTGTTCAAAATCAGCCGGTTTTGCAATATCGTTTGTTTGCGAGCCCGTACGAACCGAGACGATTCATCTCTTTAATGGCCGATCTGCCCAGCTTGGAGAGCCCACCGTGAACAGGCCCGGTCTTCGAAGTCGAAGAATCTGCAAACGCATTGTTGCAGACATGTGTCAGTGTACACTATGCGAAGCATCAGCTGCCAGCACCAAAACATGAGATGCTCGACCTTACATATCTCACGCCAAGCGTATAGAAAGCTCTAATGATGCCAATACTGTTACCAGCCATGTGTAGACTGAAAGCTGTCAGCTTCAAGTACTGCCCAGGCTTGCAGCACGACGGCGAAGACTGGAAGCACTGACCCTTCGATTCCAATGGAACAAGCGATCTTGCCTCGCGCATACACTCGCTTTACATCTGCCGGTTCGAAGACGAGTTCGAATGTATCTGGATAGCTCTGTACCATTCTCGTGGTCATATCGATCTGCTCGATTGCATCGCGGGCCATATCGCTGTACTCCGGCGTCGAAAAGTTCTCCGCTGATCGCAAGCATGGCACGCATATGCTCCAGAATTGCGCTCCGACTGCACCTTCGCCTGCTCAAGAGCTCAGAAGTTGATCCAAGTGGGCAAATCATCTTTCTTAAAATGCTTACGGAGACGAGGGATATCTGTCATGCCTCTCTGAAACCCTTTCTGAAGGTCAAATTTCGGATTCTCGTGGATCTTGCCATGAAAGCAGGCCCGTCTATCCGAGCAAGCTCAGCTTTCTTCAACTCGTCTGCAGTCTGGACACTCACGGCTGCTGTGGCAGGTCATTGTGCAAGTCGAACAACGGTGTGTTTTGCAACACCTGCTTGACTCTGGGATCTATCTCAGGCAACTTCAAGTGGCCATTTGATTGGGACATAACCACAAAGATTGGTCTCAATGGCGGAACTGCCTTGCTTTGCACGTTTTGTATCAGTTTGCAATTGTCGAACGCTCGTATTCCAGTGACTGAGGCGACATGTTCGGCAGTGATAAGCTGCTGAACCCATGAGCGGCCAAGCTGGCCGTGGCAACCGTTTTCCGACGCGGCAAACAGTTTTCCGCCTAATCTGCTGGCGCTCAACATTTCCTTAGGACGAAAGCCGTCCTATCTGGAAGGTGGTGTCTATTGATAAAACAAGCGATAAATGGTAGATATATACAATCATGGCCGTTGGACGACTTAGCAGCCATCTTACCATTCGAATCGATCAATCATGGCCGTCGCTTGTAGGGACGATGCAAAACATGCTTTCCAGACGGAGCCGTCGAGCGATGTTGATGTCGCACACGGCGCACTTGAAGACCTGCACAATGATGGCTTCGACACTGCGTCTGACAAATCACTGCTTCGGAAGATTGACTGGCGCTTGATGCCTTTGATGTAAGCAGGAATATCCTGAATTTGCTATTCGACATGCTTCTGACGCAACCCAGCTGCATCACGTATATTCTCCAGTCGATCGACAAGACTACATTGGGGTATGCTGCCGTCTTCGGTCTCAAAGACGATACCCATCTCGTTGGCTCGCAATACTCTTGGCTTGGAGCTCTGTTCTATCTAGGTTATCTCGCTTTCGAGTATCCTACAGGCATTCTACTCCAGAAGTTACCCATCGCGAGGTTCATGTCTGGCACGGTGGGTAGACGTGGCATCTTGCTTTGTGAAGATACCGCTGATCAATTTTCAGGTCATCCTTTGGGGAGTAGTGCTCATGTGCCATGCTGCTGCGACTGACTTCGCGGGTCTGGCCGCGGCGCGTACATTTCTTGGTGTCTTCGAAGCATCGATCAATCCTGGAACGATGCTTATCTTTAGCATGTGGTACCGACGGATCGAGCAGCCGCTACGACTAGGCATCTGGGTGGGTAGTGCCGGTATTGGCTATGTTAGTCACGTCTCCTATGCGCCAGGAGAAGCTCTTGCTGATTCGGATACAGGTCACTGCTGGCATTGCTTCCTTCGGCATAGACCACATTGGCGGCTCGCTCGTCAGCTGGAGGTACATCTTTATTATCTGGGGAGCCATCACAGGCGCCTGGGGATTTGTGATTCTGTTTCTGCTTCCAGACAACCCCCTAAAGGCTGGATTCCTTTCGGATAGGGAACGAAAGCTGGTTGTTGACCGCATCAAGGAGAACGAAACGGGGCTTGAGGACAAGCGTTGGAAAAGGGAACAGGCACGTACCCGATGTGACGAGGGCTCCTGTTTTGCGCTAACTCCCAACAGTTTGCGGAAGCCCTGCTGGATCCCAAGACATGGTTGCTCTTCGTCTTTGCGGTTACATCTAACGCACCAAATGGTGGTCTCACCAACGTACGTGGAACGAGTTCTCCGGAAGACGTACAAGCAGATTTCTCACCGTGTCACAGTTTCAAAGCCTGATCATCAAGGGCATGGGTTTCTCGACGCTGCAAACCACGCTCATCCAAATGCCTTCCGGTGCCGTCCAATTCATCGTCTGCACGGGAGCGACTTATTTCGCCTCAACCTTCCCGAATTCAAGGCTGGCCATCATGCTGATATGTCTTGTGCCATTCCTCGCTGGTACGATCGGAACCTGGTACGATGGTCCCTCGCTCTGCCCATACTTCGACTCTAATAAATTACTAGGCTTGTTCCGCAATCCGTACCGTACGGTCGACTCGTTTGTCTCTGGATTTCCTTTTCTTACACCGCCACCTGGACACTCTCCATGTCCGTCGCAACGGCAAACACCGCCGGCCACACCAAGAAAGTCACGACGAATGCTACGCTCCTTGTTGGTAAGGACAGTACAAGCTTGAGCACTTTGATTGTCTGCTGATGGTCCCAGGCTACTGTCTTGGCAACTTCATCGGTCCATTCTTCTTCCTTACCTCGCAAGCTCCGAGATATGAGCTCGGTGTGGGTATGATGTTTTTCTGCATCGGCATCCAAGTGTTGAGCATCTGTGGTATATGGGCCCTTCTCTGGATCAGGAATCGGAAGAGACGACATGCTCAGGTGGATAGCACTGCTGGATATCAGTTGGGTCTGGAGGATGTGACGGATAGGAAGAATCCACACTTTGAGGTTTTTCATTCCATCTCCCGGCCCTTGATGCATCTCGCTAACAATGATCCCGTAGTATGTGTACTAGATAGAGTAGCACTAAGCATACTCCTGCTTGAAACAGTCAGTTCCACGTGGTTCTACTTTCAGTCGTGGACCGCCGAATGAGGCTAGCTGCTGATGCTTAGCATGTGATCGCGCTTGGATTCACTTGCCAGCAGAGCGACTTCGGCTAGCGGTCCCACGCTATTGACACTTGTGTATTTGTGAAAAGCTCAACAACTTCTCTCCAGCACCTCGTCAAAGCCATTGACACCACATCCAACTAATCCACCCACAACCGCCGAAACACACCGGAAACAATGGCACGCTTCGCTATGTCCGAGACCGAGCAGCCATCAGACCGCCTCCTCCGCAGCCAAGGTCCAGCAGCATACCACAAGCCAGACGGCCTCGAGCAAGGACAGAGCCGGCTCCAACGTGCTATCGAGCAGCGCAAAAAAACCTTATCGCAGCAAAACTTGACGTCCACGCAGGAAAGCCTCACCAATCTAAGCCTACAAGAAACAGATGACCTTCAATCGGCTCTCTTCCAATCAGCGAAATCGCGCACTAAGCGCACAGCCACTTCGGGTAAATCCCAACTCCAGCGCTCTCACGACCATCCGAAACGGAATATCCAGCGAGGACAGGAAGAAGTGCTTCGTCGTCGAATGGCGGGCCTTAGGCTTCAAGATACGCCTTCACCCCAGAGACCCATCGCTTTCCCGACGGAGATTGTAGAGCAGCTCAAAGCGTACGATGCCCTAGAGCTCGCTCGGGTGAAGAAGAAGAAGACATCTGGAGGCGTAGGAAAGCTGCATTTGAAAGTCAACGCGGCGAAGGTGATGAAGAGAGGCAGTGGAAGGCGAAAGGGGATTCTGAACGAGACGCGATCTCTTCCCGACCAAGACCGCATGAGAGAGGATGAGGACGGGAGTGGACGCGCTACTGCCGGTTCCAAAATTCCCTCTGCGGCATCCAAGGTGAAGAAGCAAGTGCGTTTCGCTCAGGTTGCGGTTGTGAAGATTATACGTGAGGTTGAAAAGAGCCCTGCGGAGGAGTTGTGAATTGAGACTCGAAATTTACGGCGGGGAGGGAAGCTATGGAGAAATAAGGGAATTCGATGAATGAGTTTGCTAATTTCGAAATGGGGAGAGGGACACCAAGACTCAGGAGAGAAAGACGATCCTGCTAGACGGCCCGGCAAAGAAGCCATTCGAGAGGTATACCATGTGTACTAGCAGCTGAAAGGCTCTAGATGCCTTCAATATGATACTTAAATATCGCATAATCGAGTGTTTGTACACCGAGAGCTTGAAATCTAACCCGCAGCCTTGGATTCACTCACAACGCGGCTAGTATCCGCTAGCGGGCCCACATTGTTCACATGTGCAAACAGCCATCTCCAGTCGTTTCCTCCCTCTTCAATATCCCTCCCATCTACAGCTACAGACCCCACACCCACGCCGCAAAAATAAACACAATGGCAGACCCGATCTTCAACCTCCCCACAACGTACGGCCTCGACATAGCCAAACTCGGAAGACACTACAGAAGCCAAAAACAACCCCTGCACAGTGCCGCAGGACGCCTCTGGTCGCATCTGCGTCTCGACATTAACGGAATCGCAGATGGATACATCGATGCATGCCTGCGGAATCGAAGCCCAGAACTTTCAACTTCGAGACGTCAATTTGTTCGCTCTCATCATCATCATCATCATCATCATCATCATCATCATCATCATCATCATCATCATCACCGCCACTCAATAATGGCGCGCGTCCATCAGCAAGCGCAAGGTTCTCATCCAAAGCCTCGAATGACGCGCTTGAAGGGACAATTTGCGAAGTGCAAGGAGAGAGAAGAAGAAGACATGTTAGTCCGGCGCATGGCGGCGCTGAAGCTGCAAGACACACCGACGTCAGTCGAGGGCCATCATCTGAAGGGAATCTTGAAGCATTCACCGACCCTTTTGGCGCAGGAGGAGAAAGCTGCAGGAGGGCGCCAGACATTCCCGAGAGTCGAGAAGCACGTCCGCTTTGTTGAAGTTCCGCTTGTGAGGATCATCCAGAATGTGGAGAAGGGAGCTGCATAGTAGGGGGCGAGAGAGAGCTCGAAGACCGCGGGACGGCAAGTGAGAAAACGGCTCGAAGGAGAAAACCTTGGACTGGAGTGGAAGTGGGGATGGCGCTGTGCCAAATCCCTTCGCTCTATTCCATCTATACGAAATAGCCACGAAGCCTCCACAAGCAGCAGCGTGAAATTGGATATTGGCAGAAAAACTCTATAGGTATAGCGCTTAAGGCTTGCTCCGCTCGGTACTGCGCATTGAAAACCAATCAGCAAATTTCTCCTTCCTCTCACTTCTTCCCCTTCTCACGTACAACCCATTACGACTTACAGCAGCGGGTTAGATCTGTATTCCGGCGCCTCGCCATTCTGACCCTTCTTAACTTCGTTGTCGGCTTCGACACCGTTGGGAACTTCGTCTTCGTTCTCGGCAAGCCACTTTTCGGCTTCGAGGGCGGCCATGCAGCCAGAGCCTTGCGGAACGTGTTAGCAAATAACCGAGATACGGCAGCTCTAGAAGTATGTGACACACCTGCTGAAGTCACTGCCTGACGATACTTCTTATCCTGAACATCTCCGGCAGCGAAAACACCAGGCACGCTCGTCTCCGTCGTGCCCGGCGTGGTAAGGAGGTATCCATCCTCGTCCGTCTTGAGCTGGCCCTTGAATAGCTGCGTCGCAGGTTCGTGTCCCACAGCATAGAAGAGTCCATTCGCGGGAATTTCCTCCTGCTCGCCAGTCTTGATGTTCTTGATGACCATGCTCTTCATGAGCCCTCTCGGACCCTCATCGCCCTTGATCTCCACTCCTTGAGTATTCCACTTAATCTCCACCTTGGGGTTGTTCTGCAGTCTCCTCGCGTTGGTCTTGCTGGCTCTCAATTGATCCCGTCTCACCAAGACCGTGACTTTGCTCGCCTTCTTCGTCAAGTACAGCGATTCCTCCACAGCGGAGTCTCCACCTCCAATCACCACTAAAGGCTTCTCCCTGAATATGGGAAGAGAGCCATCACACACCGCACAAGCACTGACTCCATTGCCCCAGTATTTGTCCTCGCCAGGCAATTCCAACCTCCTAGCCTTAGCCCCCGTAGCAATGATGATCGCATCGGCAGTGTGTGTTTCCTCCTCCAAATTGTCATCATCGCCCATTGGATGCAACCAATACTTGAACGGCCTCGAACTCAAGTCCACCTTCCCGACGGTCTGCGACACAATCTCCGTTCCGCACTCTTCGCTCTGGGCCCTCATCTGGTCCATGAGGGTAGTTCCCTTGATAATCTTAAAGCCTGGGAAGTTCTCCACCTCGTCGGTGGTAGTGAGTTGGCCGCCGGCTGCAATTCCCAGAGCGAGGAAACCTTCGTACATCTTCGGTTTGAGGTCTGCGCGGGCGGCGTAGATGGCTGCGGTATGGCCGGCAGGGCCGGAGCCTATTATGACCAACTTGTCGTGCATCTTGCGGGTTTGCTCGAGGGTGGTTGTCGGGGATGTAGGGCGGTAAAAAGCACCTCCTGCAGCAGCTGCGAGGGGAAGTGGGATGGCGGAGCGGAGGGGTCGTGAAGAGCCTGCGCGGCGAAAAGCGTGGGAGAACACCTTGACTGCTGTATGGAGGATTCACTCTTATATGAGGTGAGAAGAGGAGTCGTTCGAGGGAGAGGAGGGTGGGGCGTAGATATCTGAATGGCGTATCTCGGCGGCGAGAGACCGGATGTAAATGCAGCACTAGAGGGCAAGCCGGCTCGCGTGCGTGCGTCACGTCTTTCGTAGTCTCTTCCAGAAGAATTCCACCGCTGCTGACTGACCTAAAGAGTGTGGCGCCAAGTGTGCATGTGAAGAGCGAGCGAGCGAGCGAGCGAGAGAGAGAGTGCTTGCTAACGCGAATTCTCAGCCAACTTTGGCCAATGGACGAGGTGACGTTGCTTGCAGCTTTGAAATCTAAAAGGCCCTTTCACGCTTCCTTTCACCTTATTCTCGGAGGACGAGATATCCATCTCCAGCGTCACCGATGTCGCACAACACCCGCATCTCAGCTAGCATGGTGGTGCCGGGGGGCATCGCGCGCTGCTTCTTTCTGCCGATCTTGTGCCCGACTACTTGCCGAAGGTGTGACGCTGAAGAGGCATGCGAGCAGCGAAGATGGCGTTGGCAGAGAGCAAGCTGACCCAAGGACAAATTCTCGGTGCCGCAACCAAAATGTTGTCATCATCATCACATAGACACCCTTGGTGGTGATGGCGAAGTCTGCCTTTTGACAGAGCACGAAGCGACAAGATTGAAGATGGTGCAGACTGACAGCAAGATCTTGTTGCATGCTTCTTTATCGTTTACCTTTCTTCTTTCTCATCCAGCTTTTCAACAACCTAAGAGCCTGGGCGTCGCCCTGAATCAGCGTATCTTTCAAAGACATACTCGCGAAGTTTATGTCTAAACCTTGAGGCCTCCGACGAGAGCCAACAGTCTTCCGACCACCGATGATTGCTCGAGCTCAGAGGCCATGGTAGATAACCTGAAGTGCTGCATCGGCTGGTTTGTCTCTTGCCTCAATGTTGGCTCCTTGGCTGACCAGGATATCTGAGCTTCGGTGTTGGCTTCTTCATCGAGAATCCTCCTTTTAATTGTCGTGTCCGGCGCCGAGAGGAGAGGCCTGTAACCTTGATCGTCATGCTCAATCTCAGCGTCCGCTTAAAGCAGCGCGGCTACGCACCCTATGTGCCCTTGACTGGTTGCATGATGCAAGGCAGTGCGCTTCTCGTCGTCATCGGCATCAGTTAAGAGTAGATGTAATGTTTCCGCATGCCCATTGAACACGGCAATATGAAGTGCAGTCCTATCACCACCTAGCTTGGCAGCAGCACTTTCGTCGTCGTCTTAACTGACCTGAGGGTCACTCTGATCTGTCTCCTCGTTGCCATTGGCTTCGTTCGCAGTACTTGGCTCAAAATAAGTACCAACGTCACTGCCACCATCCCCATCACCAGGGCTCTTTCCGCGCCCGGCTCAATTTGCTTCCTGATCATCGTCGTGGTCTTCATCTTCGCGGAAAGCCCCGGCATGAAAATCTGCTCCGGCTGTCAACAGATACTTCACAAGCTGTACATGTCCGTAGTGGCAGACAACATGCAAAGGGAGGCGGTGGCATTCAGTGATTGACCATCCTTATCGACTCCTAGCAGATCTAGATCCGGCAAATTGATCGCGCTTTCAAGATCAACACGGAAGCCTACATCGAGCAGGGAAATGACTGTCTCGAGAATGCCTTACCAACAAGCGGCGTAGAGAGATGAGCCCACTTGACCTTCGTAAATGTGTCAATCCTGCCTTTGGCTGCGGCAACACGTAGCGGAATGCCATGACTGCTGCTGTAAGCATTGACGTCGCATCCGGCAACCAAAAGAGCCTCCACAGCGTCTTCGAATCAGCTCATCGTAGCATGGTGCACAGAAGTGAGCCCATCTCCGTCCGTGTACTCCAGATCGGCTCCCATGCGGACGGAGTAGATACTCAAGTCATCGAAATAGGTCACCGTGATTGCCCGTCTGGCAGTGCAAATTGAATAAGAGGATGTGATTCCAATACTTACCTACTTGCATGGAACACGTCCTTCATATTCGTGAAGAGGAAGAGGATGTTGTGAAACTGTGAAAGCTAGAGTCGACCAGTTCCCGGGAACCAGAACACGACGCTATGAGCGGGCCGATCCTGCCGAGCGCGAGTAAAGCTTGCGTATTTTTCGAACCTCCAAATCCATTTTCCTGTCGCACGACAACCACCATTTCAGCCCACCTTTCAATACCACAACAAGGCAGTGATCCACAGCAGTGAGCCTTGCGCCCATATCAACGACATGGCTTCAGAATCCGCTGCATGGCCCCAGGCCGACCAGGCTCTCAGCCAGGAGCTGCTCGATCTCGTGAGTAGAGCGCGCAAAATTATCTTGCATCTGGAAATGCTAACCAGTTCCAGGTCCAGCAAGCAACTCACTACCGCCAGGCCAAGAAGGGCGCCAACGAAGGTACAGCGCAGTCTCATGACACCGCTCTTGGGACTCCGCTAATATGTTTGCAGCCACCAAGACGCTCAACCGAGGAATCGCAGAGCTCATCGTTCTCGCCGCCGACACCACCCCACTGGCTATCCTCCTCCACCTTCCACTCCTCTGCGAGGACAAGAACGTCCCATATGTCTACGTCCCGAGTAAAATGGCGCTTGGAAGAGCTTGCGGTGTGAGTCGTCCGGTCATTGCTGCTAGCATCACCACCAACGAGGCCAGCGATCTCATGGGCCAAATTCGCGCCATCAAGGACAAGGTTGAGAGACTTGCGATCTAAGAGCGCGGAGCTGGATGCGATACTTTGTGGGTTCAATGTGAGAGCGAGCAAGAGATGTGCTCCCACGAGCAGCGTAGGCTCTCGGCGGCGTGGTCGAGCCGAAGAGTCGCAGAGCAGCTAGGATATCAGAAATCGACAAGTCGACTGTCTGTCCCGGAATTTCTTGGACATATACTATTGTTCTTCGCTACTGTACGACCTCGTACTGTTCGGACCCTTGGCGGAGATATTGAAGGAGGATGGCATTCGCCTGGTCTGGGAAGCGGGACGAACCTTGGTCTGTTCTTGCAGTGAAATCGACATTCAATCCGCGTGAATCAGTTTTCGAGATTAATAACGTGGCTTCAAATTCGAGTGTGATACAGTTAGACAGTCAGCATTCCTGCGATCTGAGTTTCGCAACAGTCAGCCATGTCCTGTGATTTTGTCGGCAGCAGGCCTTACGAAAGGAGAACCCAACAACCGGGACCGGGACCGGGACAGGGACAAGGGCATGTGATTCTTGGCACTTGAAACCTCATCCGCATTCAACGCGTATCTCTATCGTCTGCATTCTTGCTCTAGAGCTCTGGTGCTTGAGCTCACGGTGTTTAAAGGCCTGCAAACCTTTCCGCGCCCCATCCAGATGCTGCGTGTTATTGCGAATAAGAATGGCATCCAGGCACCGGAAACGTGGTTGTCACAATCCTCATCACAGGCGGGACCACATGACACTCCCAGGATCTCGAGTCAAGATTCTCGTCTCAGCGAACCATCGAGCTTATTTCGGAGGTAGACGGAGGTCAATCCTTGCCGGATGGCAGATCTCACAAGCATCTAATAAAAGGAGCAACGAAGGGAAAGGTAAGGTCAGGTACCAGATCGACTCTCCCTCCAACAACTTTCTACTCCCTCATTTGTCAACACATACTCAACCAACATAAGCCTCTCGAATCCAAAAGATGCGTCTCACACTCCTCTGCCTGACGGCCATAGCAGGCACTGCACTCGCCGATTTCTTGATCGGCAACTGCGCCAGCAGCGGTATCGAGAAGGGCACCTCCACCCGCAACGAAATCGCCCTCCCGGGTGCCGAAGTCGATTGCAATTACAAATCCGTGCCGAAAGATAAAGACATCTGCGATGCGAGCCTGACCGAGATCAGAACTCACAACAACGGAGGTGTATGTCCCGGCAACGACGACAATCGCTCTCTGAGCTTCTGTGGGATTCCACTGCAAGGAACGGGTTGTCCGGATTCTTATCAGATGAGTATGCAGACAATCCACCCTCCCTTCACACTAAGAAGTTGTGAATACTGACGGGTTTTCTGGCATAGATACCCGAGATGATTGTGGCGACGCAGCGCTGAAGTTCAACAAGCTTCCCGAGGATGGCTTCTTCTATGCGGACTTGATCGATACGGCGAAGAATAACATTGCTGTGGGGAGGTGTGTCTATGAGGCTGCCGCTGGGGCGAAGAAGGTGGAGACTTGTCCTGCGAGTGGGAAGGATGAGGAGGAGAAATGTGCGACCTTTATTAGGTGTTATACGGGGATGTATGGGAGCCAGAACTGTTAGATGATGGGGGAGGTAGAACAGGATGTATGTATGTATGTAATGGACTTGGGAGGATGTGTTGTGAAGTTTCCTTGTCTTTCACAGCATCTCGTTCATTCCCTCTTGGTGGAGAGTGCATGAGGGTTCTTGCCTTGATGGGTTGTGAGTGTGCCTATCGTGGAAGATGCACGAATATGGTAAGGTATTCCTGTTTCCTTCTCGACGCAACTCCCGTGATACCAACACCACCTGCCAATAATAGCCGCCGCATCGCAAGCAGCGTAGGTATCATCCACAAGCCCATCGTCCCATTGAAATCACTCACATCATCATCCCCACATTCGCAAAATACGATAAACCCCACCCATCATTAGTCCCTCAGCTCCCTATAAGACGACTAACACCTCTCTCTCTCTCTCTCTCTCGCAGGCACCACTATCCCTCCATCCCTCCAAGAAGAAAAATGGAAAGCACCGTCCTTAACGCCCATGCGAAATCCGCCATGAGAGACAACTCATGCTTTCCTGGCACCACAAGAGTAGTGAACCCGGCTGTCGCCTCATGGGAAATAATTACCTCGCGAAACAACGTCCTTCTGGCTCCTGAGGCGCGGATGTAAGCTTGCTCTGGGCATACTGGCGTAGGACGCGAAAACGCCGCAGGAAGGGAGGGGGTGTTCGGGCTGGGCTGAGGGGACTGTATGGGCGGACGAAAGGGGAGCGAGGAGTGGAGTGGAGTTGGAGAGGGTGTAGTCTGCGCTGGAATTTATGGATACGAGGTTGACGATGAGAGGGTGGGAGTGGGAGGGGAATTGAAGTAGTGAGAGTAGCTGTTTGGTGCGAGACATTGGATGTCACTGAGGCATCTGGAATAAGTCCAGGCAGAAATCAGTCGCTGTTTGACATTCTGGTAAACACTCATCATTACCATATCCAAAACAAAGGGGATAGTCTGCTTCATCAAACACAACCCAAAACAATTAGTTCACATCACAGCTGACAATCTTGACCTCGCTCTTGGGCCGATCGCCCGAATCAGTGGCAACAGCCCCCAACTTATCCACAACATCCATCCCGCCCACGACTTTCCCAAAGACCGTATGCTTCCCGTTCAGATGCGGCGTCGCCCCCAAGGTAATGAAGAACTGACTCCCATTCGTATTGGGGCCCGCATTCGCCATACTCAGAGTCCCCTTGCCTTCATGCTTCAAGGTGGGAACGAATTCGTCTTCGAACTTGGCGCCGTAGATGGAACTCCCGCCGCGGCCGGTGCCGGTCGGGTCGCCGCCCTGGATCATGAAGTTCTTGATGATGCGGTGGAAGACGACGTTGTCGTATTTCCCGGTCTGGGCGAGGGTGGCGAAGTTTTTGCAGGTCTGTAGGGTATTGTATTAAGACGCCTCTTCTTTGGGAAGAGGGGTTTGATGTTGAGAACTTACGCGAGGGGTCTGCTGGGAGAAGAGCTGACAGGTGATGTCCCCCAGGGTAGTGTGCAGGACTACGTTATTGGGGTTGTCGACAACATTGCCGGATGCTGCGGCGCCGGAGGAGGAGGAGGCGTTTGGTGCTGCGGTGCTGGGACTGGCGTCGCCTCCTTCTTTGTGGCCACCGAAGAGTTTCTTGAGCTTATCCATGATTGCTTCTTCAATCGCTTGTGCTGGGATTTCTTCTTCTTCTTGACTTCGTTGGGTGAGATCGAGGTCGATGTGGTGGGGTGCAAGAAGAAGAAGCCTGGACCGACTTCTCAGCCTCCTTGTTGGACGTCGTCAGAGAAGCACTGACGGCTGGACGGACCCTGCCGCAGATGTCGGTGTGTGGACGGACGTTCCAGGTTGAGTTGAAGCGCTCCCCGCTTAGGGTTAGGGTTGGGGTTGGGCCTTCTCCCGCTCGATCACCTCCCTTTCCCACCTGCAAACTTGCTGGCAAATAAGAGATGATCAATCTACTGAACGGACTTGCATGTACAGGGTCATGACTTCTTCGCCGACCCCAGATCTCGGGAGGCGTCGTGTATCTTGGTACATGAGCGAACCGAACCTTCTCAACTCTCGCTTTCAGCCCTCACTGAGGCTTGCCGCGTGAATGGTGAATGCTCTGGTCTGGACCGGCAGACGAGAGGAATCAATCTACGCAGAATGCTTTTGGAGCTCCTCAGTTCATCTATGTCTACGTGAACGCCTGAATAAATCATCGGGGTTCGTTCCGTCCATGGACCAGGAGTATCGGCAACTCGGTACATAGGTCGAATCTCGGTGTGACCTTAGCCGACAGTCCTGGTCACTTCCTCTCGTTCGGCCTTTGCCGTGTCTTTGGGCGGTTTCCCCATTGCAGCAATAGCGGCAATCTGATCCGAATATGCCGCTGTGTGGAACGAACGCACGGAAGTTCGCACAGAGTGGAAGGTGGGGAGAGGAGAGCAGAGCAGAGCGTCTGGCCGCGTCTCGGAAATAGACGCTGTGGGAATATCTGGGTATGTGGTAGATCCAGAGCACCCAGACAGAGGCTGAGCAAGCCAACCCCTCTGATTGGCCTCCGCGTCCCCAGCTTTGCATGTGAGACTCTGCGGGGGCCTCGGGCTCTGAGAGGCGGACGGTCACGAGGGAAGGTCAGCGACTGGCCGCAAGACGGCATTTTCACATGCTTCCGCACCCAGGTCCTCGATATATGGACCGAGTGCTTCCAGTCAGATCGGCTTCCTGATTCCTTCTCCATCTTCGCCCATCGCTGTCGTCTTCTCCGCATTCAAAAATCGAGTGTCGTCGGTCGAGACAACGTTTAGTCTAGAGACTCGTTGCCACAGAAGCACAGGCCAGAAGCAGAAGCACCTCGGCAAGTCTTTCAAGGGAGCATAAACCGACCGGCTCGCAATCACTTCGACGCCCTCCGTCTCTCCACCTCCATCTGCTCGCCATACAGCTTCATCACCGACTTATACCCCCGTCATGCCTGAGAGAGTCATTGTTGTCGGCGCCGGCCGTGAGTGCCACGACGAGGAGAAGCCTGGAACGTTTGGCTGACGAAACACAGTTTCCGGTCTGAGCGCGGCGCACACCATCTACCTCGCGGGCGGCAATGTCTTGCTCCTCGACAAGAACAGTATGCACCGCTCGTCATCGCAGCAGAATGGCTCTCTCTAACCACGTCACTAGACTTCATGGGTGGAAACTCCACCAAGGCCACATCCGGAATCAACGGTGCTTTGACCCGGACACAGGTCGACCACAAGATCGCCGACAGCGTCAAGCAATTCTACGACGACACATTCAAATCCGCACGAGAGAAGGCACGACCCGATCTCATCAAGGTCCTCACATACCAGTCTGCAGGCGCTGTTGAGTGGCTGCAGGACGTCTTCAACCTCGATCTCACGCTCGTTTCGCGGTTAGGGTATGCACTTTCACACATCGAATTGTTTGCGGCATTCGGTCTCTAACCAATCTCGTAGTGGTCACTCCTACCCACGAACGCACCGTGGCCACGATGCCAAATTCCCCGGTATGGCCATCACATACGCCCTCATGCAGCGATGGGAAGAGCTCTGCGATCAGGAGCCAGAGCGTGTCGAGCTCGTGAAGAAGGCCAAGGTCAAGAGGGTCAACATGGACGGTAAACGTGCAACCGGTGTTGTATACGAGTTCAACGGAGAGGAGGTGACAGTGGACGGCCCAGTTGTGCTTGCAACTGGTGGTTACGCTGCCGACTTCACCGAGTCTTCGCTATTGAAGAAGCACAGGCCCGACACATTTGACCTGTCCACTACCAACGGCAACCACGCCACCGGTGATGGTCACAAGATGTTGATGGAGCTCGGCGCCAATGCCGTTGACATGGAGTCCGTGCAGGTGCACCCAACTGGTCTCGTCGACCCGAAGGACCCCACTGCGAAGACAAAGTTCTTGGCTGCTGAGGCTCTCCGTGGAGAGGGTGGTCTCTTGCTCAACAGCAAGGGTGAGCGATTCGTCGATGAGCTGCAGCACCGTGACTTCGTCTCCGACAAGATGTGGGAACAGAAGAAGCAGGGCAACTGGCCAATTCGTCTCGTCCTCAACAGCAAGGCATCCAACACCCTCGACTTCCACACTCGCCACTACTCTGGCCGTGGCCTGATGAAGAAGATGACCGGAAAGGAGCTGGCCGATGAGATCGGATGTGGCGAGGGTGCGCTCAACAAGACCTTTGCGGCCTACAACAAGTACGCGAACGGCGAGGAGAAGGACCCCTTCCAGAAGAAGTACTTCCACAATTTTCCTGTTGAGGTCAACGACGACTTCCACGTCGCACAGATGGAGCCTGTGCTCCACTTCACCATGGGTGGTATCGAGATCAACGACAAGGCTCAGGTCCTGAACAACAAGGGCGAGGCATTCGAGGGTCTTTTCATCTCCGGTGAGCTGGCTGGTGGTGTCCACGGTGCTAACCGTCTTGGTGGTTCTTCCCTCCTCGGATGCGTCGTCTACGGCCGTGTTGCCGGAACCAGCGCGAGCAAGTACCTCTTCCAGCAGGTACTCAACCAGTCCGGCGGTCTCGCTGCCACTCGTGCCGGCCAAATCAGCCTGCACATCGACCCAAGCCAGCCTGGAAAGATCTCGGTTGAGTGGGGCACTGGAGCTGGCGTCGGTGCATCTGACCAGGACGCCAAGGTCGCATCACACGCACAGAAGTCTGCTGCCCCAGTCATGGGCGGCTCCAAGGACAGCAGTGATCCAGGCAAGAAGAGTGAGGTCAATGATGTCAAGAACTTCAAGGTCCCGGATGACGAATACTCGCTCGAGGAAATTGCCAAGCACAACAAGAAGGAGGATCTCTGGATCGCAGTCAAGGGCGTTGTGATGAACGTCACCGACTGGGTAGACGAGCACCCCGGTGGACCCCAGGCCCTCTTTTCGCATATGGGCAGGGACGCTTCGGAGGAATTCGAGATGCTTCACGATGATGGTAAGCTATTTCCTGTCAGAAGGAATCCAACACACGACCAGTCTTGCTAATTGATATTTGCAGAGGTCATTCCCAAGTACGCCGCCGGCATTGTAATTGGAAGAGTCAAGGGACAGGAGATCAAGTTGGAATACTAGGAAAAGAGACCCACCCGAAGAAACGGAGTTTCATGCCTTGCATTTTGAGATGGTAGGCAAATTCCCAATGAAGTTATGCTATCCTCTGTTGTCTTTGGTCGGCTTGTAGGAAATGTACATTCAGATCTATTCTTCCAGCTCATGTTCTGGTCTTGGTACTTGTCTGTCGGTTCCGGTGGTGAAGCATCCTGCAGCTCAGCTAGCGACACCGGTGTTTACCTAGCGGAGGGCCATGTGAAAACAAGACTTTTGGGCGGGTTCATCAAGATTTGATACAAATTTCAATGAAATCACTAAATCGCCTAAACGCGTCGCGACTCATTCCACTCATCTTCCATCCCATCTTCCACTTTCCAGACCGCACATCCCCAACTTTCACAACCGCACCAGTCACAACCCGATCCCGCCGCAAAAGATGTCCGAAAACGTACCACCCACCTCAACCGCAGCAGCGAATGCCTCCACCCCCACCGGAGGAGACCAACCCGGTCGACCATACTATGAATCCCTCCGCTCCAATCTACGCCAAACACTGGACAAGAAACGCAAACTGGACGAGCAGCTTGCCGCTCTCGAGGACAATATCTACAAAATGGAAGGAGCATATCTCGAAGAAACAGCGAATTCGGGGAATATTGTTCGGGGGTTTGATGGGTGGGTGAAGGGTGTATCTCTGGGTGGTGGTGGTGGTGGTGGTGGGAGAGCTGGAGGGGAAGGGGGAGGGGTGAATAATCGCAAGGGAAGAGCGAGGGATGAGGAGCGGATCTTTTCGAGGAGTAGTGTGGGGTGGATGAGGGTGAGTTATCACAATGACTATAGTACTGCCGAAGTCTGGGGATGTTGATTGATGTGGTGTATGGGTACAGGCGCAAGAGGGACCTGATTCGAATACGCCTTCGCATGCTCCTACTCCTACGGGGTCTTTTGCGCCGCAGCTTTCTGCTCGGGAGTCGAATGGGGGGACGCCTGCTGCGGCGGGATCGTCGAAGGGAGCGGCGGGGAATAAAAAGCGGAGGGCGAATGAGAAGGATGATCCGGAGGAGGGGAATGGGAAGGGCGTTAAGAGGGGGAAGATTTCTTACGCGCGGGAGTGATGAGATGATGGTAGGAGTCAAGAGACATGAGGCATACGGTTGATGAGGCATTGCAGCGTTCTTAGCGAGGTATATGGCGTTATGGGTGGGCGTGGCGGAGGGACTGCTGAAAGCGGTGGGATAATGCTTGGGATGCACAAGAGATGTATTCGCAGCTGCGAAGTCGCACGGCGACGACGCCGATGGGGTTTGCAGTACACGCGTCACTGACTGCAAGAAACTTGAAGGGCTCTCACAGCATGTGGGAGTGTGAGATCATGTTGACCAGAATCGACAGCCTCACTCTCGGCACGTTGTCAGGTGATGTCGCGAGGACCTCCGACGTACTTGCAGCTACACGCCTGCGACATTCTCCCGGCCAGTCGACGCTCAAGCGCCACGTGTGTGAGCAGTACTCGTATACGGGAGACGGCATCTCCAAAAAAAAAGATCTCTGAAACTACCAAGACCTGCACTGCGGTCGGCGTTATCGGCGCCGTGAGTGGAAGGAACTGTGCGAGTCCGTTTCCGGGAGTTGGGATGTGACCGACTTGGTGCACGAGGAATCCCGGATGGCGGTGAAGCCAGAACAGTCCATGACTCTCGTGAACTCCCCCGAATGCTGCGAACGCGGAGAGAAGGACAGGATGACGGAAGAGCAATTCCTACATGCACTACTGCCGGCATCTCACTCCCATCGGTCTACGTGTCGGAAGCCACGATAATGAGTGCATCCGCCGAAACCAGCTTCACCCAAGTAGCTTGGCCTGTCACTCCAACTCTCCAGACGAGGTTCTCCAGGGAAAAGGCATTGTCCTGCCCAAAGACGTCACGATCATCCCGGTTCTTGTATCCTGACAGCACATCGGCTTAGCACAGGGTTGATGGTCCGGAGGCATGTCCAATCAATGTTGCCAACTGTACGTGTCAGCGGTATCGCTCGCATGTGGTACGATCGCTCGATACTCCGCAGCAAATACCAGAGCGCAAGCGCAGCGCAGCGCACCGCGGCACGAACTGATTCTGGTCCCTTGCCCAACCGTCATCCCACGGCCTGTCCTACTCTTGCCGATCCTTTTTATATGATCGCTGTCACCTGTCCATCTACCGAAACGCTGATCTTCGCACCAGATGGGAAGTCAAACCTCCTGCCAGCGCGCGACTTCGGTGTGGTTTTCTTCATTACCATTCTTTTGCTGACTACCATCAGGCTCTATTTTTCACGGGAGACAAGCCGTACGTACCGCCCCCCCGTCTTAGCTACTAGCTAAGATATGCCCTGGTGGGGACCTGGCACGGGCTGACGAGATTTGCGCAATTAGGCCCAACATGAATTACGCTAATATGATTGAGGAGAAAAACCTCAAGGTGAGTTTCCTTCTACCCAAATGGGAGCTTTGGCTCGTGTGTATACAACAGCGATATGCTAACAGCCACGATCCTTTCTATAGAAAGGATTCATCATCGCGACGCTATTGTCTACCGTGATTGGTACTTTCACGGCTAGCATGACATTACAAGACAAGATATCGGAAAAGCGAGCGAAGAAAAAGCAGGCCAAGACGGACAGGAGCCAAGATAATCAGCTTAAGGAAATGCAGGAGAAGTTGGAAAAGCTGGAGAAAGGGGAGAATGGGGACAACAACAAGAAGGAAGAAGGGAAAGGGGAAAAGGCGAAAGAGGAGCCCGCCAAGGCAAAGGGACCGAGATCGCCGTCGAGGTCTTCGCGTTCGAGATCGAGTAGTCGGCGGCGTCCGCCGCGGAACTTGGACGACGATGCGTATTTGGCGGCGAATGGGGCGAGGTCGAAGGATATGATTGAGAGGACCTACCAGGATCATCTTGCGAGGCTGGGCCCTAAGTATGCGCGAGGCGATTGTGAGTTCGAGCTTGCCGCCGTTGGAGGGTTCAGCGGGCTGACAGGATTTCAGTAATGACGGAGAATAAGCTCCAAGCGCAAGTCATCCAATTACAGCAGACTGTGATTGGAGTCTTGCAGGACGCTCTTTACAACGGACGAAATCTCTCCGAGGAGGATCTGCGCCGACTCATCGCAGCGCAGAACTCGGCGCGTGATGGCTCGATCGAAGCACTGCAAGGTCAATATGAGCGCATGTTGGCTCTCGAAAAGAAGTCCAATGGGTCGGGGTCTGACCAAGGATCGGCGCCTAGGGCATTGCCAGAACCGCAGGCAAGAGAGACACTGGCAGACTACGGCGTGCCTCCCCAACGTCGACCCTCATCTTTCCAGGAAGTACCGCGGAGAGATCGAGATCGAGATCGAGAGAAGGACTTCGTGCCGGAGGCTGCGATGGCTGCGGGTGTCTTTGGGACCACGGGACTGGGGATCGCGGCGAGGGCTGCTTCAAGACATGAGTCACCACAGCCTCGATCGACGAGGACAGAAGTGCCGCCGCAGTCGAGGAAGGACTCCGGTCTCGTCGGGGCAGATTCTCCGAGGGATCAAGATGGCCCGCGAGCGCCCAAGACGGAGACGAATGGAGGGGTGAAGTCGACCAAGGCTGAAGTTGGAGGGGCGGCTGGTAAAGGGGGAGCTGAAGAACGGCCGAAGTCGACGATGGGCGACAGAGGCAACGGTGGGGATGCTTCGAAGTCGGTCAAGGGCGAAGGCCAGAAATCAACCAAGGCGGAATCGAACGGTCCGAGCAAAGCTGCTGCACCACAAGGAGATAAAGACAACGCCAAAGCGACAAAAGGTGACACTGCTCCCAAATCCACCAAAACTGAAGCTCCCAAATCCACCAAAACTGAAGCTCCCAAATCCACCAAAACCGAAGCTCCCAAATCCACCAAAACGGAAGCTCCCAAATCCCGCAACGGCGCGCCTCCTCCTGGAAAAGATGCCCAGGCAGACGGAGCGCCGGCTAAAGAATGGTATCCTCCTCGAAAACCACGATCACAAGAAGCCGGACCCCCATCTCTTCCCCGGGCAGCACCTCCCAAAGCCCGCTCTGCCTCACCAAAACGCCGCGCCGTCTCCAGACCTCCCCCTACCCGCCCCAAAGCCCTCCCGGAGGCACCGGCCGGCGACCTCTTCTGCCGCTACAGCATCGACCTCCAAGAAGGCAAACTGCCCCTCCATCCCACCTTCTCCGGCATGGGAAACCACCGCTGCCCCGCGTGCAAGATCCTCGTCCCCGTCGACGTCCGCGATGTCTGGGTGATCTCCACCAGCACGACCAACAATAGCGCCTCATCCAAACAGGCATCATCCAAACCCCATGCCGATTATCGGATGGATGCGCGGTTCATTGTCAAATGCCACACGGCCGCGAATCAGCGGGCAGAAGGCGGGTTCGCGTGTGTGTTATGCGATCGGTATCGGGATCTGGATTGCATCTGTAAGAGTGTGGATGCGCTGGTGAAGCATGTGGGGAGTGCGCATGGGCCGGAGGAGTATGAGCGGGATGGGGATTTGCATCGGATGAAGAAGGGGGGGAACGTGGAGGTCAATGGGAGGGAGTTTGTACTTGCTTGATTTTGTTTTTGTCTTTCTTTGGAGTTTTTTTTTTGTCTTGTCTCGAAAAAGGAGATTGTTACGAGTAGATAGGGGGGAATTTTGGGATGCGAGATAGATAGATACCCCCTCTTCTTTTCTTCATCTTTTTTCTTTTTGATGTCGAGAGAATGGATAGATTGAAAAGAATCTCTTGGTGCGTGTGTAAGTCCCTCTCCATCACCATACTGGTGTAATGTAGTATCTATCGTTTATCTCCGATGATGCACGGGCCAACGACACGCTTGGGGCCGAGAGTCTAGATCTTTTGCTCTCCCACATCCTGCTTTCCTTCTGCATTCACCAATTCGAGACTCTTTTTGTTACTGTAACACTCTTCTTCCACACTAACCTGTCTGGCGCCTACCAGGGTAAACCTTCGAGACCGCGTGGCAGCCTCACGCGTGGACGACATTCCTCCGTGCCACCTCTCACCGACAGCCGCCGTGCATTGCATGACATAACATCTGCTTCCTGCAGCCATCCGATCCCGCATCGATCGCAGCTGAGGACCATCAGGGATCAATCGCCTTGATCTGCATGCGCCATCACGTGCGCTGCTCGTCTGCCGAAGCTGAAAACGGGAGAAGTTCGCCGATGTGCATGTCCCACTTGAGGAATACCATCGAGCACGTTCCAAGCCACATGAAAGCTAAAGAGAAACAAGCATTGAGAACCCTTTCCTCTATGGAGCGCCGGCACCACGCTGATGGATCTAGTATCGGTCCCATTCTTTTGGACGACCCTGACGCCGAAGGGCGCATTCCAGAAGCGCGTACAGCCAGCCACGTCTCTTGATCTTCCATCATGTCTCAGCTCTTGCGTCTCTGGGGCTATGCAGCAGAGCCGCAAATGTCGTTCCTGGCTTGATTTGGCACACGACGGCTTGACTTGGCAAACGACGGGAGATTCTCCCTGGCTCGAATCATTCCCCCACGGGACTCAATTGCCTCCTCACTAGTCAGAGGGTGCGCATTGAACGTGCGAGAGACTGAGTCTCGAAACGAAGCCCACTCCCACACGCGCTGCCCCCGATAAGACTAGATGCGCCATACCCGTGGGCTTGAAGGGCTCGTCTTCCCGTACGACTTCGAGGAAAGCTGAAAGGATGCCTCGTGGGTGAATGATGGCTGTCTGGTCTCGGTCGCTCCGGCTATGTTAGTGGACGGCCTTGGACTCCACCTTCACGCACACACCAGAGGTAGGCAATGGCAGCACATGTCAATCAGGGTACAAGTATGGCAAGCGCCTTTCTCGTGTCTTGCGAACTCCCAGCATTCCAGTCTTACCGCTACGTCACCTGTTCCACGCGAACAATTCCTTCCCATCCATCTCCTGAAGCAGCCATTGAAGAAGATTCATTTTCCCTTTCATTCACCTCTCAGTACGCGCTTGAGGAAAGCTTTGTCACAAGGGATAACGCATCTACACCATGCGCGGCCTCATACTCCTCGGGGCACTCGCTGCGCAGTCCGCTGCAGCACCCACAGGCGAACTCTGGAACACATTCTCCTCCTACCTGAGGCCGAGAGCCGCACAACCCCAAGTAAAGAGCGCCACGTACCTTGGCAATGTCACGGACCCTCAATTCAACAGAGACTCGTGTGGGTCAGTCAGACTCGGCAACCGAGCGTTTTGGACATGTCGCGACACGATGGTCTATAATGCTGCAACCGCGCAGAGCCAGTTTCCCATCTACGTGAGCACAGCAGGCTGGACCAATCTGTCCTCTTCTGGTGGACCAGCAATCCGAGCCAGCGGTGCTCCGGTCGGCGCGGGTTCTTCTGGCAAGGGGCCCGTCTTGCAGATGTACGGCAACAGCAACGTCAACAGCCTGAAGGAATACTACACCCTGACGAGTTCCGAATGCAACACCAACCATGGCTTTTGCTCGGACAACTCGCGCTGGGCCATCTGGCCGAACCAACCTCCTCTGGTCACGGCAAGCAATAGCGCGGGAAGTGCCAATGCCTACACATTCATCCAGAAGGGTCATATCCAAGGTCTCACGCCGTTGTATCCCTACGAGCCTGCATGCTCGCTCTACAAGACCAGCTACAGTGCCAGCTCGGCTAGCAGCTCTCTGCCGTCGGTCAGCCTGACGAATGAGGAATTCTGGAAGGCCGGCGAAGTCTGCTTCGGCTTCTACGGCGGCTTCGTCCGCAACGGCTACGCCTATCTCTACGGCCGCGGCGACGCCTCCGGCGGCACCGTCCTCGCCAAAGTCCCCACGGGCTCCATCGACAACCGCAGCCAGTACCAATACTACAACTACACGGCCGGCAAATACACCACGACGCTCAGCCCGACGCTGATCAACGACACGACCGTCACGATCCCCAACGCGGGCGCTGGCGGCCAGGGCACCTTCTACTACTCCTCCTACTACACGCAGTACATCTGGATCGGCCAGTCCGTCTTCTCCGTCGTCGCGGACTTCTACATGTCCACATCCCCCGCGCCGGAAGGGCCCTGGAGCGCTCCCGTGCTGATTTTCCAGGGCACGAATGGCGATAATCCGATCGTGTCGAGTTACTCTCTGCAGGCGCATACGAGTCTGTTGCCTTCGGGCAATACGGCGTCGGAGAATGGGATCTATGTGACTTGGACGATGCAGATGCAGAATGGGCCGTATGTTACCCCGCTGGTGTATTTGCAGTTTCAGTAGGAGTGTATGGCATGATGGGTGATTTCTGTGGAGAGGGGGAATGCCCTGGGGAATGGTGTAGGGATGGATGTGTTGTGATGTTATGAATGCATGGATGGATGAATTAGATGGGATTAGTTTGTATACCACCGTTTTTTTTTTGAACACGTCGTTTTCCCACATGAAGCTTCTCCAATGTTCCCCTCGTGATGAAGAAGAAGAAGAGCATCTCGTGACAGACAGACAGACCAGTCAGATGAGGTCCGTGCGCCCTCGCTTGTGAACTTCCGACTTTCCAAACCTCATCAAGGAATGCAAAAAGCTCCAACCAAAGTCGCGACAGAGACAAAACACCAAGACATCCACACAAACACCATCTCCTCCTCTTTCGGACACACATACACACACACAACACACACGCGCGTGAAAATCCATCTAACCCGCCGCCACGATGCCTCAAGCCCAGCCCGAGCTGAAAAAGGTATCGCTCCGTCTCCGCCCGCCCAAAACACCCCCCTCCCCTCCCTCTGCATCCTGCGCGCAGAAAGATGTGTATCTGTATCTGTATCTATGTATGTGTGTGTGCTGACTTCTCCTTCTTCTTCCTACTAGTACCTCGACAAGCGCGTCGAAGTGCAACTGAACGGCTCGCGCACCGTCATGGGGACGTTGAGGGGGTATGATGTGAGTTCCTTACCCTTTCCCCCCTCCCCTTTCCCCTTTCGAGAGCGTCGAAAGGCTCGCTCGAGGGCCTGAAAGAAGGGAAACCACGATGGATAGGAATTTTGCTGATGTATGTGGTGACCAGGTCTTCCTCAACATCGTGCTCGACGAAGCGACGGAGACGAAGAGCGACGGGGAGAAAGTGCGGCTGGGCATGTGTGTGATTCGCGGGAATTCGGTGGTGATGATGGAGGCGCTGGATCGCATTGAGAGTGAGCATCGGGGGGGTGGGAGGTGAAGGATGGAGGGTGAGATGAGGGATTGAGGATGGAGGGGTCTGAGGAAATATGATATGTGCTTGTGTGTGGGGATGGATGGTAGGTGGGATGGATAAGAAGACGGGATGATTCCTCCGGAGGTCGGAGGGAAGGTGCTATCACACAACAACACAATACCGATAGCCTCTCCGTCTCCGTGGAGCGTGGAGTGAGTGAGTGAGTGCTTTCGGCGCAGGGACTACTACCTACCCCTACACTACTACAGGCGATCTGCGATATTGCGATATGCGATATGAGACGCCGGGAGACTACCTAGGTACCTACTGTGGGGACAGACAGAGCGGCGCGCGCGCGGGTTCTCGCGAAAAGAGAAAAGAGAGAGGCATCCGAATGAATGAAATGAAATGTAAGACTTACCTTACCTTACCTTACCTTACCTTACCTTACCTTACCTTACCTTACCTTACCCAAACACACACACACACACACACACACACACACACACACACACAACACACACACACACACACACACAAAAGGAAAGCAGTTTTCTTCTTTGAGAACGAATGGACGGACATGTATATTCACTTTTTTTTTTTTTCAATTCGATACAGTACAGTGTGCGAAGAGAAAGAAAAAAAAAAGAAAAGAAAAAAAAAATAGAACTCCACAAAGGGATATCCATCCATCCCATCCCATCGCACGCACGCACGCGGCACCACGGCGGCGTCTCCTGTCGTCGTCGTCGGAGGAGGAGGAGGAGGAGGAGAATCCGAGCGAGCGGCGGGGTGGCGGGTTTAACGATACAATACAATGCCATATTGCTAATACAGAATGCCAAGATGCAAGATGCTGTAAGATGCGAGAAGGAAAGAAAGAAAGAAAGCAAGAAAGCAAGAAAGCAAAGAAAGAAGGGTATCTCGCGAAGAAAAGGCACGCAAGGCACGGCAAGGCAAGGCAAGGCAAGGCAAGCAAAAAGCAAAAAGCAAAAAGCAAAAAGCAAAAAGCAAAAAGCAAAAAGCAAAAAGCAAAAAGCAAAAAGCAAAGCGGCTGAGAGCGAGCAGAGCAGGGAGCGGAGCAGCAGGCAGCAAATGTCAGCAGGATTTGGATGCGGCGCTGAAGAAGGAGAAGAAGAAGGAGGAGAAGAAGAAGAAGGAGAAGAAGAAGAAGAAATCCAACTCTGAGAAGAAGCCTTTTCACATGCCCACCCATCCGACGGCCAGCAAGATGAAGATTCCGACGCGGAGCTTGTTCCCGGCGCAGTCCACTCGCTTGGACGCTCGTCCGGATTGTCTGCCGTTGCCGTTGTCGTCGTTTCGATTGCCGTCGCGGTTGTTGTTGTCACTGTTGCCACCTCGGTTGTTATCGTCGTTTCCGTTGTCGTTCTGGCCGGCATTTTGCTGGCCGCTCTGGTTTCCTTCTTGGTTTCCACTCTGATTTCCATTCTGGTTTCCGTCTTGGTTTCCATTCTGATTTCCATTCTGGTCACCGTTCTGGTTTCCACTCTGGTTTCCATTCTGGTCGCCATTCTGCTGGCCATTCTGGCCGCCATTTTGGTTTCCACTTTGATTCCCATTCTGGTTTCCACTCTGGTTTCCACTCTGATTGCCATTCTGGTTTCCACTTTGGTCGCCATTCTGATTTCCACCCTGATTTCCATTCCGACTCCCATTATCGCCCTGCGGATTCACACTCTGATTCCCACCCTGGTTTCCATTCTGATTCCCACCTTGATTTCCATTCCCACCCTGATTCCCATTCTGATCGCCCCCTCCCCCGCTAGCACTACACGCACTCGCAAACTCGCCCCCGACCTTCACATTCTGACGCACACAGTTCCTCCAATCGTCATCACTCGAGCGGGTGGCGCAGTACTGAAAGCAGCCATTCTGGACCATGACGGGCCCATCGCAGCAGGGCTGGAGATTCTGCAGGGGCGACTGCTGGGGGAAGGAGATGGCGCAGCCGGAGAAGTTGGGCGGGATGTCGCTGTGGGCGATGTGTTCCGGGTTGCAGGTTGTGGGTTGGGTGGCGGTGGAAGAGGCGGCGGGGGAGGAGTTGGGGCCTGAGGCGGACATGGTGGAGTAGGGGACGTTTGCCATTGTATTGAATTCTTGGGGAGGTGGTGGTTGACGGGTTGGTGGGTTGATGGGTTGATTGGTTGGTTGGTCTGCAGCAGGACGACGCTCTGGCTTCCAACAAGTGTCATGGGAACAGCGACAGCGCGGCCATGGAAAGGCACCTCATCGAGAGAAGCGGGAGAGAGAGAAGCAGAGAGAGAAGCGGAGAGAGAGAGAGAGAGAGAGAGAGAGAGAGGGAGAGAGAGAGAGAGAGAGAGAGGGAAAATCAGAGAGGACGAGAGGAGTCGTTCGTCGCGATGCATTCATTCCAAATGGCAAGTATAATTTCACTTTGGACCGGGATGTCCCTCCCGTATGACCGAAAAGCCAAGAGAGAGGACGAGACAGACAGACAGACAGACATGATAAGAATAGCTTCACGCCCAGGATGTAGAGGCCTCGAAAGGGTGGAAATCAAGAGATTGAAAGTCGCTGTGATGCCAGATGCATCGCATATCGGTCGTTGCTGCGAGTCAGGCCATGCATGTGAAACTTGGAAGAAGCATGCTGGTGTGCTGCTGCTTTGCGTCCGATCGATCTGATCTGTAACGCGCTGCCTCAGGCCAAGATATATATATTCACGATTCACGGCAGGGCTCCCCGTGTCTCGTCGTCGGGCGCGGCCGGTCGGCCAGCCGCTAGTGACCGTTGCCGTTCAGCCAATGAGAATGGACCGAGGGAACCCTCCTTCCTTCCCCGACAGCTCCTTCCCTGTGGCAGATGCAGGAACCATCCACGCTGTTGCCGTTGCCGGGCTATGCCAGCCACGCTAATCAAGGTATTGTGGTATGCCAATGGGCCTCGCACGTTGTTAACAGGTTGCCGCGACTGCCACGGGCGAGCGCTGCTGTGCCTTTCTCACCCGCAGCGCAGTGCTGCATTGATGCAGTGCTGTATTGATGCAGTGCTGTATTGATGCAGTGCTGTATTGATGCAGTCCAGCGCAGTGCTTTCCTGCTGCTGGAAGTCCTGCACGGTGCCGCGGCGACATGTGAAGTTATTCTGTCCTGCTGTTGGGGGCCGTGCGGTCTTTCAATGGCCGACGCACGATGCCGAGGACGCCCTATCCCTATTCCTATCGCTCTCGCTCTCGCTCTCCTCCACTCCACTCCAGGCCAAGGTACCACGCCCACCGCCCACCGCCCGCCGCAAGAAGGGAGGGAAAGGGAGACGAGTGATGAGAGGGTGAAGGGGTAGTAGCCCGTCCTTTTTGTACTCGCCGCATCCCACTCTCCACTCCTTCTCTGTACATTCCATCCCTCCCCCCCCTCTCCGTGGCGTGGGATAACCCCCACGATCTGTATCATCGCCGAGCATACCTACCACATACCCGATCATCTGAGACCATCGAATCAATGGCGCCTCCCGCCGCCACCGTCGACGTGGAGGTCGATCCCGACACCGACGTCAAGGTCGCCACCTCTTTCGCCCTCCCCCTCCCCGACCGCCTGACCATTGAGAGCGTCGCGAAGAGGCGCGCCGCCTCGGGGAAACTTATCGCCGGTGTCGCCGCGCCCGCACACGTCGAGCACTTCAAGGGACGCACGAGTCACGCACAGAAACCTCTGGCCCGCCGGTGGGATCACCGTCTGTCCGCCGAGAGCATCAGCAGAGGCGGCTCCTCCCTCAAGAACGCCGCCTCCTACCTCAAGACCCCCGGCTTGATCTCCATCGGCGGCGGACTGCCCTCGAGTGAATACTTCCCCTTTGACGAGATCAGTGTCAAGGCCCCGAGACTGCCCTACTGCGCCCAGCGACACAATCATGGCCACGGCCACGGCCACGGCCACGTCGACAGCCATGTCATGCACATGGGCATGCACGACATGGCCGACGGCAGATCCGGCTTCGACATCGCGACCGCCGCGCAGTACGGCCAGGGCCATGGCGCTGCGCAACTCCTGAGATGGCTCGTCGAACACACCGAGATCATCCATAACCCTCCCTACCAGGATTGGTCGTGCACCATGACCATCGGCTCCACCTCGGCCTGGGAGATGGCTCTGAGGATGTTGACCAAGCCCGGAGACTGGATCCTGAGCGAGCTGTATACCTTCGCCACCGCGGTCGAAGCCGCGCAGCCTCTGGGCGTGCGCGTGGGTGCGGTCGGCATGGATGCCAACGGAATGCTGCCCGCTTCTCTCGACCATGTCTTGACAGATTGGGACGAAGAGGCCAGAGGGGGCCCGAAGCCTTTCCTCATCTACACCGTCCCGACGGGTCAGAATCCCACCGGATCCACACAGCCCATCGAACGGAGGAAGGAGATTTATGCGGTTGCTCAGAAGCATGACCTCTATCTGTAAGCTGATTGATTATCCTCCTCATTCCATCCTCAACAAGACTGACACCTCGTCCCGTCCCAGCTTCGAGGACGAACCCTACTACTTCCTCCAGATGGAACCCTACAAGGGCCCCACCGCCTCGCCCGCCCTGGCCCCCTCCTCCCATCTCGAATTCCTCTCCTCCCTCGTCCCCTCCTTCCTCTCCCTCGACACCGACGGCCGCGTCATGCGCGCCGACTCCTTCTCCAAGGTCATCGCCCCGGGCTCCCGCGTCGGCTGGATCACCGCCTCCGAGCAGCTCTGCCAACGCTACCGCACCCACGCCGACGTCTCCACCCAGGGCCCCTCCGGCTTCTCCCAGCTGATCCTCTACAAGCTCCTCGACGAGACATGGGGCCACACCGGCTACCTGGACTGGCTCATCCACATGCGCATGGAGTACACCCGCCGTCGCGACGTCATGCTCGATTCCTGCGAGCGCCACCTCCCCCGCGACATCGTCTCCTGGGTGCCGCCCATGGCGGGCATGTTCCACTGGCTCGAGATTGACTGGAAGCGACACCCGCACGCCAACACCATGCGTCTGGACGAGATCGAAGAGGCCATCTTCCAGAAGATTGTCGATCACGGCACGCTGCTCATGAAGGGGAGTTGGTTCTGCGCGGACCGCAGCGCGCCGCGGGACACCATGTTCTTCCGCGCGACGTATGCTGCTGCTGGGTTTGACCAGATCGACGAGGCCACGCGACGGTTCGGCGAGGCTTTGCGGGATGAGTTCGGCGTGTTGGAGGCGAAGACGAAGGACTTGGACGGGGCAGTCAATGGTAGTGGCAATGGTGTTTTGGCGAATGGGCATGGGCATGGGCATGGGCATGGGAATGGCAATAGCAATGGGAATGGGCATCCGAATGGTTTGCAAGGGTAGGATGAACCCTTTACCCAACCTAAGGGGAGGGAGATGGGGAATTTCGTGAAGAGAAGATGAGGAAGAGAAGAAAAGATCGCGACATTCCTTTTTACTACTTCATTACCTATTCCCCCCAAGGCGTGCGTGTTGGGAACACAACATACACCCGCCTTACATGATTGATTTTCTCTCTCTCTCGCGAGGAGGAGGAGGCTTTTTTTTTTTTTTTTTGGAGCGGGGGGGGGGGGGTTTTTTTTTTTTTGGAGCGCTTGTTGTTTGTTGTCGTTGTTTGTTTGTTGTTGTTGTTGTTGTTTGTTTGTTGTTGTTGTTGTCGTTGGCGGGCGCGGGTTTAGAATTTTTCGATCTTGAATCTCGATCTCGATTTGTTATGGATGGCGGTTTTTTTTTTTCTTGGGGGGGGGGTGGGGGTTTTCTCTCTCTCTCTCTCTCTCTTGTGTCGTTTCTCGGAGAATTTGAAAAAAAAAAAAAAAATGAAATGGAAATGGAAAAATGCAACATGCACATGCAAATTTTTTTTTTTTTTTTTTTTTTTCTTCCCGTTCTGTTTCTTTTCTTGTCGTTTTTCCTTTTATACTTCTTTTTTCTCTTCTCTTCTCTTCTCTTCTCTCGCCCTCCCTCCCATCTGTGTCTAATTCACGATTTCGGGACACTTAGGGAAGCAAGCAGTCAATTAATCAATTAATCAATCAATCAATCAATCAATCAATCAATCAAGATTATGATTATGATTTATGATACTTTTATTAACTAACTAACTAACTCAACTAACTAACTGACAAATTCTATCTAGTAGTATGAAAGTATTAAGTAAAGATTTTGTATTTATATATCCACCAAGGTAGATAGAGAAGGAGATTTCTCTAACGAATTAAACTGATTTTATTTATTAAAGCGGAAACAGAGACGGGACCGGGACCGGGACCCCAGCCCCGTCGTTTGTCGTGGGGAGTTGTTGCGACCTGCAAACCTGTAATATTTCCAGCTTCCAAATGGCTTCCAAAAAAAGGGTATATATATACCTCTCCACGACCATCTCATCCTGCCGGTAACCACACCACACCGCACCGAACCGACCAAAAGCTCGAAAACCATGAATGAAGCCATCTCAGAGAAGGAAAAGAGAATCCCGCTCCTCTCTCTCTCTCTCTCTCTCTCTCTCTCTCTCTCTCTCTCTCTCTCTCTCTCTCTCTCTCTCTCTCTCTCTCTCTCTCTCTCTCTCTCTCTCTCTCTCTCTCTCTCTCTCTCTCTCTCTCTCTCTCTCTCTCTCTCTCTCTCTCTCACCCCCTTCCCACCTAAAAGTCTCTCCTCTCTCTCACCCTCACCCTCTTCCTCCTCCCCGCCAGCCTCGACAAATCAACCGACGAGCTGGTGGAGGGAGCTTCACGGCGGTGGTACACCTAATACTGCTCATCCGGACACTCATACGCCAAATGTCCATCCTTCTCACACAGCGCACACCACTTCTCCTCCGCCTTGTTATCACTACCGTCCGCAGCAGCTTCTTCTGCTTCTGCGTCTTCCTCATCATCCGACACTTGCCCATCCGGGGGTTCCTTGCCGGGACTCAATGGCGCTGCGGATGCTGATTTCGCGACCCCGGGTTCATCCTCGTCGGCCACGTCCTTAGCGCCGCCTTCCGACGTCGCCCCCTCCGTCGACGTGTCGTGGTTCGCTTGGAAATGCGTGCAGTCCAACGTGTCGTGCTCGCTGGACGAGCACATCTCGCAGAAGACGCTCTCTGACCACGTCCCGTTGGCCGGTGCCGGACTCGCAATTCGACGGGCGGCGTGTTCGGCAAACGTGGCCTTGACGGTGTCGGCGCGTGGTCGGGATGCGGCCGCGGCAGTGGCAGTCGCGGTCAATTCGCTTTCGTTTCGCGCGTGCCCATTCGTCACGGCGCTGTCCCGCCGTAGCTGTTCCAGCTCTTGCTCTAGCTTTTCCTTTTCCTTTTGGCTGGCGGTAAGTGCCGTCTGCAACCGATGGACCTCGTCTGCCCCTTTGACATACTCGCTGCGATTCGAGGCGGCTACTTCAGGACTTGTCGAGAAGGAGTGGATGATCGCCTTCAGTCCGCGGATCTCGTCGTCTTTCTGCTCCAGTTCCTTGGGGGAGCTGAGTCCATTCATCGCTGCGGCAGCCTTCTCGCGCTCTCGCTTCAGCTCCGATCGACCTCGCTCCACCTCTCCACGCAAAAACTCCACCTCCCCTCTGGCCTCGGCCTCTCCCCTTCTGGCGTCTTCCAGTCCTTCTTCAAGCTCCTGGACGAACTCTTCCAGCTGCTTAAGCTGGCGAGCCACCTCATCAAACTCCTTCTTGCTTTGGCCAAGTTCCTCCAACTCTCCGACGCGTGCCGTAAGCTCTTCCACCTGTGCAATGAGATCACGTTTCTGCTCTTCATAGACCCGCTCAGTCTCCGTACTTGCCATCTCCAAGGAGTCCAGCGTGCTTCGGAAGTCTGCGCGATGCGCATCGAATTCCGAGGTGAGGATCGTGATCTTCTCGTTCTTCTCGCGCAGCATTTGCCGGAGCTGCGAGACCGTCTCGTCCCCAGCGTCTGCCAGCGGTGGCCTGCTGCCGTCCTCTTCAATGAGTGCCGAAAGCTCCTTCACGCTCGCTTCCATATCCGCCAGATTCGCCGCTTGCTCGTTCAGCCTCTTGTCTCGCTCCGCAAGCTCAAATCTGAGTTTCTCCAGCTCCTGATCGTGACCGCCGACACTCCCTAGCCGTGATCCAGACCGCAGCGGCTGTGAGAATGAAGGTCCGCCTCCTGAACTTCCATTACGTCCCACAGGTGTCTTGTATTCTTCGCTGACCGGATCTGGTCGGTGCCCAAGACGTGAGCCTGTGCGGGAGTAGGAACGAGGTGGTGCGGCCTGGGAGGTGGCGGTAGAGGGACGTGAGTTGGTAGTAGCTCTGAAGTTCTTGCTCGGTGTCGTCGTGGAGCCCAGTCCTGGTCGAGGGGTGCCTCTCTGGCTTGCTGAGGGGGCTAGATTGGGCGGCTGTCTCCTAAAGGGTGATTCGGGTCGAGGCAGTGAGGGCCTCTTAGGCTTGAAGGTAGGACTGGTTGGTCGCACGCCGGGTCCGACTGACTGCGAGAACTTGGATGCGCCGCTCGGTCGTAGCAATGCTTCGTCGCCTCGTTTTCGCTGACCATTGGTGTATGATGGAGTATTAGGAGTCGCAGGGAAAGAATCGACTGATGCCGAAGGTGAATGGCGCTTCTCGGCGCGATGCACAGGCAGAAATATGCCCGCGCCTGGTATGGTCGTTGTGAAGTAATGTGTCCTGCAACATCATCAGCCTCCATGCCCTACTCATGTCTTCCACATATAAGGCCTACCCATCCACGTCCCCGTCATTCTTCCCTTTGGCAGCAAACTCCTTGTCCAACTCGACGCCGACAAACTTGCCATTCTTGCCCCTGACCGTGCCGACGAACTTGACGGTGCCGTACATTTCGCCTGGAACGTTGACCGAATCGCCGAGTTCCAAGTCCCCGCCGTCCATCTTGCTTGCGCTGGCGGGGGTAGTTGGCTGTCCAGATGGCGCGCGCATGCTGACTTTACGTCCGGAGTCCATGGCCGAAGCCCGCAATGAAGGCGATGAGGCGGTGTTGGTGTTGCCAAAGCTGGGACCTCGTAGGCTGCTCCCGAGCCCTCGTTGCCGGGGCGTCTGGAGAGCCATCTCGTCGTCTACGGTATGTGCCGCGTCGTGGTTGTCGCGTGGTTTGAAGTTCTCCTTGCGGCGCAGAGGTGGAAAGGATTGGGTGCTGACAGGCTGGCGAACGCGAGGGAGAGTGCCGGTGAGGCGGTAGAAGGCGACCTGGGAAGGACAGAGAGGTTGCTGTCTGTTGGTCTTGTTCGCGTTCGCCCATCCACGTCGGTCATTGGACGTGCGCGCGGACGGCATTTCGGGCAGATCACGTGCCGTGCCATTCATGGATCCCACTTTCACGGTCCGTCTCTGCCGCCGCGAGTCTTGCACTGTGCATCGACAAATTGGACTCACCTTTTATTATTGTTGCGATGCAGGTGCGTGGACTGACTTTCGATGGGCTTTCATCTCGTGGACGAAACGCATATCACGGCGATCCCCTTCTCCGACGTGGGAGGCGGCATTGTTGTTGTTGTTGTTGACCCCTGCATCTCGTCTCACAACCACCAGCTTCCCTGTGATATAACTGAGCCATATCATGGAGCCCACTGCCAGCGTCGTACGGTTGAAACAGCCGTGGGGCAACCGTTGAACAGCACCGCCACTGTTTCTGGGCGCGTGGAGAAGAGGTCTGGTACATATAGACTATTCCGACGACTCGGTGCTGTCGTGAGAGCGGCAGTGTTGTGACCACGGAAAAGGAAGGGAGACGCGCGCTGGGTGCTTCGCTTCACCAACGGCGCCGATCGTCGTACCTCGGCTGGCCGACTCTACCCACCGAGACGTCCACCACTTCACCTGTTCACTCGACCCCAACATGGAGTCTTTCACCACAACGCCGTCTTGGTCTTGCACAAGATGGCAGGCCCAATCAGACAGCAGATTGACCTGGACAGTCTAGCGAAATACATCGATCAGACCGTCCCCAAAATCAAGACCCCCCTGGACGTCAAGCAGGTCAGCCCCCACCGGTCGTGCCTCTTACCAGAACACAGCTCGGGACAACTCTGACTCGCCTTCGATGTAGTTTGGATATGGACAATCGAACCCAACATACCTCCTCACCGATTCCACGGGCGCCAAATATGTCATGCGCAAGAAGCCTCCGGGCAAGCTCCTCTCCAAGACCGCCCACCAAGTCGACCGCGAATTCCGTATCATAAGCGCCATGCAGAACACCGACGTCCCCGTGCCCAAGGCAATGTGTCTGTGTCAGGACGATAGTGTGATTGGAACGGCGTTCTACATCATGTCCTTCCTCAACGGCCGTATCTTCGCCGACCCCTCCCTGCCCGACGTATCCGCATCAGATCGGACAAAGATGTGGAAATCGGCCGTGACAACCCTCGCCAAGTTCCACCGAATCCCGCCCAAGAGCGTAGGAATGTCGGACTTCGGTCGGCCAGATAACTTCTATAACCGCCAAATCAAGACTTTCGCTACCCTCTCCGTAGCCCAGGCAGAGACAAAAGATATCGAGACAGGCAAGCCAGTCGGAAAGATCCCACACTACGACGACATGGTCGAGTTCTTTCGAAATCCAGCATACCAGCCCAGAGACCGCGGGACTTTTGTCCACGGCGACTACAAGATCGACAACGTCGTCTTCCATAAAACCGAGCCCTACGTGATAGGCGTGCTGGATTGGGAAATGGCCACGATCGGCCATCCCATCTCCGACATTGTCAACCTCACATCTCCTTTCGCGACGGCCGAAAACGACCTCGCCACAGCAGCCGGTCGAAGCAACCATGCGTTCGCCCCAGGCGTTACTCCCGGCTTGCCCACAAAAGAACAATGTTTGAAATGGTACCATGAAGTTGTAGACTTTGAGATCAAACCCGAGGAATTGACGTGGGGCGAGGCTTTTGGACTGTACCGGGGTGCTATTATTTGTCAGGGCATCGCGGCACGGTATGCCGTTAGGCAGGCTAGCAGTGAGAAAGCACGAGATTACGGTGTACAGATGCATCCCTTTGGAGAACTGGGGTGGCAATTTGTTCAGAAGGTTAAGAAGCAATCTGATGAGGCTAACGGGAAGGCGAGGTTATGAGGTGTTTGTAAGTATCCAGGGAAGAGGATCGTTTGGTTTGGACAAACACAGCTGTCAGGGTTGTGAGATCGCAGGGCGGGTGAACGTCCTGTGTCCTTCAGGATATGCAATGACATCGGGCTCTGAGCCACAGTAACCAAAGGCGCGCGATTCCAGCATCCGACTGAAGACACGCACGTGACACGGGAGTATGGCAGCAAGTGCGTGAGCCTAGCTCCATGTCTCGAGATCGAGTGTTTCCATCGATACTGACGTCCAAGTCTAGAGATGTTTATTTGTATCGAGTAAGCTAACACACAGTGATACGCATATCGTGTAAGCTATATGTACCTACCTTAGTATCGGCGTACAGGGACGTCACGACCCACGACAGGGTTCATTCACTAGGGTGATGTCATCGACCAGGGTATGAAACAGGTATTTGACATGGTCAGAAGCAACACAAGACGCCAACCAGACCATCTCATCCTCTAGATCATTTTCCGTCCTGTGAACCGAGAAGACACCGTCTGGAAACCGAAACAAAACACGACTGACAACGTCTGAATCGACCAACCATGCCACCCAAAACCACAACAACCCAAGCTCGACCCCAAACCCGCCCTCCTCTCAAGAACCCCTCCGCCAGACCAGCAACAGGAACGGTAAAAGCGCCAGCCCGCACAGCCTCCGCTCCCTCCAGACCAGTTGGATCCACAGTCCGTCCAACACCCAGACACCCACCATCAGGCACCAAACCCGTCCAAGCAGAGCCCGCACGGGAAGGCAACTGGCTCAACCGGACGGTCCAGAACAGCGTCGCGGGTGTAGGAAACTACGCCGGGGGCTTCATCACTTCGATTGGGAATTCCGTGAACAAAGTCGGAGAGGGCGTCGGGAATAAGTATGTGTTTTCCCCAGCAGAGCCTTGAAAGCTCCTCATGTTTTTTTTCTCGGGTTTCTTTCAGGCTGACTTGGGGGTGGTTGTTGTTGGTAGGATCAACGATACGACCCGCTACTGGGGCCAAGGCGTCGCGGGCTACGGCAACAATATCAAAGATTCCGTCGGTGTCGGCGGACCCCGTGTTGCCACGGGTGGAAACCCCTTGGGTCTGGCGGGACAGGGCTCCGCGCAGAACCAGCCTACCGGCAAGGCGCAGAGCGCTGTGAGAGGCGGCGGGAAAGCAGGTGGAGCGAATCCGTTGGGGTTGTAGAGATCCGACTCACTCGGGCGCACTGGCTGAGAAGGGAAGGGCAGGGCAGGGTCCGAAGATCCTTTTGTCGTGGGCCAAGAAGAATCTGCATGATGAGGACATGGTAATTGGTGCAATGAATCACGACAGTGACTTGAGAGAAAAGTCAGCAGCGATCGCTCTTTGGAAACATTACTGGGCAAGGAACAAGGGAAAGTATATGCGTTATCTGACTGAACATGACTCCCTGATGGGATGGAATTTTGGCGTTAGTAATTTATTGGTCACGTATTTTCTTGCCATTTTGCTGGAACACAAGGGCAATCAATGAAACGACATGTATATGATAGTGGTACATTTATGGTGATGAAAATAATGACGGTCGTCATGGACGCGAAGAAGCAGAAGCAGAAGCAGAAATCCTCGCCGCCATCGAAGGCAAGTAAATCTAACTGCCACCTTAGCAACCAGCCTCGTCTCGTCTCGTCTCGAGGCAGACCTAAGGTAACTTCTCTTCACATGCTAGCTGAGCTGTCCATATCCTCTACCTTTTCGCCAAGGAGACAGAAAGTTCCTAAAAACCATACCGCAACTTCCCACGCATAAGAGGACCGGCATTCAGCTCTGCTCTGGATCTCATACAGAGACGCTGTATTCACCGTCCCCATCCGCGCCCAAAGATCCTTCTCCCTCCAAATTTCTCCCCTCTTACGAGCTACGAGTCCCACCCAACCCAGCATCATCATCTCCTCCTCCGTCATAGGCCAGATATCAGAAAATCCCACTCGCTGTCCCTCTCAGCAATCCTAGAATCTGCGTCTCATTCTCAACCGCGATTTTCTTCTCCTTGTCCTTTTCCCCTTCTCGCCTTCTAGATATTACATCCCCTATGCTACGATCAAAACTTTCAGAATTTTTTTGGCTTCGCTAGCATCTCGCGTTCGTAGGCGCCCTTCCTGGAATGACGTGAGTAATCTGTATGTCATTTCGTCATGTTCTTGAAGCAGGGCGATGGCGGCGCATCGTTCTTCTGCCATAGCCTGCGCAGCAGGCAGAGCATCCTTGTTTTTTCCAACTCCACCCTCCCTTTAGCTGTAGATAGTCAGTCCTTATCCGCCAGCGTTCGACAGCCTACGAGCACGCCCAGGGCTATCCTCTTACTCAGTCCACAGCAGGGAGAGGTTTATGGTCTGAGCATATACCCTCTATTTCCGGGACGAACAGCGATGTCGTCTTCTTGTTGGTCGAACCTCCCGGGACGAAAGCTCGAAATGTAGAAGAACTCAGTGTCCAGTCCCGACGCATGCCCCGATAGGTCGTGGCCATAGGTACCTTGATAAGTCCATGATCCCGGCAAGAAGAGGTACGTAAATGCCGTTCTCGGCGCTTATTAGCTTATGGTAGGTAAGAATGCATGTGACATCCTCATTAGGTAGCTATCCACGACCAAAAGGTGACAGAACATAGGCTTACCCAGGTAGGTATATGGCATTAGAGAAGAAGATGAAGTGCAATCAAACGAAAGCCGGTGCCGAGTCCGACGCCGAGCTTCTTAACACACACCTCAACTCATATCGCTCATCATGGGACATTCACGTCCTTTGTGTCCGTTCAACTCATTATTGGTATGGTATCCATATCTTCTTCGCTCACTATACTACCAACAGTATTCTCAGAAAGTCGTCAAGTCATGCTGCCGCTGCTGCTGCTGCTCAGAATTACTCCTTTACCCTTCCCCCGCGCACATGTGTATATTTTTGTTGCTTTGTAAGCCGATCCCTTGGAAGCATGATAATCCAACCAAAAAGGCGCCGTACACCATCGCCCATATGTCGTCGGTACTGGTATTGATTAGCCGTGTACATCGCTGCCACAAGCATCAACCATAGTTCGACCGACAATCCCTCGCACTTTCTGTTCGTCAAGGAATCGGAGATTCTTCACTCCTGTCAAGCGTTGAGATTCCGGGCTACGTTTGTGTCTCACAGGTCCCCAAGGGAATGAGACTGGCCGTCGTTCCCATTCTAGGAGTACTCTGGCGCACCCCCTGGGATCGCCTGGCCATGTCCGTTGCCCTCGCGCATGACCTCCAGCGTGTTCGGGAAGTACGGCTCCACGCCCCAGTTGCGGAGGTATGCGCCCGTCTTCTCAATGCGCTTGATCTCACGTTGCACGCCCCAGCTGTCTCCCTCTTCTCTGAATCGGCCCTTGATGACATCCACCATGGCTTCATCTAACCTGCTGTAGAAAGCGCGGCGCTCGCGAAGGTCTTCTTCGTCGCCGTTTTCGAGGCCACCGTGGGAATTGAGGTTTCCGCCGAGCTTGAGGAGCAGGTCGAAGGCGTAGCGTGGGCCGCTGGGAAGAGACGTGAGTCGCGTGATGTCCGGGAGGAACTTGAGCATGCACGCGGAGAATGATGGCGTGGGCAGCGAGTCGTTGAGATCGTCTTGTAACCGGTGTAGGTCGAAGTTGACGATGGTGATCTTGCGGTCGAGCTGTGCGTTCAGTGTTGCAGCTGCGTGAGTAGGCGATGAAGCATGGGAAGCGGAGTCCATGATCTGAGCAATGTTGGGCGGAACATCTAAGCAGCGCGATTAGTACAAACTCTCCAATGCTTCTGTGCTTCCCTCTGTACTCACCAGGCCGCAATCCTCTCTTGTCAATCCACGCATGTACCTCCGTCCGCTGCCTCTCCAGCGCATCGATGTACGCTTTCAAGTCCGCGATCTCGCCCTCCAATCCCTCAATCTTGTCGCTGTACGGTCGTACCGCCTGATTGAAAGCCGCCAGAAGCAAATCCGGCGCGGGCTCATGCTTGGTCGCAGAAGTCGGCTCACTGCCGAATCCGCCCGCTCCACTCCCGGAGCCTCCGAATCCGTTGCTCATCACTCGCCCACTGCCAGCAGAAGGCGGCGAACTGTACTGATTCCCGTGGTAGCGATCCTGGGTAGCGATCTCCGTGGGACGATCACGTCTCGCGTACATGCTGATCTCGCCCGTCTCCTTGGCCAGCGGGTCGGCGAGCTGGGGCGCGGTGTTACTCTGACGGGAGACCGGTACGCCCTGGTCGTGGTCCGGGGCGTCGAGGTCGGTGGGAGAGTTGTACTTGTGGACAGCAGTCGGGTCGCCGGCGTCGTAGGACTGTTTCGAATCGTGTCGCGAATCGTAGCTGTCTACGTAGGACTGGCTGTTACTGCGACTTCTCGAAAGGCGCTTGAAGAAGACCATGCTTCTGCAGAATCCAGTCGAAGAAGGAAAAGCAAGACGGAAGGGAGAATAAGCGGAGGCCGGTTGATGTGCAGCGGCTTATAATACAGTGCGGTGCGGCGTCTCTGACCGGGTGGGCAGGAGGGTTTGATTGGGCGCAAAGCGAGACGTGGTCGGCAAATACGGATTGAGTTCTGCAGGAGCAGCGTGGCTCGCCCGTTGGATGATGATGGTAACGAGGGAGTCATACAAGTGCAAACGAGATGGTGCAGTGCAAAGTCGGGAGGCTGGTGGAAGTGGTGCTTCCAGTCGTGTCCCATCTGGTGCTGGCGGGAAGCGAAGGTGGGTGGGAGAGCGTCTTGGACCAACACCGCGTCACTTCAATCTATTCCAGGCTATCTACGCCGCACGATACCCAATTGACCGTGCTACAGCTCCTACACACATCAATTCGCATACAGAGAGTATTCATCGTTCTCTATCGCAGTTCTACTGTTCATATGCAGCACATCTCCAATGGCCGAGCCGACCGGGCCGACGACGCTAAAAGAGCTTGGACCACCCCACGCAAAGTGGCTGGAAGCGCCGACTCCGTTTCCAACTTTCACACATCACTTCATCTCCCAACCACCGTCCACTGCGAGGCGGACAGGGGATCATGGTGATAATACAGAGGACGTTCCTGCTCGCCACGTCGTTAGAAGACCGAGACGTTTGACCTGGACGAGCGATCAGAGGAGAAAGGAAGAGAGGAGGGAAATGTGGGATCAGAAACAACTCTCATCATCTTAAAGGCTTGTACTACGATTCCGAAAGGCAGAGTGCCGTCAGTAGCTACGACCTCGAGTCGACCATCCCCTGCTGTTTTGTCTTGCGACTCTCCAGCCCCAAGCCAACGAGTCAAACAACGACCGCAAACCGAATGCCGCTCGACCTTCGTCATTGCAATGCCCATAGACCACCTCCCGTATGTCTTTGAACGCCGATTCGATCCGCCTGAGTCCTCGACTACTACTCTGTAACCTCCAAACGCCAACCTATGATCCTGCCGTCGTGGGTATCTTCAAAACTCAATTGTTGAATTTGACAAAGGTGCAGGCCTTGCACTTCTTCAGTGCATGCATCCACTGCTTCGACTTGCGCATCCGCCAAACGAAGTCGACAAACTCATCTCCTTCCAGGAAATCCAACACCATCTTGCCGATTGCTGGCGTCCGCTTCTTCTTGTCAAACCCGTCATTCATCTCATCGCAGACCTTGTCGAGAACACATGCGCAGATCATGCGCCTCAGTGGCTCGGTGTAATTGAGAATGAACAAGTCTTCCCCCAACTCCGGCCTCTGATCACCAAGTGGCGTGGTCAGAATGAAGGTGTAAGGAATCCAGCCTTTGAACTCGTCCTGGTGCCAGAGAGGCCGCTTCAGCATGAATTGATACTCCGGCACGATGTCTGCGTAGTCTCCGATGCTGCGCAGAAAGTTGCTGACACAGGACTGATGCACCATGAGATCGTCGAATTGAAAGGCGCAGTTCTCGACGCAGAAGATGGGCATGACTTCCCATCGCATCTGACGACAGGTATTGGCGATGCCGGGAACATTGTATCCGACTTTCGAGTGGCGGCATGCACCGGTAGAGCAGGTTCCTGGTTCCATGGCAAACTTGACAGGCTCATATGGATCTTCTTCGAGGACCGCCATCCGGTAGATGCGGTTCCGAATCTCGCCCGGAAGCTTTGAGAACAAGCCAATGTCTGAAGAAGGACACTCGCCACGCTGGGCGGGGCCCGCTGGGGATGGCGACGTGAAGTCTATGGGGTTGGAGCTGCTTCCCTTCGCCGGCTTGGTCTTCGCGTCCGACACAAATACGTCGTGGGTGCCTGGAAAGTCTGGAAACCACTGTCCCATCTCCGCGGCCTTGTCATCCATCGTGCCTTGCTTCCACGCGTCCGCCATTCGTAGCTTCCGCAGCTCTCGGCCAGGCTTCGAGAACTCACGCGGCGTAGGAACCACCGTACGTCCTTCTGGCGCGCGATATCCATTCGGCGGAATCAGTTTCGTGACCGAGTCGATTCGAACTTCTGGTGCGAGGCGGACAGCGAACGGATTGTTCTTCCAATCCGGCGAGTCGAGATCCACCGACCTGTTCTCCTCCGCCAAGCGCTTCCTGGTCTGGCGCTGCATTTCTAACTCTTTTGGTGTTTTTGCTGGTCGTGCGCGATAGGTGCCGTGTTGTGGTGGTCGGATGTACAGCGTGCGCATGTTCGCAGGAGCCAATGCGGGAAGTCGTGTGTTTGAGAAAGAGGTGGGAGGAAGGTGGTAGGCTGCAGCTTCACTTGCAGGGATCCGCTTGAGTCAGCACCCGTTCACGTGGAAGCTGCGCTAGTGTTCACGCTCGCGCTTGCGCGCGGCCGAAGCACCTTGAATCTTCTCGTGTTTGGTGGTGAACGAAAGTATGCGCCTGATGGAAGGGCACGATGTCTGAATGTACTGGCGGTGCGGAACACACGCAGCAATGGCAAGCTAGCGGCACGCAGCGAGTCCGAGCGCTTCTAATTTGGGTACTCGTCCGTAAAAGGTCGACTATTCGAATGAAGTCGCACTGCCTTAGGCAACAGCAGCGTTTGCGCTACAAACGGCCAGTCCGATGTTACGTAGCCGATTGTTTCAGGAGGGGACATTCACTGATCAAAGTGGAACGATTCAAGTTCGTCTTGTGTGTGATCTAGAACACAGTTTACACCCATCGTAGTTACGTCAGTTCGCCATTGAAGAACTCCGCGTTAATGTAAAAGGCTACATGCATGTCGTATTGAGTGTGTCAAAATTGAAGCAGGCGTAATTCAACCATCAACTATCTCCGCCCATCGTGTTTTGTCTGAGCTATTAGGCAGCCTCAATGCCTCTTTGGAGAGAGCAATGATGTCGAGAGGCTGAGAGATTTCATGGTCTTGTCATGTAGAACTTCGTTTGAATTGAGGCCAGTCCCTCCGCTACATCGCAAACAAACGGAGGCAGCCACAGGAATCATTCACTTTCGTTGCTGACCGTAGGAGCATCTCTCCTCTCATAGCTGGTCGCCCGGGGCTACTCCGGCTGAGGCGCGCGTTGAAGTTCACTTGCGGCTGTAGGCGGCAGCGGCATTCACATGCGAAGGCGCGGTAGCGCGTGCACGTGACTTCAGCACCTATAAAGGGGTCAATGCCCCTCGACCTCTTTCCTTCCCACTTCGCCTCCACAACAACCACTTTCCACACTCGATTCGAGCTATATTCGAGTCGAACTCCTCAACACCCCCTTCCACATTACCATCATCCATCAACACACTCTACCATGGAACCCAAGCGCCAAGACATTTCGACGCGCCGCGCTCGACTCCAGCAGGAAGTTGAGCTGCTCGCGCAGCTCCGCAAGCTTGATGAGGAGGAAGACCGGCTGAACAGTTCCTCTAGTCACATCAAGCCAGAGATCAAGTTGGAAGACGGAAGCGACGAGGTCGTCTTCGTCAACCAGCAGCGTCGCCAACCACAAGATGTTGCGCCACAGACCCCGAACTCTTTCATGCCGTACAGCGAGCGACAGCAGCCTGTCCGGAGCTACGGCGGCTCGCCACAGGAGTCGCGGGACCAGGGCGAGCAGAACACCATGGTCGCGCAGCCGGCCGCTCTCCAATCCAACTTCCCGCCTACCAACTACCAGCAGGGCAACGCCCCACAGGGCGGCTTTCAGCAAGAAGATTTCCAGCAGGGCAACCTCCAGCAGCCTAACCTCAACCAGAGTGGCCAGTACGGTGGAGCCATAGGTCCGCCGCCACGTCCGACCCCCGAGAAGCAGCAACCGAAGATCAAGAACGATTTCCGTCCTCCACATCAGCAGTTTCCGTCCATTGTGCGGTCCATCGACGGTGCTCGCTACGTGGAGCTGCGTTGCTATTTCTGCGGAGGCAACCACTCCACGAAGCATCGCGCTGGTACATTCTTCGCAGGCGCTTCTGGACTCGCGAACCACATCCGCATCTGTGAGTAAATCATGATCCACGCGAGCTCGACGATAGTTAACGTCCCGTTTCACTAGGTCACATGAGCCAGTGGCCAAAGGTGTCTGGAGGTAAGGAGCTCAACAACGTGGAGGTCGTGCGCTTGTGCACAGCGAGGCAGTTGGAGGGATGGCAGGTCGATCAGATGGTGCGAGGTAAGTCTTTCGCCGGAAGTCCTATTCGCCCGCAAGTAGGAGCTGACACGGCCATAGGCAACAAGAAGGCCTACAAGATCCCGCAGGTCGACGCTCAGGTCAACGCAGAGGCCGGAACGATGGTCACCAAGTCCCGCCAGCCCCGCAAGCGTAAGGCGGTCTCTGATGCTGCTGCTCGACTGGCCGCAGCTGAGAAGGAGGAGGTAAGTACCTACCCATCCATGAGATTCACAATGAGAGATGAACTAGGGACCAACCTTTCGCAGGAGCTCGCCGCCGCCGAGACCCTCGCCAGCTTGCGCAACAAGAGTCGTCGTACCTCCTACCTGCAGCCGAGTCCAAGCCTGCAGCGCTTCACCTCTCCCGACACGTATCCTCCGCTCTCGACGCAAGACCCGCTGAAGGACGAGGAAGACCACGAGACGAAGGAGTCTACCACCCCATTTGCAGACCACTCCGAAGACGATTCCTCATCTTCCTCCTCTGATGACGACGAAGACGACGACGATCCCATTCGCGGCCCACGTCGTATGATGCCGCCGCCTCCTCCACCTCCGGCGCCAGAGCCGAAGCGCATGATGGCCGCGCGCAAGAGTGCGCCTGGTGGTCCATCGGCTCGCTACTAGGCCTCTCATGCATAACGGTAAGTCTTCATTTCTGTTCTGTCAATGCCGCCGGCACGACCGGAGCTGCAGCAAGCCGGGCACGAGATGAGCAGCTACAGCAGCTACAGCAGTAGCAGCAGCAGGAGCGGAAATAGGAGCGGAGATGACGCTGGAATGCACGGAAGGGGTAGGACTCATGGGCTGTCTCTCAAGGAGCGGAGTTCGGGTGGCTTTTACTCAGGCTCTGAGTGACGAGAGCCTGTGCGATTGCGTGTCTTCACGACCGAAGAGCGAATAACAAGCATCCAGATGAGATGGACTGCATTAGTTAATGCAATGGTTGCTGTTGAAGTGAATGTGTCTCAGTTCCAGTCCCAGCTGTCAGTCGGAAAGGTGAGGTGAGGTTCAAGTTCGCGGTCCGTGCGCCAGGTACCATAAGTCAACTTTATGTACGGCAACTCGGGGCTCTCGTTCTGAGAAACATCAACGACAAGTTGTCGCCGCCATGTCGGGCACACGGCGCCTATTGAGCGCGTCGACACAACTTTTACGGCATGACCTAGGACTCAACAGATCCCGATGGCGGAGTCTGCAGCGACAATGCCACCGCCAGCTGTCCTTGCACTCCGGCCGGACACGCATAGCCCAAAATCTACGATACCCTCGAAGATACCAGTCGAATACGAGCGACGCGGCGAAGAAGGGAGCCGAAGATGCGGCAAAATCCGCCGAGCAGACCGCGAAACAGACAGGAGAAGCAGCAAAGTCTGCCGCCACGACTGCTGCGAAGAAAACCGCCTCGGGAGGTTCAAGAGTGATCGCGTATATTTACGGTACTGGGCTTGTCCTGCTTCTGTCCTTCGGATACCTCTACGTAACAGACACTCGCGCAAGCATTCACCAGTACCTCAGTGTTCCTCTTGTACGACTCATTCATAGCGATGCCGAGGAGGCACACCATGCAGGAGTCCGATATATCAAGGGGCTTTACGACTTTAACCTACATCCGCGGGAAAGAGGGAATGCTGATCAAGAGCTGGGCGATTTGAGGGTGGAGGTCTTTGGACACATATTAGACAACCCAATTGGCACAAGCGCGGGTATCGACAAGGATGCTGAGATTCCGTCCGCGTTGTTTGCACTAGGACCTGCAGTTGTAGAAGTTGGAGGAGCGACGCCCTTGCCGCAGGAGGGGAATCCGAAGCCCAGAGTGTTCCGGATACCTAGCCAGAACGCGCTGATTAATCGGTATGGTCTCAACTCGGAGGGAGCAGAGCATGTAGCTATGCAGCTGAGAGAGCGAGTGCGATCGTATGCTTACGATAACGGCATCGGCCTGGGCGCAGATGCCGAGCGAATTGTGTTGGATGGAGAAGCTGAGGTTCCCCCTGGCAGTCTGGTACCAGGAAAGCTACTTGCGGTGCAAGTTGCGAAGAACAAAACCACGCCCGACGATGACATTGCAGCAATCGCAAGAGACTACGTGTTTTGCGTAGACCGGCTGGCCAAGTACGCGGACATCTTGGTGGTTAATGTTTCCTCGCCCAACACTCCTGGACTTCGCGACTTACAGGCCACCGCACCATTGACGGCCATACTGACAGCTGTGGTGGACACCGCGAGAGCTACAGATCGAAAGACTAAGCCTGCAGTCATGGTCAAGGTATCGCCCGATGAAGACAGCGATGCCCAAGTTGAGGGAATTTGCAGCGCTGTCTGGGCCTCTGGCGTAGACGGCGTCATTGTCGGGAATACCACCAAGAAGCGACCGGATCCGATTCCTCAAGGCTACATTATGCCTGCAAACGAGACCAGGATTCTCAACGAAGTCGGCGGCTACTCGGGGCCCCAAATGTTCCAGCGTACATTAGACTTAGTGAAACGATACAGAACGAAACTTGATCAAGGACCACAGGACGATGCGCCTAGTAGGACACCAGCATCATCCCGAGAAGTTCCTGTTGATGATACCAAGTCATCTGTTGGATCTGTGGATGAAAGCGTAAAGCGAGATGCGAACCGCCTAAAACCTCTTACTGCCGAGGCGGAGAAGGATAGCAAGCAGCCACTTGTACAACTCCCAGACCGACATTCCTCTGAAAGCACATCCGAGAAGGCAAGAGGATTGGAACAGGCTGCAAGCACTGATGTCTCGAACTCGGCTCCAGCCTCTCAGCCAACGCATACCACTAGAGAGGCCGCGCAAGGAGCACTGGACAAAATCATCTCCGCGGACGGCACGGAGAAGAAATCTTCCGCAAACACGCCTTCGCCGGTGGAGCCTTTACCCGCCAAGGTCATATTCGCGACCGGCGGCATCACCAATGGCGAGCAATGCCTGGACATCTTGAACGCAGGCGCAAGCGTTTGTCAGGTCTACACTGCTATGATGTATGGTGGTGTCGGGACAATAACGAGGATGAAGAGCGAGATGCGGGACGCGATCAAAAAGCAGCAAAAGTAAGGGCATGCAGGCATCAGTGTACCTAATTATCGTATGTATAAAGTCTACATAGAAGGACAGACGGACAGTGTTGAATGGCGAAGACTATTTGAACGTAGTCGAAATGTCAACGAGAAGGCAAGCGAGCCTCGTGACGAAGTCTCACGCGTGGCGCCGGGAAACCTTATCTTGCCATCCGTTTGCCGTACTGCGCCCTGCGTAGCTCGTTCACTAACACGACGACCCCATGTCTGCTTTGGTGGGGAAAGGGAAAAGGCCCCAACTCCACCTCCACCTCCAACATGCGGAGAAATCTCGACGTGCTCCTCCTCTATTCTCAGGCTTGCGATGGCGATTACCAGAGTTGAAGATGTCATCAATAGAGACGACGAAAGCCCTAGATCCACCAACGCACACGAACAGCAGGATGAGAGACTGACTGCTGTCGGCAAGAAGAGAACCAGAACGGGCTGTCTGAATTGTAGGAGGAAACGCAGGAAATGTGAGGCTAGGAAAGGCGTTGACAAAAGGATGGGTGGAGGCTAACGTGATCTTTTGACAAAGGCGACGAAACCAAGCCCACATGCGAAGGATGCCAAGCTCGTAAAGAAACATGTGAATGGGGGATTAAAGTTTCTTTTCGGCCGGAAAATGCCCAGGTCATGCGACGGGAGCATCCCTCTATGGTTCACGCTGCCGCTGCTTGTTCCAGGAGGGAGGGCTTTCGAGTAAGTTTCCTCCACTTGAAGATCTGAAAACTGCTGATGGTGAGCATAGATTATCAACGTCACGAAGGAGGTCATTAGGGACTACTTCGAGGAGACGGCGGCTGACGAATTGGATAAGGGAGCACGGCCGAGAACCAGCGGGAATGTGAACCACACGCCGATTTTCCAGGCTGTCGCTACCGCGCAGAATCTCCCGGGCCATGAGGCTGAGACGAATATTCTGCATCGTGACGGTGCGGTTGAGACTCCGTCATTTCCTGGACCGGAGCCTTTTCTGTCGCCCCAGAATAGCGATTCTGCGTTTGAAGATGGAATATTCCTTCCTGGATCACAGTATCAAGAGCTCCACGCTACGCTGCGAAGCCGACTTATCGATACTGCTCGCTCCACGGCGCCGTCTCGGATAGGTTCACCAGAGATACCGGATGTTAGGCCTTCGCTTCATCGATCTGACAGTGCCGAGAGTGATGATGAGGAATCTCGGAGGCTAGCTCAGCTATCCGCAGAGCAAGAATATGCTCTTTGGCAGAATTACATTGACGAAGTTGCTCCTTGGATGGATAAATTCGACAATGAACGGCACTTTGAGCTCGTGTTGCCGGTCATTTCGAAGACGCATCCCCATGTGAGGTACTCTATCCTCGCATTATCGGCTCGCCAGTTGGAACTCAAGGCACAACGGGCGGACAATCAGCTCAGTCTTGCTCTCTACCAGCACGCAATTCACCTTCTATCACCTCTCTTGCAACAACGGACCACAGTTGTCCTGGCCTCTTGCGTAGTGCTCTGCGTGCTGGAAATGATGTCGTGCTCCCCGAAAGCCTGGCGTCGACATCTTGACGGCTGTGCGGCGCTGATCCAATCCCTAGGCCTTACTGGCGAGTGTGGTGGCCTCGAGCAAGCCATGTTCTGGTGCTTCGCTCGCATGGACATCTGCGGAGGTCTCATCTCATCGGAGAGAACACTGATACCCATGCACCGCTGGCTCAGCTCTAGTGGGGATGACTTCTTGACAGATTATAGCCTCCTCCAAAACATCTCCGGCTTTGACACGTACGCCAACCGCGTCGTCTATCTCTGCGGCCAAGTCATCGACCTTCTCTGTTCTTCCGGGAAATGGGAACAGCGCCATCATCACCAACAGAGTCGTGTGGTGATGGATGCGACAGAGTATATCCACCACTGGACCCACCTCTTCGAAGTCCTGGAAAAGTGGTACCTCGACCGTCCGGAAGAAATGAAACCCCTCCTCACGATCCCAACTACCCAACCTTTCCAAACCCTCTTCTACGGCAACGGGTCGGCAGTCTCTGGAAACCAAATGTATCACACTGCAGCTCTACTCATGCTGAAGTACAAGCCCTCGCATCTCCAGTTCCAGGCCTCGGTGTCGAAGAAGCCGCATTCGATCTTGTGGCATGCGAGGCAAATCTGCGCGATCTCTTTAAGCAATCGACATCATGCTGCTTGGACGAACAGTGTGCAGCCGCTCTGGGTTGCCGGGCAGCATATGAGTCATGAGTGTGAGCATCGGGCTATTCTTGAGATATACGGAGTTATTGAGAAGGAGACGGGGTGGAAGACTCGGTGGCGGGCGGATGATTTGAGGGAGTATTGGGGGGAAGGGGAGGAAGAGATCGTATAAGTTTGCCTGCCAGACAATAAGAATTAATTTGGAAGGCAAAACTTTCGTCAGATACGCTATAATGCTAGACCAAACAGACCCCGACCCAGAAGAGTAGCTATACTACACCGAAAGCCCTCCAGATGAGCAAGTTCAATGCTTGTGGTAAGCCTTGAACTGCACATCATGCTCATACTCGTTCAAATCCCTGAAATCACCCCTCAGCGTCGCAATCCCATCTTTCTTAACCTCGTCAATCAATCCCTTTGCTTTCGCGGCAATCTTCTCCCCATTGAAGTTGAACCGCTCATAGACATCCTTGCCGACCAACGACTGGCCAAAAGTATGCATATTGTACCCTGCATCGGCGTACCTCTCCCATCCAGTGGGAGAGTACGCTTCAATCGCGATTCTGGGTGCCGTGCCCAGCACTTCCTTCCGGTAAGCTCGGGACTGCTTCTCGAAGAGTCTCCAGCACGGCAGCGAGACGATCCTCGCGCGGAGGCCTTTCCCGACCAGCGCTTCACGGGCTTCGACGGCGAATTTCATCTCCGCTCCGGCTCCGACGAGGGTGACGTCTGCGTCTTTCTCCTCGAGGAAGACGTATCCGCCCTTCTGCACGCCTTCTCGGGAGGAATTCCCCGGGTACTGGGGGACTTTCTGTCGCGAGACGGAAATCATCGAAGGGGTGTCTTTTGCGTTCAGAGCTGCGATGACGGCTCCGGCGGCTTCTTCTCCATCGCACGGACGAATGTAATGGAAGTTGGGCATGGCGCGATAGAGAGTCGCGAGCTCAATGGGTTGATGTGTAGGTCCGTCTTCTCCGGTTCCGATAGAGTCGTGCGTGGCGATGTGGATGGTTTGCAAGTTTTGGAGAGCTCCCATTCGGAGTCCTGCGGCATTGTAGATGTAGAACATGAAGAAGGAAGAAGTAATGGGTAGGAAGGTTCCCCTGTTGAAAGCTGCCATGCCGTTTGATGCAGATGCCATGGCGTGTTCGCGGATTCCCCAATGGATGTATCGACCCGTGTAGTCGCCCTTCAAGCCGCACGCGGTCGTGAGGTCCGGGTTTTGGAAGTCCACCTTGGTTTTCCAGGCCATGTTCACGGATGGAGATAGATCTGCAGTTCCAACCATGACGTTCCCGCAATTTTCGGCGATGGGATTGATGATCTGGCCTGCAGCCTTTCGGGAGGGCGTGTCTTCTGTCGGGAAGTCGGAGGTTTGAGGGACGAGTTTGGTCCAGTCTGCGAGGAATTCGCCCTTGACTCGCTTTTGAAACTCGGCAGCAAGTTCGGGGTATTCTTTGCTGTATGCGTCTACGGTAGCGTTCCAGTCTTTCTCGAGTTGTTGACCTCGTGGGATGGCTTCACGGAAGTAGTCGTAGACTTCGTCGCCGACAACGAAGGTCTTGGATGGGTCCATGCCGAATGTCTTCTTGACGTGAGCAATGTCTTCCTCACCCAAGTCCGCTCCGTGGACCTTGGCATCTCCCTGGGCTCGGCTGCCGACTCCGATCACAGTGCGGATGTTGATGAAGGTAGGCTTGTCCTTGGAGGCGCGAGCTTGTACGAGAGCCTTGACAATCGCCTCAACATCATTGTTACCATCGGTAATGTCAATGACGTCCCAACCGCAAGCACGCATCTTCATGTTGATATCGTCGGATTGGGCAACGTCAACCGAGCCATCGCACGTAATCTCATTGCGGTCAAACATGACGCAGAGATTGTTCAACTTCCAGTGTCCAGCGAGTTGGATCGACTCCATTCCAACACCCTCTTGCAGGCAAGCATCTCCAATCATACACCATGTCATGTTGTTCACGACTTCGTAATCGCCGCGGTTGTAGGTGGCACCCAGGTTTTTGGATGCCATAGCCAGACCGACTGCGTTGGCAATACCTTGCCCAAGAGGACCAGTTGTGACTTCCACACCATCAATCTCGATTTCGGGGTGTCCCGGGCATACCGAATCGAAGCGAGGTGAGTGGTAAGTGAGCAACTGTTCCCAGCTCATCATCTTGTATCCCGTCAAGTGTAGAAATGTGTATTGGAACAAGCAGGCATGTCCATTACTCAGGACGAATCGATCCCGGTTGAAGTAGTCTGGATTCGAAGGCGAGTACTTCATGATGTATTTCCAGAGGGCGACACCAATGGCTGCCATTCCCATGGCAGAGCTGCAATCCCGTTAGGATTTGACTCGGAAGTGCATTGCTTCACTGATCTTACCCAGGGTGGCCGCAGCCAAATTGATGGCACAAATCCGCAATCAGGCACCGGAATGTCCTCAGAACAAGATCTGTCTTCTCGTGTGCCTCCATCTTTACGTCTTCCGTCGTGGCTTTGACGCCATTTTGCTTGTCAAGCTTCAATGGCAAATGCGAAACATCTTCATTCGAAACGGGAACTGCTGAAGGTGCCATGTTTGCTGTAAGTCGAACTGAGGGCCAAGGTGAGGAGAATGAAGCAGAAAAGCAGCAGCAAGCAATGGGCTCTGCTTTCCAACAAGAGCCGTAGGCGTTATATACGTCGCCCTGGCATTGGCATGGGAATTACTTGGAGCTCTATCAAGCTCCAGCGAAAACTCTAATGAGCCCGTCTGTGCCATTCATCCATTTTGCCACGAGGGTTACTCCTCATCACGGTAAGCAAGCAGAAGATGAGCTGTATAGCAGCGTACCCGGTCCAGAGGGTGCTTAGAGCTACCATTCCTGTAAGGAAGGTAAGTCGGAGCGCTCGTCTCGAGGTCGAAGCCATGGATCGGATTGCCGATTAAGCACCTGGTCGACTTCAGCTGGGCCATTCACCACACAGTCTTGTTGGTGAGCTAACAATACTTGTTATGGAGCCGGAAGGAAGCCACGATGCGAAAAGTTTTGTCCGATAGCATGGGTCTCGTTGATCCACCATGACACGTATCTCGCTGGCTACGTGATCTTGACGAGACCGATCAGACAGCCGTGTTGTCGTAGATAACAGGCGCAGTTCATCGTTGTGTTCTGTCGTCGTAAGTATTGTAGCCTCCATCTTCTCGCACTCTTCTCATCGGAACATTGCACTTTCACCAATCTCGAACTTCTAATTACGCAACAATGGCGCCAGCAGCAATCACAGCCGAACACACCCTCCCCGACCTGATCCCCGAGTCAGCGCAAACCCAAGCCAAAGGCCCTAGCATCCCAGACCTCTTCTCCCTCTCAAACCAAACGATAGCCATAACTGGCGCCGGCAGGGGATTGGGCATAACCCTCGCATCCGCATCCCTAGAAGCAGGCGCTCACGTCGTCTGCCTCGACATCCTCCCCTCGCCTTCACCAACCGAGTGGCAAGAACTCCAAATCATCGCCAAGAAGAATGGAGTGACAGTTTCCTACGACATCTGCAACATCACGTCGGAATCCGACGTCATTGCAAAATTCGAAAAGATCGCTTCGTCCGCTCCAGCAGACGCTCCATTCTCAGGCTTGATCGCTTGCGCTGGAATCCAACAGCGCACTCCGGCGCTAGACTACCCTATTGACGACTTCAACCGCATGTTCAACGTCAATGTAACCGGCACTTTCATAACAGCAAAGCACGCTGCCAGGCACTTCATTGCCAATAAAATCCGCGGAAGCATCGTTCTCATCGCCTCTATGAGTGGCCAAATCGCCAACCGCGGGTTGCTCTGCACCGCATACAACTCCAGCAAAGCAGCAGTGCATCAAATGTGCCGCTCTATGGCGCAAGAAATTGGTCCGGAGCATGGAATCCGGATCAATACGATTTCGCCGGGTTATATCAGAACGGCCATGACGGACGCTTTGTTGGAGCAGGAGCCAGAACTGGAGAGGAAGTGGATGGACGGGGCGCTATTGGAAAGACTGGGTGCTCCAGAGGATTTCAAGGCCCCGGCGGTCTTTCTGCTAGCTAAGGGGAGCGCATGGATGACGGGGGCGGACCTGAGGGTTGATGGAGGTAATTGTGCGGCGGCCTAGCTTCAATCTCGGGTTGAAAGCGCGTATCTTGGTTGTTAGTCGTTCTCCAGCGTACGTGAGCGTTGGCGTCTGTATGCAGCTTGTTCGCGAAAGGATCTGTTGATCCAATGCTTGTTTTGCAACTGCCTCCGATTCCATTCGCGACGTCGCTTCTCCGCTATTCCATGCATCACAGCTTGAGTCTTGGGTCTTACAGCATCGCATCGCAGCGGTCTCATCGCATTACCAAAACGTAAGGCAGTACGGTGTATCGATCAGTTCCACTGCCGAGTGGGAGCCACACAAGCGTTGAAACAAGCTGTACTTCTCGTTCGGATTTCCCTTTATGGCATTCCTTTGCGCTCGTGCATGGAGTATCTCGAGGCACTTGCCTCCTCGGCCCGGCTTCCTGCAGCTTCGACAGACCTGCCGCGGGGCTTTCTCCGCATAACAGACGGCGCTACTGTACCATGACCTTGCTGCAAGTATTCAAGTACCGACCACAAATGAAGAAACAGGTACGATGTACGTGGTTGTTGAGGTCTGGGCTACGTATAACGGTTAGCAATGCGCAATCCTTGACAAACGTACCTGTTTCAGATCATGATTTGGATGTCAAAAGGAGCAATTCGAACAGGACAAGTTCGTCTTCGTCCAAAACGTGCCAACGTTATTTCTGTACATGCCGCCGCCCCACGTTTTTCGTGGCTGCGTTCTGTAGCATCATCTTCCTGTGCCTGAGATATTAGGCATGAGGAGGATCATGGCATTGTGCTATTCGTATTATTTGGCTGCATTGTTGATCCATCCCTGGTCACATAAGAATTCGAAAATCCGCCCGCCTCTGGTGGTGTCGATTCTGCTCAGTTCTCGTACGTTCTTTTTCTTGAGCCTGCCTTCTACCTTCTGTGCCTCACGCACAATCTGGTCCTTGATCGCGATGTACGCCTTAGGATGGAGTCTGAGCACATTGCAGAGATCTTGCTCAATCGGCATGAGAAGTTGCCAGTCCGATGCCGAGTCTTCATCCCAATTCGCTGGACTCAGATTCGGTATCGGCTGTAGCGGAGTTCGTTTTGGTGTATTAGTCTTCTCGTCGGTTGGTCGGTACCCGTTCTCAGGGTTAAGTCGAACAGGTAGGTCCTTCTTTGTCGTGAATTTGACGACATTTTCGCCGATCTCGGGCACTCCAGCGTTAGCCTGAGGCTTACTGGGGCGGATGCTGGTTGCCATGCGATCGAACTGACCCGGTTGAGATATAGAACGCGCTAGTCGCACCTTCTTCTCTTCCTCGTACTTCTGGCCAAGTGCAAGTGTTGAGATCCGCATGCGCCTCCATTCCTGCAACTGCGCGATGGCAAATCGTAGATCCTGTTCTGTTTCCAGGTCCTGCGAGAATTCCAAAAAGTCTGCGTGAGACATCAAGCGGGCAAATTGCTTGAGTTTCTGGAACAGATCCTTTTGTTCCTTTGACTTCTTCTTCTCGATCGCCATGTTCTTTCTGTACTCTTCCAGATGGTGACCTAGGATAACCCGTTTCCGATCTGTTCGCGCCGTGAGACGGTCGTTATATATGGTCATCACCACCATCTTGAGCTCGGTCTCAGGATCGAATTGGCCGGTTGCGGGATTGATGCCTTCCTCTGGCGAGAACTGCATATGCTGCACTGCCTCCTCAGCTTCGTTGAAATATTCATTTTCGAATTCCAGTCGCCCAGGCATGAATCCAGCAACCTCATGACAGCTGGGTATCGAGGAGGTCGGCTTAGCCGGTACAGACGCGGTCGCCTGGTGTTCTGCGATCTCTTGCTTGCGCTCGTCTATTCTTCGCTTTTTTCTTTGCTGAAACTCCTCTCGTGGTATTGCTTCACTCAACCTCTTGTCCGCCGGACTTGCGCGCTCTGGGAGCGGGAAGTTTTTGGACTCGATGTATGTCTTGATGTAGTGGTTTCGCACCTCATCTTTTTCTCTGAACCCTCCGATGTGATCGGCAATATCCGCAAAGCTACCCAGGCCATATTGCTCCGCACCTTCCAGTAGTAATAGCTCTTCATCTGCGCCCCAGTCTTCGTCGAATATCGGAATACTGTGGGGCTCGATGACTTGGTAGGGGTGTTCCGCCGCCTTGTGGTGAACATTTTGTTCGCCTTTGGAGAAGCATGTGACGCAGAGGTCGTAGTCGGAGCAGTCTTTGCTCGCGCACCGTATGCGAACGGTCGATGTGATGTCGCTGCTGCAGACGTTACAGATGTACTTTACACCACCGCCGGAGCCTGAGTCGGAGCGCGGCGCCGACTTGGCCTTGGTGATGAGGCCCATGTTGCGCTATATTATGTTGTGCAGTGCATGAGGAGAGAAGTATGATAAGCTTGTCGTGTCTATTACTGAGATTTACGCGCGACTTGCATGAGTCCTCACACGACTCTGCTGCTGCTGTTCGCGCGTGCTCGGGAAGTGAACAAGTGACTGTGTGAAGTTAGTTACAGGTGAGGATCGGAGCCCACGGACGACGCGACCCCACAAAGCTTGGCAAATCACGTGCTTTGTGGGAGATTGCCCTCGTGCTTTCCTCGCAGCTTTGCTTCCCTCTTGTCAAGCACTCCTACACAACTTCAACGAAAATCAAAATCGAACAGAGGAAATCAATGAATGAATTGTGCACAATTATTACTACAAGCTAAATTTCTACATCGGAAGAAACAACCCCGTGTCTCCAATCTGCCTTTGACTGCGGAACCTTTTCTCTGTAACAGTTCAAGGACAGGAAGCAGTCAGCCAAATACTTCGTCTTCAGACCAGACACCTCCCGTCCTGTCAACTCTAATCACCCCGCTGATCTTACTTGTCTTCCATTTGCACAACAAGCCTGCTGTCCGTTAAGGTGATGTAACACGTGTTGGCTGGCGGACAGCACACTTCGGGATTGTACGTGTGTCAGCAAGCATAACACTGTTGGCCATCGAAGCAAGAGCCGTCTGGATATGGTACTCCATTCTGAGGCTCACCGGGCGAGTGACGCCATGTTGCGACGGGTGAGGTTGTGTTCTTCAGCTCGTGGGATGTCTGCGGCATGTTGCCGAGCCTCGAGAGTAGCCTCTGTTCCCGGGAAGACGATGAGTGATGCCGCAGCTAAAGGACCTTTCAGGAGAGCGACCGTGCTCAGGACCGAGTTGGAAATGCATTTGTTCCACAACCCTATCGACGACTCCACGCGGAAAGAAGCCTCGAAAAGGAAGCCTCGAAAAGATCAATGGAGACATCCTTGGCAATTGCAATCTGCTGGAACAAATAAGCTACGAACACAGAGTGCGTTTAAACCTTGCTACAATAGAGCAGCATCAGCACCAAGGCTCACTGGTTCTCTTTAGTGCATTCCCAACAATGCTCAGTGCAGCAACGTGGGCTTGGCCAGTGATAGACGCTCAAGCACGGACTATGTTCTTTGTCAAGACGCAGCCGTACGTACCCAGCATCAGCCAGAGCAGTTCATGCCAACACTGTGTTCATCTAGATGTACGAAACTTGTCTTGGCAACGCCCTACGAATCTGTTTGCCGCCTCGTCACCATGGCGCTCTCGTGTCATGGACGTTCAATGGGGGCTGCGACTCCGTAGCACAAGGAACAGGAATAAAAGACTCTCGACTCTTCCATCTGATGAACGATCCTTGTGAGAAGGTCGACCAGGTTGCGAGGGAGGAGGTGCCAAGATGGGGGAATTCGGGAGAAAGAGTCAGTGATGGGCATGTGGGGCGAAGGCAGCGTGAGATTGATCTATTGACTACAGCGAGCCAGGAGCTGGAAATTGTTATCTGTGTTATTAGCTGGGGAGGAGAAAGTGGGGATGGGAGAAAAGTACGGGGTTAGTAAGATTGGTAGACTTATCCTCTCCGACATGTGACAAGCTCTTGATGCGCAGATGATGTCTCCACAGTTCACGCAGAACTGTTCCAAGAGCTTGATGTAGTCGGCACGCTTGTGCTATGATGTAGCATTTCTTAGACTTTGATACGAAATCGCCTCGCAGTCGTAAAGACACCTCATGCGCCGCAGCAGTCCAGCCTTACCGTTGGACCCTGGACAGTAGTAGCAGTAGTGGACAGGAGGCGCGGCGGGCGCTCGGTGCTCAGCCACCTCTGGGCTCTCGTCGCGGCAACGAAACGTGTGGCAGCAGTTCTGTTCTATTTCCAAACGCACACGAGCGCTGCACACGCAACGCAACAAACGAAGGACGACTGCCGATTACATTACCAAGCGGTGGGCATTGAACGTTCGCCTGAGGCCTTTTATTACCTACTCCGCGCTTCGCTTGCGCTATACTGCACACTGCACACTGCACCGTCCAAGCCAAGCCAAGCGTCTACATCTCCGCCGCGCATCGACGCCAGCGAGACGTCACCGAGCCTCCCGCGAGCACGGCCACCACCACTGCAGCGCTGTAAAGGGATCCTCCCGCTTCACTTGACGCGGACGACATCCCACCACACACAGACGCACTCGACTCGATCGTCTTCACCCCTCCCATCCGCCAGCCAATATGTCGTGGAAACTCACCAAGAGTGCGTCGCCGTCCACCAGTGTCCCGCACTACGGAGTCGCTAACATGCCGCAGAGCTAAAAGAGACCCATCTTGGGGCGCCCTTCTCCAACACCTTCTCCCGAACCTCCTCCCAATCTACCCTCACCGACCAAGCACAAAAGGCTCCTTCAGCGACCGCCGCACCAGGCGCTCAAACACCCCAGCCCACACAGAATGCACCGAGCGCCTCCAATGGCAACGACCCGCAGGGCATCGCCGCCTCCGAGCAGATGGCCACCGCAACCGCAGCACCCGCTAAACCGGGTATTTTGATCTTGACGCTACATGAGGGAAGAGGTTTCAGTCTGCCGTCCGGTGCTGAACAGGCATTTGCACCGCGTCCTGGACATGGCGGAAGCATGAGCACGGGATCATTCGCGGGCAGCTACATGGGCGGTAACAGTGCCCGGCCGGGCTCGAGTGCTGCTCAGGGCAGCTTTCGACCCAATTCTGCCAGCGGCGCGGCCATCAACAACATGCCATCTACTCATGGCCGATACAGCAGCAAATACCTGCCCTACGCACTCGTCGATTTCGACAAGCAACAGGTCTTTGTCAATTCAGTATCTGGTACACCCGAGAATCCCGTCTGGGCCGGAGAAAGCACGCAGTACAAGTTCGATGTTAGCAGATCGACCGAAATCAACCTCTCTCTATACATCCGCAATCCCGCAGCGGCGCCCAATGCTGGTAGACAACAGGACATCTTCATTGGCACATGCCGTGTCACGCCGACCTTCTCCGAAGACGCACAGTCAGGTGCACCACAGCCACCTGCAAGCTCGGATAGTAAGACGAAGAAGGAGAAGAGCATGCCGCCGCCATCATCAAGCGGTAGCCATGGAACTGGCGTCAACTGGCATGATGTTCAATACGGCACTGGATCAATCCGGATAGGGCTGAAGTTCGTGGAGAACAAGCAGCGCTCGCTCAAGGTCGAGGACTTCGAGCTGTTGAAGGTGGTTGGCAAGGGCAGCTTCGGTAAGGTGATGCAGGTGATGAAGAAGGATACATCCCGAATCTACGCCCTGAAGACCATTCGCAAGCAGCACATTATCTCGAGGTCCGAAGTCGCACACACCCTGGCAGAACGATCCGTGCTAGCTCAGATCAACAATCCGTTCATCGTACCGCTGAAATTCTCCTTCCAATCACCGGACAAGCTCTACCTGGTTCTGGCGTTTGTAAATGGCGGAGAGCTGTTCCATCATCTACAGAAAGAACAGCGATTCGACATCAACCGATCGAGATTCTACGCCGCCGAGCTTCTGTGTGCGTTGGAGTGTTTACATGGCTTTGGCGTGATCTACCGTGACTTGAAGCCTGAGAACATCCTGGTGGACTACGTGGGGCATATTGCGTTGTGCGATTTCGGACTCTGCAAGCTGGACATGAAGGACGAAGACAAGACCAACACGTTCTGTGGTACCCCCGAATATCTCGCGCCAGAGCTTCTGCATGGGCAAGGATACACCAAAGCAGTGGACTGGTGGACGTTGGGTGTACTGCTGTACGAGATGTTGACGGGCCTGCCGCCATTCTACGACGAGAACACCAACGAGATGTACCGGAAGATCCTATCAGAGCCGCTACATTTCCCCGGCCCTGAGGTCGTTCCACCGGCGGCGAGGGATCTGTTGAGCAAGCTCTTGGATCGTGACGCAACGAGAAGACTAGGCACTAACGGTGCCGCTGAGATCAAGGTGAGCAGGATCGAGGTGCAACTTCCATACCGCATGTCCGCTAACAAAGGAGCAGGCCCACCCGTTCTTCCACAGTATCGACTGGCGGAAACTGCTAGATCGTAAATACGAGCCCAGCTTCAAGCCCAGCGTAGTGGACGAGCGCGACACGGCGAACTTCGACAAGGAATTCACATCAGAAGCACCCACGGACAGCTACGTCGAGGGCCCAATGCTGTCACAGACGATGCAACAGCAATTTGCTGGCTGGTCTTACAATCGGCCGGTGGAGGGATTGGGCGACGCGGGTGGCTCGATCGTACAAGGCAACGCTTTCGACCAGAGATAGCTCTCTCTTCATACCCTGAAGTCAGATCGGAGCAGGAGCGCTGGGGAAAAGATGTATGATGCCAAGGAAAAGATTCGGCTTGACGATGGCACGAGGGGAAGATGCAGTTGTGGGAAGTTACAAATGCGCGAGAGCGCTAGAAGGGAGGAAATTTGATTCTTTGTAGGCGGGGCAAGGCTTGAGGCTTGATGAGACAGATAAGAAGAAGAAGAAGAAGAAGAAAGTGTAGCCGTAAAGGCACCGTCCGTAGATAGCCGGCGTTTCCTTGTGGTCGCAGCAGGGCTGGGCTGAACAATGCAAGCCGGTCCCCTCTTGTGCTGGTGTTCTCGTAACTTCGTAAGATGTGGCGGAGGTGAATCGGAGGATAGATGTTCTCCATCGGCTCGGGTAAGACGTCATTCCTGTCAGTCCCGCTCCGTGCCGTTATTCTGACCATGATCAAGGAGAAGCTTGGATGGAGAGGAGAGCGTGCTTGCCAAAGCGGAGAGTAAGGTGAGTGAACGCTCTATAACACGCTCAGTCAGATCAGATCTTGGTAGGCATGTGGTCGTCTCGTGACGGGTGGTGGCCTCAGGCACCACTGCACCGAGTCGAGCCCCCACTCTGCCCCCGTTGGTGGGGCTTCACGTCATTTGCGGTGAGGCAGCGGCAGCATGCAATTGCTCAACCCGCGACTTTTCTCGAGTACTTCCACCAACTTCCGACACACCACTATACTTCCGTTGTTCCCCCCCCCCTTCTCCATCTCATCGCCCGCGAGAACAGTCACTAGTCGCGTCGATCTATCTGAGAGAGTGAGTACCTTATCCCGCAAGCATCCCGCAGCGAGCAGTAGCTCCAATCTACCTGAAACCCACGAAACAGCAGCTGTTGGGCGGTTGCCATTCAGACTGACTCTACCAACCAGACACCACAGCAACAAAATCTGACAGAAACCGACAAGAGGCAACGACACCGCCAAGATGCCTGGATTCTCCCAAGCCAACGAGCTCCCGGCATGGAAGGACCTGATGGAGCACCACGACAAGCTGGGTCGTGGCATGGTCCTGAAGAACGAATTCGAAAACGACCCCGAGCGCTTCGAGAAGTTCAGCCACAGCTTCAAGAATGAGGCCGACGGCTCCGACATTCTCTTCGACTTCAGCAAGAACTTCATCACCCAGGAGACTCTGCCAAAGCTCGTGAAGCTGGCGCAGGAGGCGAAGCTGGAAGAGCTGCGCGAGGACATGTTCAAAGGTGAGAAGATCAACTTTACCGAGAAGCGTGCAGTCTACCACGTTGCTCTGCGCAATGTGAAGAACGAGCCTATGCAGGTCGACGGTAAGAGCGTGGTGGAGGAGGTCAATGGCGTTTTGGAGCACATGAAGGAGTTCAGCGAGCAGGTACGCAGCGGGGAGTGGAAGGGCTACTCAGGCAAGCCAATCGACACGATCATCAACATCGGTATTGGTGGTTCGGATCTGGGTCCAGTTATGGTCACCGAGGCTCTCAAGCCGTACGGCAAGCCAGGGTGGAAGCTGCACTTCGTCAGCAACATCGATGGTACTCACATGGCAGAAGCACTCAAGGACAGCAACCCGGAGACCACCCTCTTCTTGGTCGCATCCAAGACCTTCACCACGGCCGAGACCGTCACCAACGCCAACTCGGCGAAGAAGTGGTTCCTCCAGTCCGGCAAGGAGAGCGATATCGCGAAGCACTTTGTCGCTCTGTCTACCAACACAAAGGAGGTGGAGAAGTTCGGCATTGACAGCAAGAACATGTTCGGCTTCAGCGACTGGGTTGGTGGTCGTTACTCGGTCTGGTCGGCTATTGGCCTCTCCGTCGCCCTCTACATCGGCTTCGACAACTTCCACCAATTCCTGGCGGGTGCTCAGGCCATGGACCACCACTTCCGGACTGCACCTCTTGAGAAGAACATTCCCGTCATTGGTGGTCTGCTGAGCGTGTGGTACTCCGACTTCTTCGGTGCTCAGACTCACCTCGTCGCTCCGTACGTATAGCCTACTTATTCATCGGCCGTGTATGCTGATAGTGACGCAGATTTGACCAGTACATGCACCGCTTCCCAGCCTACCTGCAACAGCTGTCCATGGAATCCAACGGCAAGGCCATCACTCGCAGCGGCGACTACGTGAAGTACACCACCGGAGCCATCCTCTTCGGCGAGCCTGCCACGAACGCCCAGCACTCTTTCTTCCAGCTTCTGCACCAGGGCACCAAGCTCATTCCCACCGACTTCATTCTCGCCGCCAAGTCGCACAACCCCATCGAGAACAACAAGCACCAGATCATGCTTGCCTCCAACTACTTCGCCCAAGCTGAAGCTCTCATGATCGGCAAGACACCCGACACCGTCAAGGCCGAGGGCGCCAGCGAAGAGCTCATCCCACACAAGGTCTTCCTTGGCAACCGCCCAACCACCAGCATCCTCGCAGAGAAGATCACCCCGGGAACTCTCGGTGCCCTGATTGCTTACTACGAGCACGTCACGTTTACTGAAGGCGCGATCTGGAACATCAACTCTTTCGACCAGTGGGGCGTGGAGCTTGGTAAGGCTTTGGCGAAGAGCATCCAGGCTGAGCTGGAGGCTAGCGGCAAGAGCACGAAGCACGACAGCAGTACGAGCGGGCTCATCAACGCGTTCAAGGAGAAGGCAGGAATTCCGTGAATACAAGAGCGGAGTACTCCGAGACTCTGAGGCATCAGCCTGGGATTGAAATGGAGTATGAGATATGAAGTATCAACGTGTCATGGGTGTGTTTTTGAAGGAATGCAGTAAAGCAAGCAAGCAAGCAAGCAAGCAAGCAAGCAAGCAAGCAAGCAAGCAAGCAAGCAAGCAAGCAAGCAAGCAAGCAAAGCGACCCTTTTAGCGTAAAAGAAGCCCAAGTCTTGTTTTGACGGTACATAGAAATCGAATGACGATGAGGAATCCAGATGAAATCTCCCTTTGCTGCAAGATTCATGTCTGCTTGCTAATCGCTTCTAGAGGCTCCTCCATGATTGCTCCTCGCTCCGAGCGTCCTCCGCTCCCATCGTGCCACGGAATTATTCGTAGCAGGGATATTGGCAAGGAATTCCCATCTGCCTGGAAACTCTTTGTGTATACTTCTTCTCCTGCTGAACGGTACTGGCCGTGCACTGGGGAAGCGCGTGCCAGTATCTGTCTGTGTGGGATGGATAATTCTGCTTGGATCAACCCAGATTCTGAATGCGCCTGGGAAAAGGTATCTAGAGGGCCGCGATTTGTCCGTATCGTATCATCAGAGATTCTGCTTGATCTCGTCGGGCTCAACCTGCCGCCCGAGTATCTAGATGGTTGAGCAGCCCCCTTCATTCGAGCTTTTCTTCGCTGCTCTTGGCTGATTATTGGACCCCCATATAGTCCAAGAATCGGAGGTGTATGCCATCGATGCGCAGCTCATTTCTCGGAATTTTTCACCATGCTTGCTAATCACCGCCGTTGTATATACGCTACCCATGAGTGAGTGTGAGGTCTCCAGGTTCCGTATTGGAGGTTCTCAAACGAAAATGGCCAGGAAGATGGAGGAATGCCCGTGCTTGAATACTTGGCTGTACTCTCAGTTGCTGTATGACTGTGGATAGTCTTGTCGTGTTGGATGTAAAGGTAAAGACTGCAGAAGGTCCGCGAAAAGCTTCAAAGCCAAGTGTAGGTGTCGTACGTGACGACTGTGCACGTGTTAGTGTAGGTGGAATTGTTATGTAGCCAGAACTGAAACCCTGCCGCTCGGATATCTTCTGATTGTCATGTGAATGAAACGGTGCTACTGTCGTATGCCCACTGAGATTGTTCTGATGATCGCCTATCACTCTTTCAACTTCACGACTTGGGCATCACCTTGTCTGCTCTTTGAGGCCCTTCAAATGATGGCGTACAGTTGTCATTTCTGCATTGCACCGCTTCGATCTTCGCCACATATGAGTCCCTGTCCCTTTGCAGGTCTCCTCATTTCTCTGTCTTGCCTTGCGGACAACGCAGCAGGTTTTTGGCTGCGAACATTGCCATGACTATTGACTCGCCTTCGACTCTCATCAGCTTGGCAATTATCTTCGCCTCACGCATTGTGAAACCGAGTTTTCTGTTCACGTCCGCCGTTGACTCCTTTGAAGAGGACCACTCGAAACCCTCGGATGATGAAAATCTGAATTCGAACCTGATGGTCTCTCCATGGGCATTTTTATCAGTGAGAACGACATGCCGAAGATGCTTGGTGTTGTCGCCCACAATCTGCTCGAGCCTGATCATGAATGCGATTAGCACAACGCGATCGATCCAAGGCCGAATTAGGGCGACATACTCACCGTGGCTGGAAAGTTTCCTCCATATGGAGCCGCTCAACCGGACGACCAACTAGCACCAGTGGCTTTGCACGTATCAGAAAGCTGTTCCTCGCGTAGAAGATTGGCAAGACTTCCGCTCTCATCTGCTGGCAGACTTGCGCAGTTGCAGGCCACGCTGACTTGTAGTCGTCCCAGTGATAGAGAGCGTCTTGCTTCAGACCAGTCGTGATGGTGATCGGCCGCTCCTGAAGCTCGAGTGCGTATTCGTAGACGTTGTTACGGAACTCAAGTGGCAAATCCCAGAGTCGCTTGAATGGCTGTGCGATCATTCTGAGCTCAGAGAACGGGCAATCTGTTTGACTGAGCTGATCTCTAAAGTGGAGCATGCGGCGTTGGAAGGTTGGACTCAGCTGAGAGTTGATGAGACCTAGAGCTTTTTCGTAGTGCTTCGCATCGGCGAGATAGTCGCATCTCTCTTTCACATTCCAAGAACAGCCTTCACGGCCGCTATCGTCCCTCTCTTCGCTGGACCCGTCATGTTCTGCACAAACGTACCGCAGAAGCTCGTGTGTGCGCAGGATAACGTCCATCCTCGTGATCCATTCGTTGTAGTTTGCTTCGTACAAGAGGCCGCTTTTGGTGAGATCACCCAATTTAGCTGGGCACGGTCGACGCATGTTTGTGGTAACTTCGGCTGTCTAGCTGATGTACCAGACGGGCCTCGAGAGGGTGATTCTGCGGGTGGGATGGGATTCGACGTTGCTTCTCCCCGTGGGAATAGTTGCTGGCAGTGGCAAGACCGAAAGTGAAGCTAGAGCAAGTCTTGATATCACCTCGGAAGGAACACTTGTAACTGCCTCTCTGCGATGTCGCATCCACAATGGAAGTCGCGGGGCGACTTTGCCCATCCAAGGCATCGTACGGGGGGCAGGCGCTATTTTCAAAAAGATGCAAAAGGAGCGGAAATGCCATTCTCGGCATGCGAGCTGGTCATGTAAGTTCCCTCTGATGAGCTGGATCTACTACATGTTAGCCATTTCTCGCAAGTTAGAAGTATTCTTTGAGGCATGTGCTCAAGTGTTTATGCCAACCCTCTCAACTCAGTTCCCGTCGCTCCAAAGCATGAAAGAATTTGTGGCAGACATAAGCACCACCGCAGTGTTGGTAACAAGACCTGCTTATGCGAACCAATCTTGCATTATCAACCGGCCATGCTATCCTCAAATAGTCGCTCGCGCAATCAAACATTACTCCACTGCTCCCTCCTCGTCAAAGCCTCCAAGCTGATCACAATCCGGAGCTGTTACAGCAAGTCGCAGAGTTCGCCATCAGACTGTTCATCGTCGGCGTCCACTTCGTAGGTGGTCTTGAGTGTTGATGAATCCCAAAGATGCGGATCCATCAGTAGAGCCAAGGCGATCGACTCGCCACCAATGTTCAGCAGCCTTGAAAGATTGACCGCCGCGCTCATTTTTTGACCAAGCTCCGTCTTGGAATCTGAAGACAATCTCTTCGGATGCCTGACAGTTAAGACGCCTTCTGAAAATGCGAATTTGACGATGCGAACGTCTCTGTCGACCTCGCATTCGAGTGTGAAGCGACTTAGGTGCTTGAGGTTATCTCGGACAATGATTCTCAGCCTAGACCAAACCCTACCATCAGCAGATGCACAGTGACCCCGAATCATGACGGGACTCACCAGGGCCAGAGATAATTCTCCATATGATCGCTTCGGTCGGTATCCGCGACGGATTGGTATAGCCGGAGGCAAAAATTCCCTTTGGAGAAATAAAGTTTCAAAGCTTCGCCTCTGACTTCGCGTGAGACTTGCAGCAGAGCAGGCCACCTCCGGTAGTCCTCGCAGATGGAAATACTGTTCTCACCATGGATACCGAGCGCATACCCGTAGACAGTGTTGCGGACTTCCGATGGCAGCTTCCACAGGTATGGAAATGGACGGGCAATCCTGCTAAGGAGTCCGAAGGGATCAACGATGCGGTTTTGGGGTAGATCTTTGAAGTTCAGCACTCTTCTGCGCAGCGCTGGGCTGATCTGCGAGCAAACAATGGCGGCGGCATCTTGTCTCCCTTGTGTCCATTCCGGAAGCCCGACGAAGCCTTGCCAAAAATCAAGATGGTGAGTTGAGACGTACATTTCGAAGCCGTTGACATGGAGGATGGCATCCATTCGCGCAACCCATTCGTCGTAGTTGCCCTCGTACAGTAGCCCGCCTTGCGTCAGGTTCGACGAAAGTGTCGGAGTTGGTGAATCGAGGCGTACCATGGTGACGGAGAGAATACTATCCCGTCTATCATCGCGTTGTGAATCGTCGCCCATTAGTGGTTTGGTTGATCCGCCGGTGGGTTCTATCTCGATAGCGTCCAAATGGTTCGTGGACATGGGCAGTGATGAAAGATGCAGGTTCAAGCGTTCGAATGTAAGGGCTGAATTCTGCAACTGCCTGGTCTTTTGTGGCACGAAATTGTGGCGAGTGATCGGATTGTGGCAAGGCTCCTTCAGACCTTCCAGTTGGTAGAGCAGCATTTGCGAGGCCGTGTTGCGAAGCTTGCGGGAAAGTCACAAGGCCTCGCCTCAGAAGAGAATAGCCAGAAGAGTTAAGATGTGCTGTTTGGTGAGCAAAGACCTCAGTTTGGAACGAGCTTGACAGTCGTGGTTTTAGAAGACCGTGTTTGTTGCAGAGGCTCAATCATCTCCGTAGCATTCTCGTGCGCTGTGTTCACAGGTGGCATCGAGAACCATGTCCCGAGCATGGTCCCTAATGATGAAGTGAGACTAGAGCAGCGTACATTCTCGGGCCCGACCTCGATTGCTCAGTACGAGTGACCGAACGACGGCGACTCAGGCCAATACATACTGTTGATGCCACCAGAGGCTCGAATGACCATCGAGCCTATAACGACCTTCTTTCAAACGCTCATCTTCATCGCGATGGTCTTGTGGGGCTCGTATCCGATGACCTTGAAATTTTCTGCCCTCCAACCGTCGATGCTACAACCAACATCCCGATCAATCTCGAGTGTTGGGAAGTCTCTCGGCTCGCGCTGTAATTGGACCTCCAGAGCCTCTCGATGGTCCAGATAGACGTGTGCGTCGCCCATTGTGTGGGTCAAACTTCCAGGTACGAGATCTGCGGCTCTCGCAATCATGTGAGTCAGGAGCGCGTACGAAGCAATGTTGAAAGGTACGCCGAGGCCCATATCGTTTGATCTTTGGTACAAAAGCGTGTGCAGCGTGCCCTTCTTTGACCCATCCATCCGTTGGGACGCGGTAGCTGGATAGGAAACATAGAATTGGGCGAACATGTGGCAAGGCGGGAGAGCCATCTTTTTCATGTCGGCAGGATTCCACGCGCTCAGGATGATTCTCCTGTCGTAAGGACTATTCTTGAGCTTATGGATAACTTCCGCCAATTGATCCACTCCCTGACCCGAGTAGTCTGTGTGGCAATCTTTGTACTCAGCTCCGAAGTGGCGCCATTGAAATCCATATACGGGTCCAAGGTCGCCTTCCTCGCGATGCGACAGACCAACAGAGTCAAGGTATTCCCGTGACCCGTTACCATCCCAGATCCGCACATTCTGGTCTTGAAGGGTCTTTGCGTTGGTGTCGCCCGCGACGAACCACAGGAGCTCGGCGAGAACTGCACGCAGGAACACGCGTTTGGTCGTCAGGAGTGGCAGGATCAGCGTTCCGTCTGGTTTGGAGAGTGTATACTTGTGCTGAGGTGGGAATGGAATCGAAAGCGTTCCAGTGCCTGTCCGATCCGGTCGGTGCTCGCCTTCGCGAAGGATGTCGCGGATGAGGTTCAGGTATTGGTATTCTTCATGTGGTTTGGTGTGCCCGTTGATAGGAGCCTCTTGCTGGGTCTTGACCTTCTGGAAGAGTGGCGCTTCATCCTGTACCAATGCGGGTGCCATATTAGCTGTATCCTGGCGTGTCTCCCGATGATGTTAATGTTAGGTGGGAATAGTTGAAGGTGTTCTGCTGAAAACGCGTTGTACCACCACGCGACTTCCCCGACGCGCTAAACCACGCTTCGGCCCGGCGGCGTGACGCACGTCCTTGATGCGGCGACGACCGAGGGACCAGCATGTGACAGCGCAACTCCTCGAGATCTCCAGTTTGCTCATCCAGCATACAACGCTGAAAATGGCAATCAGCGAACGGAGATGGGGAAATGTTCTACAAGACCTCCTTCTCGTGGCGGCAGCGGTAAGACTTCTCAAAAGCGCCACGCCTTGCGAAATGATCTAACGGTGCCGTAGCCCGTAATAGCATATTATCTCGCTCGTAAACTCCTACAGAATCTCGACCCGTCGCAAAACGAAAAGGCCGAAGCGCAACAGAAAGCACTTGCTGCGTCACAGCGATTGCGAAGTATATTCTCGAATCACGAAAGAGAAGAGGAGGATTTCGCCGATGAAGAGGACGACGAGGACGAAAATGGCGAGCGCCCGTATCGCTCTCGACCGCGCAAAGAGGACTTGACCCTCACGCCGTACGAGCAAACAATCGCGATGGAAGTTGTTAGCCCTGGCGAGATACCCGTAACTTTTGACGACATCGGCGGCTTGGGCGAGATAATCGAGGAGCTCCGGGAAAGCGTGATATACCCACTTACGATGCCACACCTGTACGCCAATCACTCTAGCCTCCTAACGGCACCGAGCGGTGTGCTACTATACGGACCTCCTGGCTGCGGAAAGACGATGCTTGCGAAAGCCCTCGCGCGAGAGAGCGGCGCATGCTTCATCAACCTGCATATCTCGACGCTCACGGAGAAGTGGTACGGCGACAGCAATAAGCTTGTCGCAGCCGTCTTCTCCCTCGCCCGGAAGCTTCAGCCCACGATCGTCTTTATCGATGAGATAGACGCAGTCCTCGGCCAACGCAGAAGCGGCGAGCACGAGGCAAGTGGAATGGTGAAGGCTGAATTCATGACACACTGGGATGGTCTTGCATCGGCGACCGTGGACCGGGGAATGCAGAGAATATGTATACTGGGCGCTACGAACAGAATACAGGATATCGACGAAGCGATCTTGAGAAGAATGCCGAAGAAGTTCCCTGTTAGCTTGCCGAACGCGGCGCAGAGAAGGCGGATCTTCGAGTTGACACTGAGGGACACCAAAGTCGATCGCGGTGTCTCTAGGAATGGCAACCCGACATTCGACTTGGATGCGCTCGTCAGAGTGAGCGCAGGCATGAGTGGATCAGATATCAAAGACGCTTGCAGAGACGCTGCTATGGTTCCGATCCGGGAGAGCATCAGACAGGCGAAGGCAACAGGACGCAGTATGAACCGCGGGATCGCGAGCGAAGCTGTCCGGGGCTTGCACACAGATGACTTCTTCGGCCGCAAAGGGGGACCCATACAGCTGAAAGTTGAAGAGCCCGAGGATGACCACCAGAGCCAGGGAAGTGGTAGCACGGAAGAAGTGGAAGACTTCAACGACGTCGAAGAAGTTGTTGATCCACAGAGGAGGTAAGTGTAATAAGGCGAAAATCTCCGCTTCCTTGTCAGTACTATGCCGTTGAGTAGAACGACAGTATCAATCGGGAAATGTTCCAGGCGACATCATCCTCGTACCCACCACGCGCGACTTTCTCTTGATTCACACGCACCACAAGCCCCTGGAGCACTTCACTCCACCTCGTTGTCTGTACTTCTGCAAGTCACAGCAAGATTCTCTTTTTTTTTTAATTCGGCGACTCCAACAGAGAATCCCTACCACCCAAAAATCCCGTCCGCTCGTCCCTCTCATGATCCGACAACGACGGCTTCTGCTCGATCTATCTCCTGAAGAGCACAGATCCGATACCCTTGCGTTCATCTACTTTGTTCTGGCATTCTGAAGTCCGGTTCAGGCAGGGCCAACGGCAATACGCGTGGAGACCCAGTCGCGGAGCGGTATTACAATGGTTGCGTCTGGTCGGGACCACGAGATCGAGATTGTATGGTCATGCTGATCCGCGGTTGCACGTTGTAGTTCTGCGCTGCCGAGACGTTGTAGGATTGGACTGTTGTCCGAGTATCATAGGATTGTACTGTCGATAGCCACGGGAGTGGGCCTGACTGTGCGGTCTGGTGTTGATATTTCAACGCGCGACGTTGTTTGTCGTAAAATTGATAGCCATGCTGGCCCTTTGTGGGATCGTTGTAGAATAGAGCTAGCGGTGCGTGTGGATGATGATGATACGGGTTCAAGACAGTGTCCCGATTGGCCATGGTACGGACAGGGTGGCTTCCTTCTGGAATCGAGATCATTCGCTTGCTATGTAGATGGCACGAAGGGCGCAGTCTTATGCCCTGATGGTTCGCAAATCCTCGAGCGTTGGCTCGTACTCTGGTGGCAGGTCGCGGACGGGCATAGTGTACTCCTTGGTACGTGGAAAGATGTGACCGAGTCTGCGTAAGATCGGTAGAGTGAGTGTTTTAGAGGCAAGTATGCATAAGCTGGGTTGTATTGCTTCAATATTGAGATACGCGCCCTCGTTGACGGATTACAAGGAGGGCTCCGAGAGGACGGTAGTGCTATGGACGCGGTGACCGCAATCGTTCGAGGCAGGTGCACTTTTGCATGCCTCACCTCTACCACCCGCAGGGACAAACGTCAATGTCTCGATTGCGATTACCATGATGATAGTAGCGTCCTCCTTTCGGACACGACGGAACATGGAAACCCATTTCATCATCTCGCCTCGCAACTTCCCTCTGCTCTCGCACATCCCTTGGGACACGGAAACCGATCGTTGTACTGCCACTCAAAGAAGGAGTCCGTTTCGTTTGTCAAAATCTCCGGAACGAATCTCGTTCCATTCCCGGGTAAGTCGCTACTTTGTCTAAAGACCTCCTTGGATGAGATTCGAATCTGACTCCAACCCTTCTCGATCAACGTCTCAATCGAGGTGCCGTAGATGTACTCCTTGAAGCCCGCCCACCGGATGGCGGAGGCACACATAGGACAGCTTTCGGCATTGGTATAGAGTGACAGGGAGCTGAAAGCATCTTGAGCTTCAGATGCGGTCAGATTGTAAGACCCGGATGGAGAGGTCAGGATTGCCGTGCAGTTGGCTATTGCGGCCATTTCACCTGAGCAAGCATGTGAGTTGACGCCTCCTGTCATGTGAGAGAGTTTTTTGACTGACCGTGGAGACTCGGGTTTCCCGTGGCGCTGATATTGTTTGCCCCAATACATATCAGATCCCCCCAGCCATTGGTTGCGGTGTGGTTGACGATGGCTGTTCCAAAGGCTCCGAATGGGCATGGAGAGACGAGATCGGATAGAGCTTGATTTGCCCGCCTCATCCAATATACTCTGGTGCTGAAGGAAACTCCAGAACTGTCTTTTAGGTGATACGTCGTTTGATCGGATAGTCTGATGGAGTCATGTCGCTGGAGTCCCCATGCAACGCCAGTCAATATCACAGTGGCTGTCGCAACAGCTTTTGAAAGGGTGAACATTGTCAAAAATGCAACAGAAGAAATCGTGAAGGGTAAGAAGAGTTACTCTTCCTGCTTGAAGACTGATAACGATAGCCAGTGCTTGGCCGGGTCCATGACGAAATTGATTTGGAGCTCGCCGGAAGTAAGGCTGGAAGGCAGTGTGATTCTGCTTCACGGCGCGGCGATTCACATGGCGTTCCTACGAGCCGTGAATGATGATTGATTGTAAGTCTGACTGTGCCAGAACATGAATACGGAGCTCAGAAGGCGAGAATTGAGATAATGATTCTTGTTGGTGAACAGAAGGAGTGAAGTACCCGGAGTCGTTCTGCCTCGTCTCGAGGCTGCGCGCTTAATCAGCGTGCACCCCCTACCCTTGTCCATCCCTCCCCCCCCCTCAACCTCCACCCCTTCCATCTCGCTATCGACAGAATTCCGGAACTGGAATTACCACTACCATTTCGTCCACGGCGGGCGAATCAGATACTCTCAACATCGCGGCCACATGACTGCGCAGTCGCAGTCCTCGATTAGTTGCGGATCCTCGCTACTGAGCCCTAACTCGAAATTCCGATTCTTCCGCTGGGACGCATGGAGTCGATATGACGGTCTGGTATTGGTTGACGCACACGCGCTTGGCTTGGCGGCTTCGTCACATGTTCTCCTTGCCCTTTCCCAGAATTTGAGTTTGGCTGTCGTTGCCGTGGTGAAAGGCTTGGCCTTTGCAATCGAGGACCAGACGTCCGGCGCCTTGGCCAGATGCCGACCAATTGTCGGTGTTGGAGCTCTGATCGGGCGCACGGTACGGGCCGCTAGAGATTATGCAAGTGAATGAACTAGCCCGGTCGTCTGCAGTGGTGGGGGTAGTTCACGAGCTTCCATTCTTCTCCCCCGAACACTTGCGGGACGCTCGTCCCGGCATTGCAAACGAATGGCCGAATTGCAATCCTGACCCGGATCCTGCCCTACTCCCTGTGTACTGCTGCATCCTCGAACTACATGTACATGTACAGGCTGCACCCAATGGACGCTTCGGCGCCCTGACGTAGCCGGCCAGCTGGGGTGTCTCGGCGCGCCATATCACTGCGCGTCTTCCTGTCTGCTGCCCTTTTCTTGACCGGTGTCGCGTCGCGTTGCACACCCGTTTGCACAGTCTGATCTCGGCATCGCTGCCCAACGGCCGGGCGACAAGACAGTAGCAGGAGACAGCAATGTCATCAGTCGGAGGCTCAATGGATTGGCCTCTCACGCGGCTACTCTCGCTTACTCGAATGCACACCTCTTCCTGCGGCCTCCCGTGGGCCGCAAGCATTTCGCACGCAAGTCATCTATCTAATGCCGCGAGTAGCTCTGTTCTTCCTTGTATCACTTGCTTCGCAATCTTTTCTCGCCGTTTGTTTGCCCTGAGTTTTGGGATTATCGCCGGCCGCCCGTCTGGACCTTTGCTTAAGCCGCCTGCATGGTACTTCTGGGGTCGGCGGACGAGGGCGCTCTGGCACGACTATAAGAACAACCACCGTTGCACCCCGCGCGGGTTGTTTGCTACCACTTCACCATGGACCCCATGGATCCTATGGACGATGACTTGACTCGATCGATTGGCTTTCTGCTCGAGGACCATCCAATACCCGAGTGGCTCCAACAGGTATGTCGACTTCTCATGAAACAGACGCCCAGAACAAGTCTGACCGCATCCAGCTTATCGACCTACACTCGCCTGGTTGCCCTAGTCCATACCAGCTTTTGGATCAATGCTCCTATTGCTTTCGACGAGACGCGTTGCGACAGCCCTCCCACAGTCCCCCTCGCCCACGTCCATTATCTCCCAGAGTGCACTCCATACAGGCACGGCAATCTTCGTCGAGAACATATGCGGAGGTAGCAAGAGCTCGGCCGACTGTGTATCAGGGACCCGCGCCTCCAACGCAACCCATACCGCTACTGTCTCAGGAGCCTGCTTGGGCACCTCCGCGACACATATCAACCTCTGCGGCCATCCGTGCATCTTCCAATCCAACGTCGCAACGCTTCGCACCGCCAACCTACGCCCAAGTTGCGCAAATCTCAGGGTCGACCAACAGCTGGCAAAATCAACCGTACATCCAGTGTCAGCAGAATCAAGCTTACCCTCATGGCCTGTCTCAAGATTGCCCTGAGCAAGGAAATCGCTCCACAAACGCTGCATCGTCTCCTCGTAGGCGACCACCTCCATCGAGTTTCAATGGAACTGCATCACAGCAGGTTCATCGATCAGCCAATCGGGCTATTCACCAACCATCCACTACGACACAGAGCTTTCCGTCAGGCACTCCCCTGATCCGATTGAATGACGAGGTACCAAGACAAGCCTTCCCGAATCCCGAGCCCAGGAACATTGCCGACCTCGTACAAGCCACATCATTCCGTGGGCACCGGTCGCCTCCACCCTCCACTCGACGTCGCGGAAGTAGCCTCACAACACCCCTGACGCCGAGATCTCCATCTGTCACCTCAAGCAGGACAAGTCACAGCAACAGCCGGAGAAGGACAGGGGCTGCTCTTCGCGATCCATCATTTCCGTATCCCTGCATCACTTGCGAAACCACTTTTGCCAAGCAAGATGATCTCCGGTAGGTCTTGTTGCCTCCAAATCCATTCCCAACAAGCCTGCTGTGCTGACCTTCCGTTGCAGACGCCACATGAATCGTACACACGGCGACCTCTCTTCTCGTCCGCACAAATGCAGCCACTGCCCCTGGGCCTTCATCAACCCTAAAGATCTCCGCCGTCACGAAGAAGTCCATCTCGACGGCGAGAGGCAGAGGTTTACATGTCCTGTCTGCTCGAAGACGTACACGCGGTCCGATAATCTGCAGAGACACATCGCGAAGAAACATGTCGCCGATTCGGCGTATGTGAGTATGTCGAGGACTGTCTCCTCGCAGTCGCAGGGAGCTTTCTCCGAAGGGAGTGGGTTTTGGGGCTGAAGATTGAGCGCTATGGCTCCATGCTCGGCTTCTTTACCGACCTTGTTTTGGTTGTCGACGATGATGATGATGAAGATGTTGATGACACTGATGACTTCTGTTCATGGAAAGACTTGTTACACATAGTAGCGCCGGAAGGCATGTTATTGCGAGCGCGGCGTTATGAGAAGATGGATCTGCGAGGAAGCCTTGTGTACTAACGAACTAACAGCGGTCTCCTCTCATGCGATATGCGAGGTTTGATGACGCTTTACATATTTGAAATAGATGGCCTCTTGAGCATTCTCATCTGGTGGTCGTGGGACATATGCGATGGGGTGTGCCTACGTCTATGCAGTAGCAATCACTATCCGTCTTGGAATGTTTTGCATGGCAGTGCCATGTCTCGGTAGATAACGGAGGAACGGAGAGAAGAGTGTCGGTTTCGGATGACTTCTTGAAACTGCTACCACGGTGGGCCGCAGCAAATCAGTTTCTTGATAGCAAAGCAAGCGTCGTACACAGGGTAGTCAAGCTAGAACGGCTGAATGAGAGGGTGGCCTGCCATCGATGCTGTACTTTATTGCAACAGCATTTCGAATAATAGTGCTTCAAGATACCACTGCCGTAGGAGCGAGCCCTCACGACGTCGAATTGATTGTAGAAGAAGTTCTACACACGTCGCAGTTCTATCCCTAGATCGATGTCTCCCCCTCTCGGAAAGCACAATACATCGCCGTCTTCCTGCCTTCCACCGCATTCCCAGTTGCCTGCCAGTGACCAACGTACAAACCAGATTGGCCACAGAGTCTTGACAGAATTTTGCATCAAGCTATAATATACTACCGCGGTTTTCGCGAAAGCTTTGTTTCTCTGTGGATGCTCCCTTACATACGGCTTCCGAACAGTCGAGGTGTGACGTCCACGGCACCAGTAGAGCTTCGCCGTACGTAGTTGTCCAGAATGTAATTTCGAAAAGGGCCGCCGCATTCTCATACGGTTGACGGAGGGGCATCATATCCGGTTCGTGTTGAGTTCGCCACAGACTTACATAGTCCATCCAGTATGAATCCTCGAAAAAAGACTCGGATGTAACGAAATGAAACTTTGCCTGAATACTGGCAAGCTTCTCCAGTAGTTGTGCGCTTGGCGAAGCTCTTATGCGTCTGAAGAGCGCATTGGGTCCGGCTCTCTGAGCGTTACGTTGAGTTGCGGAGCGATGTCAGTACTCATGAAGGCGAGTGCGTGTATCGGCAGGATATTCGGGGGAAAAGCTGGTGTCGCTGACAGAAGGTCATAGCATCTTGATCGGCGCAGATGGCATTCACTCAACCGATTTACTCAACCATTCGCAGGCTAATCAAGTCCGAAGACCACGAACACAGCGATTTGTCGAGTCAAGCAACTTGACCGGAAGGATCCTGACGGGTAAGCATCCAGAGAGCGGCCTGAATTCCGAGAACGTAGAGAAAGTGTAGGCGCCGCGGTGGGATTTCATCATCGCTTTCGACAAGGAGAAGCCGAAAGAGGAAGCGATGATGACGGTGCGAGCAGAGTTGAATGCGCAGTAGTCCGCAGAGTTAAGTATGGCGCAGTTTTGGTATTGGCTCTTTGGCAGAAGATCAAGTAGCGTAGCTGTCCAGAAGTCTGCTGTACGTTGTAGATTTTCTTACTGTTCATGCTCAAGCAGAAGACAGAACTGTGCCAGATCAAGACGACCCGGAGTAAAGCCGACCAATCGTGCATATCAGAATCGGTCCAAAACCTTTCCCGGCCGGCGAAGAAAGCACTCTCCACGCCTCCTCTATCAATCCCATATCTGTACCGCTACCAGTGGTCCCGCCAATCACGCTATGATGTAGGAACGTATTCTCGAGATTCCGTAAAATCACGGTCCGCTTTTGAGAGAAAAATGTAGCAAAGATATGCTGGAACACCTCAAGTAGGAGCTCGTCGGGCAGCTCTTGGAAAAGAGAGATCCGGATTCTGGTTTCCCCGGTACTTGAGCTCCCGGAAAACTTCGGTATCGTCGTTGTGGTTGTGTCCAGAACGGGGGAGCTGACAGAGCCTATCTTGGCGCTCAATGAGGGCGGTTGAATCTTTTCAGAGCGGCTCGTGAGTTATGGCTCTCAAGCCTGAAGAATGGAGGAGGATTGTGCAATGAGGAAAAGCGAACACGCATGATATACTTGCATATCGCCACTGTCCTCATGGCGTCTTGTCCCCAAGCTCGTGACGCAGGATTGGAAACTTGCAACTGCTTCTTCGTATACTTTCAGCGTGAATGTCTCAGACTGTGTCCAGCATCGGACCCCAAAGAGGCCTATGGTGTTGGTCATCTTGAACTTCTCCCCGATATGCCTCGTCATCTGCACATGCACTGTTAAGTCAACCGCATTGGCATAGCGCATGGCACAGAGAGCGAGATCTGGTCAGTATGCCACAGTGGTCATGTGACTGCTCTGACCACGATGACAGGAAAGCAATGATATGAGATGTCGAAATGGCGGATCCTGGAATGTTGTTGTTAATCATCAACTCTCCAAGGTGGAAGTCGGAAGCTTCAGGTTGCGCACATACTGCTGAGTAAGCTAGATCACGTGCAGTCTCCGCGGTTTCTTCCCTTCTGGGACAGCAACGCCTTCGAGAACTGAATCCTACAGCGTTGGGAGCCTCCTCCTCGTCTGGACGATATCGCCATGCCGCCTCGTAAAGCTCTTATACCGCGAGGCGCCTTTGCTTCTCACAGCAGATCTCTCCAACAGCGGCGCTTCGCCTCCGACGTTCCAATACCCCGTCAAGAAACAGCATTATGGCGCAGGCTAAGCGATCCCAATACTCGTATTGGACAGTCGATCACCGGCGGAATGGAATGGCAAACAAGCGCATACTACTGGAACAAGGCGAATGAGAGGACGCTACCCGTCGCGGCGACCAACGTGCAGAAGCTCATCGAGTACTATTCTACGATTCGAAGCGTGAACATCCGGGGAAAGGATACCCGTGCAGCACGCACAGCAATAGCAGCGAGAAGGAGGACCGCAGAGAGATTGTACGTGAGCAAGCCGCGGATAAAGGATTTTGGAAATAAGGTCCAGGTCACGGCATTTGTGTACGATGGGAAAGAGGCGGCTGTGAAGGCAAAGGCGGAGAGGTTCGGGCAGCGACCGGGCAGTCAGCCTGAGCCTGCGTCGAGACAGCAGAGTCTTTCGGATTTCATACTGGATCCGGAGCAGCAGAAGGGATTGAAAGGGTTGATATCGAAAATCTACCGCAAGCCTGTTGAACTGAACCTCATCAAGCTGCGCAAACCACATCTCGACGCGGATATTCTGTCTGCTGTCGTCGCGCAGCAATTGAAAGATCGAAGAAATACACCTCGAAGAGTCATTCGTGATGCGACGTGGAGAGCGCCCTTGCCAAAGGCGCAGACCGTTTCGGAAGTTCTGCAAGCGAAGCATCAGCGGTTGCCCGAGCAATTCCACTGGAGCGCTTTTACGATGGCGAACACTTCGTCAACGAATTCCTCGACCATTCTCAACAAAGTCGCGCTCTCGCAGGTGTCGTCGGTTGAGGTGGAAGCTGCGGGTCGTCTGACGAAGCGTTTGACGGCCAACAGAAGTCAGAGGAAGATGGCGAGACACGGTGCGACTGCGAAGGGTGAGGGACCTATCGTGAGGGGCTTCAGGAAAGCCCATGTACAATACGGCTTCTCTGGTGGGAAGAGGAGAGTTGGTCAGTTCGGTATCCGGGTGGCTTTGGGTCATGCATAGCCCCCTGGTAAAAGGGAAAGAGCATGCAATACATGGGCCCAGAAGGCGCGGGTCATGAGAATCTTCGCGGCAGACGAATTTGTACAGAATACCACGGAGGAAGACAAGACAGGAGCGATCGGCATGCACAGAAGTACAGAAGAGCGAAAGACGCGGATGGTAATTTTGTTGAGTGTGCATTCTCGACAAGAGCCAAGGAAGACCATCCTTTTCAACCCTCCTCCCCCGTCATAACACCCTCCTCTCCGAGCCTTCCCATGAATCCCACGGTACGCTTGCTCACCAACCACCTACCACTAGCCCCGGGCACAGCCTCATCCTTCTCCCCCGTCAAGACCAACTCGTCCACATACTTCCCCCAGGCGGTAACCTCCTTCCCCTTCCACTTCCCCTGCCCGAAATGAATGCCATTGAAGTAGGTCGTCGCACTCGCCGTCTTCCCATCCTCGGCAATACTTATCATCTGCGTGGTGAGAGCATGTTGAGAAGTGATGGGTTTCAGGCGATTCTCGATGGCCGTGGCTAGGGATTCGACGGAATTGTGTTTGGAAAAGGGGTAATCGGCATCCACATCCTGCGTGAAGACTTGGTGGAGCAGAGTGAAGTCTTTGGTGTCTAGGGCGATGCAGTATCTCGCCAGGGTGTTGCGGATGGCTTGGTAGTCCAGCGGGCTGTGGCCGGACATGGTGGTGTTGTTGGTGTGGGAGAATTGTTCGATATTATCGAGGGAGGCTTTTGGGGTCGAGAGCATTTTTCCTTCGTGAGATCTTTTAGTTACGAATGGGGAGAAGATTGACTGTCGATCATGAAAAGAAGATTCCATCCATTCTTTGTATTTATGTCGAGACGATGTGATTGATGTGATCATGCTTCGGAGCTCCGGCCGGGTCGGGAGGTTTGACGATTCCCGAAAGCTTGGCCCAGTCGTGGTTCACCACTGCATGCACAAGACGAGACATGAGACTCAGCACCTCATGCAGACCTGAACAGGATTGCGGGGATGCACCATCTCAGACGTGCTCATGGACGGGACGATCTCGTCGTCGTGAGGTGCTATCGTGGTCATGAGCTGGTCCGGCTTTGGCGTCTTTGCCCATTCGGACAATGACATCCATGATGTCCGCGCCATACTGGTCGACAGGATGCTCGGGAAGACATGAGTTGGTCTCTCAACCGTGTGTAGTCCATCTAGCACGCACCTCTGCCGCATCTCTTACCGCAGTCTGGCCAAATACCGCAACTCTTCGCTAAGCTGCGCAGACCCTCGGCCGACTCCACGCTGTGGTTCTACACGACCGAAGGTATGCATGCTGGTCTCAGCGGTTACCCAAACAACAAGGCCATCCTACAACACGTTTCTTAGATTGATCCTGTCCTCTTCGCTATAGTGTCTGGAAGCTAGAGGACTTCAACCAAAATTGTTATCGTCCTCGAGTTTTCCGAATTGGTCACTAGATACTCCTAGGAAAGCTGTTGGTTAGGTAGAGCACTGGAGTTGCGATTTGCGTGGAATTAAAAAAATCACGGACGGAACAAGAATCCCCCGCCCCTCTGCTCCTCCCCTCTGCTCCTTCCACTCGCCCTACTCCTTCCGTTATTCCCGCTCCCGCTTCTGTTTCCGCCCCCTCTCCTGGCCCCTTTCCCGCTTCCGCTCCCGCTCCCACCCCCGCCCCCGACCTGGCCGGTCTTGGCACTTGGAGTTTTAGCTTTCGTCTGCTTTCTGGATATACAACACTCAACACTGTCTGTATCAGGACAGAAGAAGGGCAAAAGAAGGTTAAAAGAAGGGCAAAAACAAGGGTCCAACCGTGATTCGAACACGGGGCCTGTCACAAACGAGTAGAAAGCTCTACTGGGCATTCCCGAAGCGACAATCATACCACTAGACCATTGGACCGAGACATGACACGGAGAACCATATCTGCAAGTATTAGAGGCGGCATCCCATAGAGAATATATAATCATTACACCTTACCCACAAACTTTCGACGATGACATAAGACTGGCCGTGGCCAGGATGAGATGAGGCATCAGGAATTGGACGCGTGGACAGATTTGAGCAGTCGTGGAAGGAATGTACATTGCTTCTTCTCCCTACGGATCTATCGAGCGACTGGTTGTGGCCAGATTACGAAGCATGCGACATTTTTGTTTCTGCCGGCAGACAGAGAAGCCACGATACAGAACATCCTTGTGGTTCCGTCTGACTCAGAAAAAGCATCGTTCAGGCAATGATGACTACTCTCCTGATGGGTTGACGCTCTATAGATCACAATGAAAATGACTACAATCATCAGAACCTGCCTCCTTGGGCTGGAAAGCAGCGCAAAATTCTAGTGTGTGGATCCGTGCGAAAGCTAGTCTGAAGGAGGCAAGTGCCAAGATATTGAGTGAGGAGTGCAATGAAAGTATTGAGCACATTAGTAGGGAAAGCTAGGAAGCGGAAATAGAGACGGACGAGAGAAGAAAGCATCTACGAAGATGTAGGTCAGGCATCTGATACGCTGTCTATGTGCACTAGCATCGTGGCTTGGGGCTGCATAACAGTGTTCAAGATCACATTGGACTTTCGTGTCGAACCTGCTGCACTAATGAAGGTATCATGATGTCTTGACTCTCGTACGCACTTGATGGCGGTTCGCCTTGCGTGCGATGTTCAGTGCGCGAAATATCTTGGAAAATTTGGAACAGCGTCGTTGCGACTGTGAGACGGGAAAAAGCAGTTGCCAACCACTGACCAGTCGAGGCTGGATAATGTCCCGAACAAAATTGCCTTCCAACATCAGTGCTGGCCGTGTCTCGCTGCGAGAAGGTCCCTGTCCAATTTTCAGAAAGTCTTTATACATGCTGGAGAGCACGATACACCCGCGATTCGTACATTACCGTGCGACTTCTCTGATGCAATAGAAATTCCGGCACCCTTTCAGGTTTCTGCACTGTAACATTCCATCCTTCGATATCCAGACATCTTGAGGGTGACAAGAAGTATTTCTTTTGCTCTGATAAATCAATACAGCGAAGTACAACGGGTATCTAATGCCAGTTTTATCATCAATTCCAACGCAATACAAACATTTCGTAGTCAACAAACCTCCCATGGACCACTCAACTCTCAGATACCGCTCCAAATCCGCCTCACTTTCGGCATCTCACACATCTCGCACTTGACATCCTCGTTGTCAATGTACTTCTCCGTAAGAGGTCGACCTCCAGGCTTGAGAAACCTCACCAGCCGTTGCTCCAATACCTCGATGGCTGCTTCCAGTAAATTCTTATCATTCGAGAATGACACGGACTCGGAGCAGACGCATAGCTTGAGCTTCTTGCCTGACGTGGTCTTGACGGCGATCTTCAAGTTTGTGGTACAGTCGACTCGTCGTAGGCGATACACAAAGTGTGGGTATGATTCTTTCTCGGATCCGCTGTGAGCGTATGCAACGAAGCGTAGGTCGACTTGGCTTAGGTAGCTAGGACAAAGAGTCAGCTCGAATGTCCGAAGTGGCGTTTGGGGAGCTCTGTAGATGCACAGCCGCGCAGAACGCGTCTTCCTCTGAGATGGTCTCAACTTACCTGGCAAAATCTCTTCCCTGGGCCCATCGCTTGACATTGGCGACGTCGGTCATAGAGTGGCCCTTGGTGCCTCGAAAATCGGGCTTCTCGAACACGAACGCGTTGGATCCGTAGAAGAGAGAAAGTGATTCTTTCCTGATTTGGCGATTGACAGCGCTTACTAGGGGTTCTCGTGGTAGAGCACGCATCAAGACTCGGTTGCGCTTCTTCTTTAGTGGACATATTTCGCGGACATGTGCTTCAATAGGCTTGTCGGAAAGCACGATGAGGCTCCAGATGGCGTTCCGAATCTCTGCCGGCAAACCGAGAAGGGTGAGTGACGGGTCTCGAGGAGAAGCAGAGGGTCTAGACTGCGGAGGAACACTACGGATGGTCTTCTTCTTCATGCATCTAGGATGCTTCGCCCTTGCCATGATCTTGCTTCCGGTGCGGGCTACCGCTGCGGTCCTTGTCCGCACACTGATGGCTTCATGAAGCGGAAAGTCGCCATGAGAAGGACCTGGCCAGTTCTTACATGGCCGTGGTGGCCGAAAGTCGAAGCGCGCAGTTTGGTGAAAGCCGAGTTCCCCGAATCGTACAATAAGATCTGATAGTGTCATAGGTTTGGGGTTTTTAGCCTGAGCTTCAAGCTGATCAACGGCAGATTCGAGGACGTCGTCCATACGGAATTCGTCGGCGCGGTCAAAGTCAGCGATGGACGAGACATATGCAGGTCGAGCCATGACTGGAGGTACTTTCGAAGTGGTGCCTCGTATCTTCCGGGGCACGGGGTTCCAGAGGTAAGGCGGCATTTGTAGATAGATGGGCCCGGTGAGCGTGGAGGCTCAGGGTTCTGCGCAGTGTTGATGGCAGATGTCGGTATTGACAAGCTGCCCGACGAGACGTGTGCGCATTGTTCCTGGCAAGAATTCGCGCGAAGGAGCATAAGGCAGTCGCCAGTAGGCAGTCACTAGCGCCGGCCCGAGCGTTCGGCTTCTCCCAACCTTAACGACGACCTCACTTCATTCCTGAACATTCACTTGTGCGGGGTTCTTCACATGCCGGTCGGCTAGGCTCTGCCCGATCTTAGTCGTAAGCTTGGCTACGGACGCTATCACAGGTCGCCTACCATGTTTTATCAATTTGAATGCGAGGATCAAGCAGTGGAGTTATTCACTTCTCAGAAGAGCGCGAGGTCTTACAAAGATATCTGACTGGTGAGATAGTCTCTGCAGACTTCCATACGTGCTTCACTCGACTAGCATAGCATAGTCATCACAGCTTCACACTCTGCACGAATAATACATTCATACACTCGTCATTCGATGAATTTCTCGGCTTTCCAAGAACCACACTCCCAAAGCACCAGAACGTGCATCCCGCACAAGCTCAAGACAATGCTGACACGTCAGCTCGACCAGCAAGATGAAGTCCCGAAACTACAAACAGGCTGAATTGGCTAGATTTGCACACGACCCTGGCCTTATCGTAACCTCGACCGCCGCCACGCCTGCTACGGGCCCTCCTGTTCGTGACTACATCAACGCCATGGACCACAAGCTACTGCGAATGGAGATTGACTTGCGCATTATGAGTCAGGGTTGACAACGTTGAAGTTTGCCTGCTTCTGTTTGACTTCAGCTGCTAGCTGTGTCCCTTCTAGAGTTATTTCGTCTTCGACCATGACACGCTGAGTTTCGACACCGTTGGCTGGCATGCCTTCGTCATCACGACTAAGCTGAAAGCTCAAGTCGCCATCAGGACTGTGGTTTTCTTGTGAGTGTGAGTATTGGAAGGCTCCAGATCCTGCGTCAATTGACGATGAATCAGATCCGTTACTAACTCGAGCACTTGATTGATCACTACTCGTCAGGCTCACCTCGCGCGGAAGATGCATCATTCTGCGTGGTTTGAACGAGATACCTCTGGAGCTCAGTCATACTCTCCTCGGTGCATGCATGGATAGGGCGTGCTGGAGCACCAAGTTTGGGCGATACTTCGAAGTGCAATAGTTCGTCGATGATCATCAACACTGCCGTTCGCACTTTCGCAGTTTTCTTTCCGCGTCGACTACAGAGCTCCTTTTCAGATCGCTGCTTTCGCTGTGCTTGGCATGATTCAACGACGTGCTATGCTATTTCCGTCGACTCGAGGCATCGGATTCTGCTCGCGTTTGTCAGAATTTGCTATACCTTCGCTGCATCTCGTCGGCAGTCTGCTGGGGACTCCTCTTCTTTGCATACCTCCAAGCTTCAAGTTCCTCGCCAATACGTCGGCGTTGTGCAGCTACATCGCAAAGTTACGCGCGCGGGAAACGCAGGGTCTTGTTGACCAGTGATTTAGTCACAACAGAACGGCTCTGTGGAATCGTATGTTTGTCTCATGGCCCTTGATAGTGTCCCCTCAACTTTCGCCAATTGCCTTACCAGCATGCCTTCCCAGCGGACATTTTCGTTATATTGGGTCGAAAAGTCGCCAAGGTACTTGGCAACTCTGGACGTTTCGTTGCCTAAGCCGCGGATGCCCTGGTCTCTGGAACGCTTGCAAATGGACTTGAGTAACCGCAATGGTTGTTTGCTCGTCCTGTTGCACCTTGTTGCTTGCTCAATACTGTGGACAAGCTATCGTCTCAGCTCATCAACCTTCACGGAATCGCTTAGATCGTCGAGGAGACGTTTGTTGTGCAAAGTATGGCGATGGCTTGGGTTGGATTGGAAAGAGAGCCAATCAAAACGAGCTGACTGCTACAGATAGGTATGTTTGTGTCTTCGCCATGGTGTGCGTTCCTGCTTCATATCTTTTTGCTTTTCCAGGGACCTCTGTCAGAATCTCATCACGGTGGCCCTTCGACGGGATAATTCATCGGAAGATGCATGACCATAATAGTTCCGCTGGTCTTTTTCCATCTCAGTACACTAAAGCCGCCGTGGCGGATTTAGGAAGGAAGATGGCGTAGCGCAGCGAAGTGTTTGTATTTGTCCTCAGAGATAGGTCCGGTGGGCGGGGAAGGAACATAAACCGCCTTCTTGCCGCATTTCGACTGCTCAACTTGTAAGACACAGCACCGACCTTGATGTTTTAGTAGACACGGCGCGAAAACATTCACAGACGTCTGACAGGAATGATCGAATTACTTTAGTGTATGAACGCTATAGAATGACAGAAGAGTGAGCGACGGCTCCGCAAACCATATTTCACCTCCCTTTTCGCCCAGAGACCTCCCTCCGATGCTCTAGTTCTGCTTTGCTGGAGGGGGAACAGGAGGCTGAGCATCCTTTGGAGCTGGCTTGGGAGCATCGAAGTCTCTTGCGTGGACCGGCTTGACAGGAGGCTGCTCGTCCTTGGGAGCTGGCTTTGGCTTTTGCTCATGAACATCTCTGGCGTGTGGTGGAGCGTTGAATGGAGGCTGTCCATCTTTAGGAGCTGGCTCGGGGCCAGGGACGTCCCTAGCATGAGGTGGGTTCGCTGGCAGTGGAGCGTGTTCCGGTTGCGGTGGTGGTGGGACGGCCCTGACTTGCGGGTGCTTGGGACCAGGCTGAGGCTTCTTTGGTGGTTGTGGCTCCTTGATGCCTCTGGCGTGAGGCTGTGGTGGCGGAGGCTGCTGAACTGGCGGACCCTCAGGCTTCTTCACGTCACGAGCGTGAGGTTGCGGTGGTGGTGGCGGTGGTTTGCTTGGATCCTCATCTGGCTTCTTGATGTCTCTTGCATGGGGCTGTGGAGGTTGTTTCTTTGGGCCTTTCGGAGGTGGAACAGCGTCCTTGACATCTCTGGCGTGAGGTTGCGGTGGTGGTGGTGGTGGTTTGCTTGGATCCTCATCTGGCTTCTTGGTGTCTCTTGCATGGGGCTGTGGAGGTTGTTCCTTTGGGCCTTTCGGAGGCGGAACAGCGTCCTTGACATCTCTGGCGTGAGGATGGTCGGGCTTCGGTGGTCCCCGCGGTGGTGGAACGACCTCGACATCTCGAGGAGCTGGTGCATGTTTTGGTGGGCCTTGAGGACGCTTTAGTGGTAGCACGTGGTCATCACGCCTGCCAGGTGGTCCATGGAATGGTGCGCTGGGAGGAGGAGCGGCAGTACCGTCTAGTTTGGCGCCAACGCCCACGCCAAGGTCGATTGGCTTTGCGAGTACCGGGCTCAGAGCCAAGAGAGCGGCGAGAGCTTGAGCTGAGAGCTTCATGGTCGGTGTCTTGATTGAATAGCGTTGTGGTAGCTTTGAATGTGTTGGTGCCAAATTGAGTGGGAGAATGAGTGGGAGAATGAATGAGTGATTGATTGGTGTTGTGAGATGGGATGTTGTGGCCTTTTATGCTTGATAACGCAAGTAGCAAACCAGCTCTTCGTCGTGCACGGGTCCGGATTGATGTCACGGCCGAGTCGTCTCCTTTTCGGGTCGACGAAGACCAACGCGTAACCTGGTCATTGCGTTGCTATTTCGTTCGATTGTGTGACCGGATGCTAGCAAGCATCGCGTTGTCGACCGTTCGAAGTTCATCTTAGCAGTCATGATCACTATTCTATTGGTACTCGACGCCAGATCCATAGCTCTTGCCGTGTTGGGAAGACTGCCCTTCAAGGGCCCGAAGAGGTCACAGAAATCCGGGTTCCCCCTTTTTGCCAAGCCCAATTTCAAGGAGGCAGTAAGGTCTACTCCGCTCACCACTGATCACGCAACGCTCTAGTCGACAAGACCCAGTAGCAGAAAGACGGCGCAGAGTCTCTAGTCCGACCACGGTGTTAGGCTCTGCAGGACACAGGTACTCGAAAGGGGGGCCGAAAGATGCCTGACAAGAACACTTGGATCAGTAACCATTAGCATGGTGGCGGGATGTAGAGCCTGACGTCGGAGAAGCAGAGCCCCAGACGGCGTACGCAGTCCGTTAGCATGGGGCACGCAACCTTCGCAGGCAGTGCGTCGCTGTGCCGAGAATCTGGCTGACGGGATGAGCTTTCCAGCAAATGAAGGTAACCCGTAACCTCGTCAGTAACGACTGTCGCCATTGAGACGATGCCAAGGTCAAGCGTAATACAGGCGTCGAGGAAGTCTCAAGAAAACGGCTCTTCGACGGCACCACATGGCTGACGTGCGGTCAAGGTTAAGCACGCATAAGCTTACTTCTGAAGATGGCCAAAGGCGATGGCTAGTGAGCGTCCAGCAATGCACTCCGGAAATGTCATTACATGAGCCCTATAGTCCAGATTATTCAACACGTCCGTGGGAGAGATCGCCGCGGTACCTGCATACCGCGATGCCACATTCGGTGACGCGTTCGTGCGGCCTTCGTCTTTGTCTCGGGAGGGAGCAGAACGTGACCAGATCCTCCTCTTCCCTTCGCCCCCGATGTCGTCAATTTCCATGACCGGCTCCGGAGAATCTCCAGTATGTGGTCCATTTGTGATTGCTTTGCAAGCCGACATACGCGTCCTCAAGTGGGCCCGATATCCGACGCGTGCTCGGTCACGATGGCCAAGAAGTTCTGTGCAAAGGAGAGCGAAAGGCCTGTAGGCTCAACTGTGTGCTGGAAGTGATTGAATGCAATTGGTGCAGGATGCAGTTGGTGCAGGTCAAGGTTGTGATGTGAATGTGAGAAATGAAGTCCGTCTTGCCCTGACTTAACGTGATGCCAAGAAACAGGGCAAAATTTGATGCCTTAGGCATGAACATCTCTATCGAGTAAGGTATGGATAGTACAGTATTCATCGCCGGGTCTTTCCCCTTTCCTCGCTGGCTCAATTTAGCCACACGGAGCACCATCACTGCTCTATCTAGCTGCAGTTCTGCCGTAGGCATTTCCACCGACGCCATCCGACAATTCCAGGCTGTGTCCATTCTGAAGCCGTTGTGGATGGTGTTGCCGGCGAGTGTTAGCTATTCGGATCCGGCCACGTGGACAGTGATGAGGGGTGCTTTTCAGCGGGAATTCGGAGAGTTGGAAATTCCGAGGGACTTCGAAACTTCCTTTGCAGGAGGTCAAGGGGGAGATGACGGTGACGGAGATTGCGAGGAATGAGAAATTGGATTGCTTTGTTGAGGAGCTACAAGCTATCTTTCAGAGTTGAAGGCGTCTCATGAGCATCAGAGCAGCTTTCGGGGGAAGTTTTCAGAGCAGGAGGTCGTCCTTGCAGCTTTCGGTCGCATTGAGAAGACCTTCAACGTTGTTAGTGCTCTTGCGAGAAAGTAACCGATTACGAGACGTTGACTACCAGTGGTTTTACTCACCATGTGGAAGACGTGCCGACCCCGTCGCTGTCTAGCTATCGATGCATTTCGTAGACGATCGTATTGAAAGGATCGTGGACATCACTCCTCGTTTGCGCATTGGTCTTGGCTTCGGTGCCAAATGCTGTCGCCCATGTCCTGTGATGTCTTGTCAATCGAAAGAGACCAGGGATCCCTGAATGATTGTTATCAAGGACCGCTCCAAGCATTGCCTTCAACGAAGATGTACTGCGAAGTTGCTCCTGCTGCGCGGATGCCGTTGATGGCTGAATCTGCCAAGGTTGTGAGGATGCATGACGTCGTATGCACCCGTGTTGGTGATCGAATTGACAGTGGCGGCGAGGTTACTGAAGTACGCCGAGTCCAGTGCTCGGATTGAACCAAATGGCGTGGGCCTTTGCATAGCGAATGGAATTCGAAAGATATTGAAGCCTTTGCTGATGAAGTTGTTGCTATACCTGGGGTCGGGCAATGTATAGTCCGTGTTGTAAACTCCTGGCAGACGTTTATTAGCGAATTCAGCGTCGGCCTCGTGGACGCCCACGAATTGCGGGCCGGGAGCTCGCTTGCCATTTGGTGCAGCGATAGTGGTGCTGATAGCAATTGCTATGGAGAAGAGAGTTGGACAGCGCATGATTGAAGGTGACGCAACTCGACGGGTATGGAAGTACGGCCAGAGTGCTCGTCCTTGACGACAGCCGAAGGGAAAGGGAATGCCAACTCTGCGACTTGAGTACTGCGAGCAAGATGTGGGTCCATCATATCACCATGCTTGTTGGATGGCTTGCCAAAGACTGCAGGCCTTCGTAGGTCTTGCTCTTGGGCCCCGATAATTTGCGGAAGTTTCGCTCGGTTGCACGCTTCGCCAGCTTCGCTGAGGTTTCTTGAGATGCTGCACTCGGCTGGATTGGACGATTGTTGACTCACAGTGAGTGTTGAAATGGTTGCTGACCTTGCAGTGCCGATGTCGAATGCTGAAAGCGAGTTGTCGTCCAGTGATTTTCAACTCGCTCTTCGTGAAACTCGGAGCTATGAAGCAGCTTTATAGGCGTAGACCACCAAGAAACATTCACATGCTCTGACAGTAGCGGGTCATTCTCCTGATTGAAGGCCTCGTAAACTAGCCAAAGGTTGTCCATCTTGTATTTGTACTTGTAACACATAGCGCCAGAGCCGCGCCGAAGCCTAAGAAGGCATGACTGGATGTCATCCCGCCATCAGAATGCCCTCCAAATTTGGATCAAAGCCAGACACACTCTCAACGCCGACTGACTACTTGTATTTCGTTTAGCCTTTCATCAACTAATTCGATAAAGTTTCGTAGAGGCTGGTTGATACCAGAGTGAAGGAAGTCACTGCGTAGAGCTATTTGGCTTCTTGGCTCGGCTAGATGAAAGGGTTGCCATTAGCAGCGCGGATATATCCAGGCGAAGTCGTAAAAGCCTTTTGAAGCCGAAGTGGCCACCTGGCATCAAGCGAAGTTCCAAGCCGGAATGACTTCCGCTCCGTATGCAATGCCGAGTGCTGAGAGCCCTCTTGCGGAGCAAACGAGTGCAAGCAATGGAGCTTGTGAAGAGCTATTCGTTAACAATCAACGCATCATGAGAAGGGAAGCCGCGGTTAGATCTGAACGTAGCTGCAGCGATAGCTTCCAGCATGCCAAACGAATCGCTTAAAGCCGTCAACTTACGATAAAGGTATGTGAATTCTCGGAAACACCCTGCAAACTCCGCACATGCCTTGTTATTCCAATCAAACAGCAGCTCCTTCCTTCTCGAGTCCGAATTCCCTAACTTCGGTCTCTCGAAGCCTTGCTTCTTGCTCTTCATCCTGCCTGATGATCGCCATGACTCGGTCATGCGGCGTACCAGTATAGCCGTGACCACTCACACCACCACTCCAAGTCTTAGCACGCTTCGGTTCCTTCTTCTTTGGCGGAGGTGGCGGCTCTACTCCCCCAATCATGGGGAAGGGATTTTCATTGGAATAGCCCAAAATCATAGGTCGAAACCCCTCGTTGGAAAGATCGTCAAACATTTCTTTGACGGCCATAGCCTTGTGTAGTGGGAAGTCTTTGCAACCCTGTGCGCCGGCGTGCTGAGAAGCGCATTAGCGATTGCAGTGAGAGCCCGAGGGAAACGTGGTGCGTGCGACATACTGTGTAGAAGACCAAGCGGATATATCCCGGGAACAGATTGTCGACTGGCGTCCACGATGTCCAGTTCAGTCGCGAGAGAGCCTCGAGATAGTATTTCTGGTAGAATGGCAGCTTGTCTTCGAAGCCTGCAAAAGTCCTATTGTCGTAGAAGATTCTGATGACGCCCGGATCATAAGCTCCAGCCTTGGAAGGCTCGAAAGAGTCCAGATCTGTCAAGCTGGCGGCCATCTCGGATGATGGTGCTTGGCCTCCTCGATGAATGTCTTCCGTGGGTTGTGCGGAACTTTTCATGCGCCGATGTCCTCAGGATGCCTCTACCGGAGCTGGAATGGCGGCAGATTGGTACAGTGCTGAGAATGTCTCATTATCCGTTCATTGTGAGATACGGATTACGTTCGTAAGCTCTGTATGTTCTGTATGTTGGGATCGAAACGCAGCTGCCTCTCTGTTGTTGAAGGAAGAGCGATGAGGCGTCGTCGTCTCTTCTTCATCATCAGCTTGGCGAGATCTCGGCAGACACGTGATCAGGCGTCGTGGTGGCGTCGCGAAAGGGACCGCGATGGCGTCACGAACATTCACTCACCCTCTTTCCGCATCGGTCTGTGACTGTCATGTGAAGAGCACGAGGTGGCCATGGTCACGGCCAATCGCAGACACGCTCGCTCTAGTACCGCATTGCTCGACACCGGCTGATCAAGATGGTGAAGCTGCAGGCGGCAACCATTGGGCCTCAGATCATCGGAAAGAAGCGAAAGCGCAAGGCGAATCAGAACGAGGGAGACGCTGAGAATGTCGAAGGCGAAGCAGAGACCGCTTCAACTACCACAGTTCCTACCAAGACACATGACGGCGGTAAGAAGCCCCGCCGGACGAAGAAAGATGGCGACAAACCGAGCCTCAAAAGGAAGAGCTCCTCGACCGTAGTCGAAAGCGCTACACCGTGGCCAGCAGCGTTCACTCAGCTATCGCAGACCCACAAAGCTCTCAACCTCGTCTATACCTTCTGCTGTACCCGCAAACATTTTGCTACGACCATCGAGAACCTCCGAAGCACAGTCGAAGCGAACATCAAGAGGGATTTGATGGTGGAAGATGTCGCGAAGATCAAGACCCTCATACCTCATGCCGTCAACTTCCAATATGTCGACGAGACACTGCTGGAAGTGGCGTTGATGGGTGAAGAAGACCTGAGGAAAGGCAAGGCAACAGGAGACTTGTTCACCCAGTTGCCAGCCGAAGAGCGGGCAGTACGCGACAGGTTGGGGAAGCAAGACCACAAGGAGGTGCTATTCTTCGAATTCGTGGACGGCGATTTGAAGAGGCAGGTGACGGATCCCAAAACGGGCCAGGCCACGAAGGCTACCAGGAAGCTGCGGGAAGAAGAGCTGAAGATGCCCGTATACAGCCAGAAGCAGTTGATGAATCTGATCGAGAAGCGGAACGTCAAGTTCACATCTGCCATCAACGCTTGGATGAATGAGTGTCTCGAGAAAGAAGTTGATCCCGTGGCGAGATTGGAAGAGCAGCACAAGCTGCACATTCCGGTCCCAAGCGAGGCCAACACGCCTGCTCCGGAGCCACTGAGCACTTTACCTGCGAGCATACCAGAAGAGCGAAAACCCATACCTGAGATCATCGAAGAGCTCAAAGGCTTGGAATGGTATACTGGTCAGATCGTGCCAGATGGGCATCGTGTTTTTGATCCGCAGCAACCTGTCTATGGCAGTCTCAACTTCGAGCTCAGCCAAGATCTCGTCAACGCTTTGTACAACACTCGAAGTATTCAACAGCTGTACAGTCACCAAGCTGAAGCAATCAATGCTCTCAACGACGGACAGAACGTCATTGTAGCGACCTCTACTAGCTCGGGCAAGTCTCTCATCTACCAGCTTCCGGTCCTACGCGCACTCGAGAATGATCCGCAAACACGGGCGATGTATATTTTCCCAACGAAAGCCCTGGCTCAAGACCAGAGACGAAGTCTGAAGGCGCTGTTGGGCTACTTGCCTGGTGTGGAGGATGTTATTTGCGAGACGTTCGATGGGGACACTGCATTCAGTGACAGAAACTACATCAGGGACGAAGCGCGAATCATCTTCACCAACCCGGACATGCTTCATCTAACAATTCTACCGCAGGAAGAGAGCTGGCGCAGTTTTCTCAAGAACCTGCGCTACGTGGTCATGGATGAGCTGCATGTCTACAATGGCCTTTTCGGTGCGCACGTTGCCTTCATCATGCGCAGGCTGCGCAGGATTTGTGCTGCCGTGGGGAATCGCAAAGTCAAATTCATCTCTTGCTCGGCCACTGTAGCCAACCCTGAAGAGCACATGAGGACCATCTTCGGCATCGAAGACGTCAAGCTCATTGACTTCGATGGCTCGCCGTGTGGGCGCAAGGAGTTTGTGTGCTGGAACACTCCATACAAGGACCCGGGCGACTCAACAAGTGGCAGAGGTGATACTTTCTACGAGACAGCAAGACTTTTCTGCCAGCTCATCCTCCGCGGCGTCAGAGTCATCTGTTTCTGCAGGATCCGTAAGCAGTGTGAGATTTTGACCACGGCCGTCAAGAACGAGCTCGAAGCGCTCGGCCGAAGTGAGATCATGGCGCGTGTCATGGCGTATCGTGGTGGCTATACGCCACAAGACCGGAGACGGATTGAGAAGGAAATGTTTGATGGCAAGCTGATGGGGATCATTGGCACCAGTGCTCTAGAACTTGGGGTTGATATTGGCAGCCTGGATGCTGTCATCTCTCATGGCTTCCCTTACACCATCGCAAATCTGCGCCAGCAATCTGGAAGAGCTGGTCGAAGGAATAAAGACAGCCTGTCAGTTCTAGTGGGAGATTGCTTCCCGACTGACCAGTACTTCATGGCCAATCCCGATGAGATCTTCACACGGCCGAATTGCGAACTGCAGGTGGACTTGACCAATATGCTCGTCTTGGAAGGGCACATTCAGTGCGCCGCATACGAAATGCCCATCAACGCCGACGAAGACGACAAGTACTTTGGCAAGCAGCTCAAAGAAATCTGCGATGAACGTCTGCGGAAGGGTGAACTCGGCTTCTTTCACACCGCCGACCGCTTTCTGCCTCACCCATCTCGCTCGGTTGCTATTCGAGATACCGAAGACAACCACTTTGCCATTGTGGACATTACGCATGGTCGAAACACTGTCCTGGAGGAGCTGGAAGCGAGCCGAGCCTTCTTCACCATCTACGAGGGAGGTATCTTCCTGCACCAGGGACACAAGTATATGGTCAAGCGTATGATCACTGAGCGCATGATTGCGGAAGTCGAGTATGTCAAAGTTGATTGGATCACGCAACAGCGAGACTTCACAGACATCGATCCCGTCGAGACGGAAGCCATTCGACGCATTCCTGGTTCCCTGAGCAGGGCTTTCTTTGGTAGCATCAAGATCCTGCAAAACGTATTTGGTTTCTTCAAGCTGGACCAAAAGCGTCGCATTCTTGATGCTGTGCAGGTCGACAATCCACCCATCATTATCTTCAGCAAAGGAATGTGGCTGGATGTGCCTCGTTCTGCGATCGAGATTCTCAACTCGCGAAGACTAAATTTGGCGGCCGGCATCCATGCTGCCGAACACGCCATCCTGAGCCTGATGCCCAATTTTGTCATTTCCATGCCGGGCGATGTCAAGACGGAATGCAAGGTCGCCATCAAGGAATTCGCAAAGAAAGAGACATCTCGAAAAAGACCGGCGAGACTCACCTTTTACGACGACAAAGGCGGCCAACATGGCTCTGGAATTGCCGCGAAGGCCTTCGAGTTCATTGATCTGCTCCTGAACCAGGCATGTGAGAGGGTGGAAGCTTGCCACTGTCTCGAAGGGTGTCTGGAATGCTGCTGCAGCGAGCGATGCAAAGAAGCCAATCAGGTCATGTCCAAAGCGGGAGCGGAGGTCATACTGAAGAGTCTGCTGAATCGTGAGATCGATGTCGACAACTTGCCATGGGGACCTGAGGATGAGCGTGTCCCGGCGGGCATTGAGACAGTGGTGTTTGCAGAGGAGGTGAGGCCCAGAGCTGGCAGGGACGTCGAAGTCATCGAGGTCAAAAGAGAAGGAGGTGGGACTAGGAGAGTCGTCCTCGACGAGGAGGGCGATGTCGTTGAAGATGAAGGAGAGGATCCATCTGGAGGTGGACGGCAGGAAGAAGAGGTGATTGTTATCAAAGATGAGCCAGAAGATGATGAATGACCAACTCGACGTTTGCAAGACAACGGTGCCTGTTGGCCGAAGCCCGAATTCCCGCCGACTGCTAGTCTGCGGAAATCCGAGAGAAAACAGGGTTGAAGTGCGAAGAAGCCCAGACTTCACAGGAGATGCCAAATATCGACAGCAATGCAAACCAGCTTTTCAGATGCAATGTTTTGCGGATCCCTTTTATGGCGGGTATCGAACGATGGTCACATTCCCTTGTCGTGCGTCTGATGAATCCGTTTCTTGGCCCAGAGCCAAGAGGCACCCAGGCCCGATGCAAATGCCGACAGCCTGTAGGTACGTGGGTACCGAGTTATAGAACACTGCGTATCTTTGGCAGTACCAAGCTCGTCTCCCTGCCCCAGGCTCTACAACAGAAAAGCGTAGAGACAAGGCAAGGAGAGGTGCAGTGGTGTAGTATGAAAATTAAAATAGTAGCTAGCTTGAAGGAATACTCCAGAGGTAATTACGTTATAGCTTTCAATTACGCCAGGTCCGACGTCGCTGGAGATAAGACGAGCGAGGAGAAAGGTATCCTCTTATGAAGAGATAGGTGTATCCATCTCGAGAGGTCGTAGCGAGCCGAATAGTAGTGAACTCGTAATAGTTTCCGTCGACATCACATTTCGAGGCTTGTGACGCCGGGCCATATACCCTATTTAGACGACCACGTTTGCATGGCGTTAGTAGGAAATTAGGACGGGCATAGCGCTATACGCCTTGAAAGCGAGGAATTCGCGGAATTGTGTCACTCACGCCTTCTACTGCACTAGCCAGCGCCCGGGACACTGCGGAGAGATAGTTTATGTCGCATGCTGTCTACCTCGGGCACGCGCCGACCGAGTGTACTGGAAAGAGTATACTGGAAAGAGTACTGGAGAGAGTATACTAGAAAGAGTACACTCAAAAAGTAGAAAACTGAGATCGGACAGGGCGCAGCATAGCTATCGGAGACATGATGACTCCGTGGCTCACCAGCATCGGGGATGGGATTGCTCTGGTCGCGGAAGCTATGGGACTTCAATCTGTCCTGGGGGCTTCCTGGATCCCGACATCGACAGTGAGTGCTTCTCTTGTCCATCACTGCAGTAATGCGACTCTCAACAACCTCGACGTCTTTGGAGCCAGAATTCTCTCTGTCGATGCGAATCCGGTCTTCAATCATACCTCTTATACGGCAAAAGACCAGGGTATCCACCTCGAGGGCACTTGGAGCAACCTAAATTTTTGCAATGTCACAGTCACGTATACCCACCCTGGGCGAGACGACTACATCAACATCTATATCGTTCTCCCGTTTGAAGGATGGACGGGACGCTTTTTAGGTGTCGGTGGAGGCGGTTGGATGACGGGCTCTCCACCTGATTCTCTGGCCCCTTTGACACAACAGGGATATGCAGCGGCTAGCACAGATGGAGGACACTCCTTGTACAGTCGTTCAGCAGGAGACTGGATCTTGCATAGTCCTGGGAATGTCAATCTGAATCTACTACAGGATTTCGCCAGTGCGGGACTGGATGATCTGGCCGTGATCGGCAAGGGGATTACGAGGCTGTTTTACGAGAAAGAAGTGAGGAAGAGTTATTGGAGTGGCTGTTCCACGGGTGGAAGGCAGGGGTTGATGCTCGCGCAGAGGTATCCGGATGCTTTTGATGGGATATTGGCGGTCGCGCCGGCGGTCAATTGGGCGACGCTGCTAGTTGCAGAGTTCTGGCCGCAGCAGGTGATGAATCGGCTTGGGTATTACCCGAGTAGGTGTGAGTTGGATGCGATTACGGCTGCTGCGGTGGAGGCTTGTGATGGGATGGACGGAGTCGAAGATGGGATTATCTCGTTTCCTGGCCGGTGCAACTTTGATGCGGGGGAGGCTGTTGGGAGGCAATTCGAATGTAAGGGATCGAAGCAGAAGGTTTCGAAGGAGGGTGCAGAGGTTGCGAATGCAGCTTGGAGAGGAGCTGTTGATGCCGCGGGGAGGTATGGTTGGTATGGGCTCACTCGTGGAACGGATTTAGCTGGAGGCCTCGTGAGGACGGAGTGTTCCAATGTCAGCTCCAGCTCCTGCGTCGGGTCGCCATTCAGCGTCTCCGAGGATCACATCAAGCTGCTGGTGCTCAAGGATGCAGAGGCCGACGTGTCCAATCTCTCGGATGCCGCCTTCTTCCAGCTCATCCGCCGGTCCGTCCAGGAGTACACCAGCATCATCTCGACCAACGACGCAGACCTGTCCGCATTCAAAGCCCGAGGAGGCAAGATGTTAACATGGCACGGACTGTCCGATGCGCTGATCTTCCCCAACGGCTCTTCCCATTACTACGAGCGAGTGCTGGAGGCGGATCCACAGGCTGCCGTCTTCTATCGATACTTCGAGGCTCCTGGAGTCGGTCACTGCACCGGGGGACCGGGGCCTCTGCCGGCCGATACACTCGATGCGGTTGTTCGATGGGTCGAGAGAAACGAGGCTCCCGAGATCTTGACGGCTCGCGGTCAAGATCAAGACGGGAGCGATGTCGTGCGCGAGATCTGCATGTATCCGAAGCAGCAGGTATATCTAGGCGGAGATGCGGGTAGATCCGAGAGCTTCGGATGCATTTAGCTCCACATCTACTACTACCTTACTGACTTCACACCCGACAACAACTTCAACGCACCGTACAATACCCGTGTTGCTTCTCGTGCGCGGCGGCTATGGTAACGACTACGGAAGGTCGTCAAGCCTCACTTCATCCTCCTCTCCTTGCTCTATATTCTCAACCCACTACATCATGATGATTAATCTTGCCCCAGAGACATCGCGCAGCAGCTGACCAGGAGTGTCAATGAGTCTGACTCACGGTATACAGCGGTGCACGAACAGACCCTCCGACACTCTGACGCTGAAAGACGTCTCTCGGCAAGACCGGCAGCGATGCCATGAACGCTGCAGGCGACTCCTCCGCCGCATATTGCATCCTCCACCCCTCCGACCCAGAGCTCACTGGCCATGCCATGACCTTCACAATCGGCCGCGGCAACGGACTCGTCTGCCAAGCTATCGCTCTCCTCGTCGAACGCATCAACGGCACGACTCTTGACCCACTCGTCGCCGATTGGGGCAAGACGTGGCGGTCTCTTGTATCTGACAGCCATCTTCGCTGCATCGGACCTGAGAAGGGAGTCATCCATCTAGCATTAGGGAGCTTAGTGAATGCAATCTGGGACCTCTGCGCAAAAGTGCTAGGGAAACCTGTCTGGAGAGTCGTCGCGGAGATGAGTCCGGAAGACCTTTTGTGAAAAGTATCGATTTCTGGTATATCGCGGATGCCATCACACATAAAGAGGCGGTACTCATGTTGAAGGAAGTGGAGAAGGGCAAGGCAGACAGGATTAAACAGGCGGAAGCAAATCGTGCGGTACTCGCGTAAGTCACGAGTGGAGGCTGGCTGGGCTTTGGCGAGTATAAGATGAAAGCCTTGCTGCAGGAGACTGTTGATCCAGGATACCGACATTTCAAGCTGAAAGTTGGGACCAGTATAGAGCAGGATCGGCCAAGCTTGCAGATTGCCAGGAGCGTGATTGAATATGATAAGGGCAACGTCCTGATGGTGGACGCGAACCACTTCTGGTCCGTACCAGAAGCTATGGGGTATACGAAGCATCTGGCGGAGTTCAAGCCTTGGTTTATCGAGGAGCCAACGTCACCTGGTGATGTCCATGCGCACAAAAATGACCATGAGGCACTGCAAGCTGGAAGATGCGCGCCTTCAAGGTGATGGAGACCATATTCCACTAACTCAGAGACCGGTCGTCTGGTCTCCGAAGTTCTTGACTACATTCTCGACGCACTGCTGCGCACACGTGAATACTTCAAGGTGTTACCAGCGGTAGCACGGCAGAGATCTAGTCTGACTTACTCTAGCAGTCGTTCCCAAACGAGGCCTGACAGCCGTTTCAAATGAAGATTCCCACGGCGTCTCAGCCCGTCGAACTTTGATCCATCGCTTCACTGGAATGACCTGCATGGCATGGTCTTGTGGGCTGTTGCATGTGACAATGACGTCATATCTGACACAACCCGGTGAATGATTTCGCCGGCGTGCTGCCTTGTGCCATATATTGGGAGTGGCCAAAAAGAAGCCTCTTGCTGATCCCGAGTAGGTTCTGATGCCCTCGGAAGCCACACGGCCAGAACTGTCCGACAATAACAGAAGACCCCGATTCCCAGAAAATGATGGGCAGCTTTCCAGTAAGTACACACGCATCATCTTCGTCGCCGCAATACCTGTTTTCCATCATGAGAGCGCGCACTGAATGTCGGCCGTATCTTTGGTGGAGATAGTCTGACATCAACCAGGGCGCAGAAAGGGCTTTCGCTCTGCTCAATCTTCCGGCAGAGCTTCGCAACCGCATTTATGAATACGCTGTTATATCATCCGATCGTTTGCTGGTTCCAAGTACTTGCAAGCACGATGATCGGCCAACAGCGCAACAGCCTGCGCTCACGAAGGTCAACCGACAAGTCCGGGAGGAGACCATCAAGACGTTCTACGCTGAAAATGTCTTTGTATATCATATCCATCGTTGTGATTTCGAATACATGTTCGAATGGATGACGGCGATCGGCCTTGAAAATCGCTCTTCTGTACGAAAACTGCAGCTGGTCATCAAAGATCGTTGGACCTGCGGCGTGGGGCTCCTGGATTTCTTGCGCTGGTGTACGAATACGAAAGGCATCGAGAACCTGTGGTTGATGCCCGATCCCCACGAATGGCAGAAGGAGCAGTTCCTCCAAATGGATGAAAATGATCAGCAGCACGTCCTGGAAAGGGAGAACAACATTGGCTACTGCATGGCAGCAAGCGTCATCCTGCTCATCGAAATGGTGGACCTTTCGAATGATCTCACCGAGCAAGGCAGGCGGTCTGAGCACAGTATACGCCCTGCGTTTTTGGAAAGGCTTATTGCGTTGGAGATGACTTGTCGCTGTATCAGAAAGTCCTGCAATGGTTCAAGAGATGGGAAGACCTGTGCTTGTGCTTTCGAGGGCTATTGCACTCGGATGTGGAAGCACGTTGGTATCGAGAACCGTACTGCGCTGGCGAAGGGCTGCATGCTCCGTCATTGAGATCCGCCGGATTATTGCATCCATCGACGGCCGGGGAGATCAAGACGAACGAACAAGCGAGTGACAACATGAGTCTGATATGAAGTACGGTAGAATAGAGTTTGGGGTCGGGAGTAAGGATCATCTAGACCCGCCGTCGTCATTGCCGAGGATGGAAGCTAATGACGTTGTCAACAACAGCTCCTCTTTCCCCACAGACAGTATCAAGACATTCGATACCGCACCGCCGTCTCCAACACTGCGAACGAAAACCTTCTGGGTCAGTCAATCGACAGGAAACTTCAAAGCAGCTCCCACAGACCCCACCCTTAACCAACCGATACATCGTGTCGCAGGCACAAACAATGGCTCTCCAACTCGGCCGCTCCCCTCTTCTGCGCCCAGTCGCTGCCCTCGCCGGCTGGACCTTTGTTATGCAAACCTGGATGCACGTCACTCGTGTCCAAGCCATTGGTCAATACAATGTTTCCGTCGAGCCCGATCAGATCAAGGAGGACGTCAACAAGAAGATTCCCATTTCGATTGCCCAAATCGCCGACAACTTCAACCACCTTCACGAGCAACCCACCGTCTTCTACGCCGTCGCTCTCTCGCTTGCCATGATTGGTGACAGCCACGACTACACTATCCTTGCCGCTTGGGGATACGTGGGCGTGAGGATCATGCATTCGCTGTTCCAGGCGACAGTCAACAAGGTCATGGTTCGCTTCCCGATGTTTGCCAGCAGCTCGGTTGTGCTTGCTGGGTTGACTGCACGATTGGCCCAGCTGGTCTACTAGGCCTGGGAAAGAAGAGAGGGGGGAGTGGGAAGGGATGCGTTGAGATGAACAACTTTGAAGACACGACAGTTCGAATGAACGAGAGGAGGTACAGTAAGAGGATATGACCAGAGGTACCCTGTGTCAAATTAGCTTGCAATACCACAAGCCAGATCTACTTTCTTCGCCCATGTCATGGCCTTTCTACCCTCTTTAGTTAGAGAATACATCCGAACCGGCGTCTCCCAACAGATTAAACAAATGCTCTGAATCCTTATCAGCACGGCAATCGAGCACAGCGCAACCAGGAGGACAACAAACTCGTACACGAAGGGACTCGAAGACCACCCCATAAGCAGTCCGCTGCATATTGTAACCCGTCGGCACTTCGTTGTCGTACCCCTGGCGATGTAACTATCAACTCGTGAGCGGAAGGAGGAGGAGAATGCAGTGACGCCTCAGGTATGTCGTAACACTCACAATACATTCCCAATAGCTGATCACCTTGTTGTAGAAAATTCCGGCCGAAATTCGAACAGCAACCATGGAATTTAACATCCCCCCTAACCGTGTTATTGACATCGACTCTGGAGCACACTACGCCTCTGTAGACGCAAAGCGGGACGCATCCGCTTCGCACCGCCCTAATGGATGTCGTCGCTTCTTGAGAGCTCCATCGAACACCATTCAAATCTGCCGCCAGCTCACGTCGGAAGTGCTTGGACATTTCTATTCGTCCAACGTCTTCTTCACCAGCGTAAACAGACATAGCCTTTGATACATATTCCACAGGCGGATCCACCAGCAAGCGGGAGAGAAACTCCATGAAGCCGAATTCATGTTTTCCAAGGACAGTACTGGTTGTTGTCTTGGCGTATGTTCTACGCATGAGCTTATGGACATCAGTATTCAGAGTGCGCGGCATGTCAAGTGTGGGCAGTTACATGAACGTCAGATCTCTGTGGATGAGGCACGCGAGAATCTGGAGCGGGTTCGGGAGGTGTTGGGCGTCACTTACGTCGGCGTAACGTTCCAAATGGCGGATATTGTGGCGATAGCGATTGAGAGGACGAGGTAGTTCAGCGGGTGTAGAAATTCAGCCGTCGACCTACTGTAGCAGCTTTTGACTGAATCACAAGATGATCGGCAAGGAGGAGACTCCTGGCGACACGGTGATGACCATTGTTGGGAGAATTGTGATGCTCGAGGGGCGGCAAAGAAGAGCGGTGCGACTGTGCAACGCTGTATCTGAGAGACATCATGTTAAGGCTGCCTCGCAGTCGTTTCCTCCGGGTAGAGGCAGGACTCGGGTAGAATGTAGCAGAGACGCCTCGTTCCAGACGAATATCGTTACAACTCTTACGACCGCATACTGATATAGCGTGGATCATGCCATTCCCGCACAGCTCACATGCCCCCTGTTCGAGCCTCCGTTTGCACTCTCTCGGTAGCTTATCAATTTCGACACGTGAATTCGCCGACGTATGACCGACAACGACTTTAGCCGATAACCCTCAGACAAATCCGAGATCTTTGCCTGACGACTGGAGAGCCAGATATCCACCCAACACCTCGTCTGGTACCTCGGGAAGTCTGCTCACTGATATACACGAAATGCACCGCTGACATCATTAGCTGCTCATTGACATGGCGGAGCAAGACCGAGCTGCACGTGCGAAAGAATCGAGCCTTTCATCTGAATCGGTTGGAGCTTTGACGTGGGACAGAAGAATTCTATAGAAAATATTGTAGAGGTCATTCGCGTCCTAGTGGCGAGGGATAAGTTCGCATCGACCAAGGAAGGACGAGAAGGACACGCGCGCAAGAGTTGATATTCTCCACGCGGTGATACTATCAAACCAGATGGCAGTGCAGCCTCAGGAGTTGCTGTAGCACCGATGAATGCAAAAGCCATGCTGCTTTAAATCATTGTCCGACCTCCATACGATGAATGCATGCAATCATTCCTTTGTTTTCATAACCCGCAACATTACCAAAGCCGGCGAGGTGAACCCATGTCTTTGAACATTGTAACATCAAATGTCGTTCGAAAGTTAGCATCCCAAAATTTCGCCCCTCATGCATGGTCATGGTAAGCATTCCTCTGCCCTGACGCTCGACCCGACCGGTGAGTGTCCTCTTCAGCCCTTCCCAGGTTCCGTCGCTGAGCATTCTGAAACAAGCGTCAAATGGAAGCTGTTCCTTGTCCGAAAGCGTCGTGTTCTGAGTCAGATTGAAAGGCTGAACAAGTGGCTGCTTATCCGCTCCAGCGGTTGTGTGACCAGGCAACGATATATGTATTCACTTGCGTGGCCGGCACTACGACCTACGTGATTCCCAGTTACTACCAATAGTCATTATGGCGACCAAACATGAGAGATGTATGGAGAGACTCCAGCGCGAGCAATACAACGTAAAACGGCCTCTTTTGAAATTACCGACAGAGCTTCGACTGGCGATCTACTCTTATGTCCTCCCCACCAACGAGATCGTCGACATTGAAGATCCTCGTCTCTGGCACACTTTCAATGTCCGGTATGGATCCTACAAAGACGTTCCTCAACTCCTAATGCAAGGCTTTGCTGGCCCACGACCAGACGGACCCGGTTACAGAAGTACGCTCGCTATTACCCAGGCTTGTCGACAACTTCGTGAAGAGGCTATGCAGCATTATTACGGCTCCAATACTTTCCTGCTACGGATGACGTTCTCGCAGAATGGATACCCAATGACAACCAAGTGGCTGGACATGTTAGCTGAGGAGGCATCGCATTCTCTTCGATGGCTCTTAGCGGTGGAAAGCGAGGCTTGCATCCAGCCGGGAAGGTACTGCGATCGTGTTTGGCGTCTTGATTTGAGAGACAAGACAGTGCGGTACGTCCATGTGGGTGGTCGGTGCGTCGACTGCCCCAAACGACAGATGGAGGACCTTGAGGGTATTCGAAACCAGTTCTTGATGATGATGAATGAGCGATCCGGTGACTCTGTATCTCTACAACAGCTGCGGCAGGTACTTCGGATTTTTATGGCGAGGCATCAGAAGACTCATCCAACTCCTTGCGGCGTGTGAAGGAGTGCCGAGATAGGTATCTGCAGATATTGGGTGTGTAAGATGCAGCATTGGAGGCCAGGCACCAGATCGACAAAGTTCAGGAGGATCCCGCCATCATGTGGGTTGAGGCAGACGAGATTGCAGAATCTCTGCAGGATTTCATGAGACCTCAAATACTTCTGTAGTATCTTCAATTGTCCTCAGCAGAGGCGCAATCTTGTTCGGGTCCCGCAAAGCCTCGGTCACGTTCTCCCTTGCGTTCTTCAGCTTTTCTTGTACGACCTCGTACTTCTCCTCCTTCGCTGTGTACTGTCGTATCACCTTCCTGTCCGCGTGCTCCACGTACACCCTCGTGTCTCTGATCCGGATGATGACGCCGTCCAGGCGCAGAAAGAAGCGGCTGAGTAGGAGGAGCCGCTCTGGCATCATTCGTACTTTGATATTGAGTAACCCGATACCGTTGTCTGCCAGCTCATCTTCGTAGAGATCCACCGCATCGAAGAAGACGATGGGATCCTGCCTACTAAGCAGGTCCGTCCGCACTTCCTCTCCTGCCTGTGCGGGTCTCCACTCGCCGTGCTTCACGACATGGCCTTTTTCTGTCGTGCCCTTGTAGTCGGTCGAATAGCTCCAATCAAAAGGCTTCACGACTTGCTTGACTTCCTCTTGATGACTGCGCTCTTTCTTCCACTCCTCTGCGACAGCAACCTGTAGCATCCCCTCCTCGGTCTTACTCACTCCGTCCAGAGCGTCGCGAGCGTTGAAGTGGATTGTCCAGTCTGAGGGAATATGCGTGATGGAGACGAAGTTGTCACCGAATATCATCTCGGGAATGGGAATGCCAATATCGTTGCTGAGAACCTCGATAGGGTCTGCCTTGAGGATGGGAAGCTTGCGGGTCGTGATGCGCCAAGCTTTGTTGGGCGAGATGTGACTCTGCATGCCAGAAGAGAAGCCGTTCAAAGAGGCCATCTCGACTTGTTATCACATGCGAAGCGCTGTCTCGCTCGTCAACAAATGAATGAATGTTCACAGTCTCGGGTCGGGTGCTGGTGGGGCGGTCGGGGTTGGTGAGCGCGGAACGCCGACGCGGGATCGGCTGACGCGCCTAGCAACGGTTGCTATGCTACTCGCAAAACCCAAACATATCCCCCACTGCCTCACTCTTCCACCTGGACTTCAAGCCAAGAACGACTCGCTCCCACCAACATCTGTCGGACAAGTCTGTCATTGGACATACCCCAAAACATTCATTGACAGCAGCCGTCATGGCAGATATCGCATCCCTCGAGCAGCGCTTCGAAGGCATCACCGTTCAGGACGAGAACCAGGATGTCTCATCCACATACCAGCACAAGCCAAAGGTTCGTGGTATCTGTCTTCTGATCTGGCCCTTCTAATGTATGAGTCTAGGGCTCGCTCAGTCAAGCAATCTCATTATCAAATCTCGGATCAGCAACGACATCGAGCCGCATGAAGCTCCCTCTCCAGAAGCTCCCAACGAACGCAGCCAGCAAACCCAACCAGGCCGCATCCACAACAATCACCAAGATCACTCTCCCCTCCCAAGCCGCCCAGCGGCCCTCCGCCGAAGCACGCCCCTCAGATCCCGAGCCTACCTCTCAGCCAGCGGAACCCAAAGCCAAGTCCAAGAACTGGCACCTAGGCATGTTTGAAATCGGCAAACCCTTGGGGAAGGGAAAATTCGGCCGCGTCTACCTCGCCCGTGAACGCAGTTCCGGCTTCGTCTGCGCCCTCAAAGTCCTCCACAAATCCGAGCTGCAACAAGGAAAAGTCGAGAAACAAGTCCGTCGCGAGATAGAAATCCAATCGAATCTCGCACACCCCAACATCCTACGTCTCTACGGCCATTTCCACGACACCAAGCGCATCTTCCTCATTCTCGAGTTCGCCGGCAAGGGGGAGCTGTATAAGCATCTGCGGAAAGCACAGCGGTTCCCGGAATGGCAGGCAGCGCAGTACATCGCGCAAATGGCCAGCGCCTTGAAGTATCTGCACAAGAAACATGTGATGCATCGGGATATCAAGCCCGAGAACATCCTCGTCGGTCTACACGGAGAGATCAAGATCTCTGATTTCGGATGGAGCGTTCACGCCCCCAACAACCGTCGTAACACCATGTGCGGTACCCTCGATTACCTTCCGCCAGAGATGATCAAACCCGGCCGCGAAGAGAACTGGTACAGCGAGAAGGTTGACCTTTGGAGCTTGGGCGTGCTCACGTACGAATTCCTGGTGGGAGAGGCCCCATTCGAGGACACGCCGGTTATGACCCAGCGGCGAATCGCGAGGGGAGAGATGACGATTCCACCGTTTGTGAGTGCCGAGGCGAGGGATCTGATCAAGAGGCTGTTGGTGTTGGATCCGGAGAAGAGGTTGAGCTTGGAGGAGGTCGAGGTTCACCCTTGGATCATCAAGCATTGCGTCAAGGGCGAGAGGCACTATCAGCGCACGAGCGGGGAGGGCAAGAAGGAAAAGTCGATGGGTGCTGCGGTATGATGTGGAGAGGATGACGTGAATGAATGGATCACAGGACGAGACGAATTTCGTTGTTCTTTTCTTCTTGATTTGACATGATCGGCTGGCGTCTTGGACGATGGCTGAAGGCTTAGCATGGCATGGCATGGCATGGCATGGCGTTTGGGATCACGGAATGATTGTGTACCGCTTCGATGATCGATGATACTGCAGGTACATTAAAAATGCACTCGTGGGAAAGCAGAGCCATTCGACTCCTCGCTGGTGCTCGCCACAACGCTCCCTCTCAATCCGTCGTAGACCTGCCAAGACAATATTCTTTCCCTCTTACGTGTCAACACCGTCGTGATCCCAACTACGCAGCCTTGCCTCCCTGCTTCTTCTTCTTCTCAGCATACTCATCCGCCTTCTTTTGAAAGATACTGCCATCAAACGTAGCCCTAACATCCTCCTTCCGAATGATTCCATCTTCCGGCCAGACCAACAGATAAAGCGCAACCCACTCGAAGAAATTCGCACTCCACCCAAACGGATCCATCAATAGCCTCTGGCCCTTGTGCATTCTCGCCAAATCGTAAAGATCCAGTCCTCCCTTGCCATTGAGATCGTACTTGGCGAAGAGATCTTCAAATTGTTGGGGTCGGAAGCGGCCTTCGGAATCGTAGGTTTGGGAAGAGGAGCCGTGCTTGTCTTTGTGAATGTTGTGGATGTAGATTGGGAGGAAGGGGGAGGGGAGAAGTTTTCCCTTGGGAAAGGTTGGGTAGGACATGGCTGGTGCGATAACCACCACTACAAGGAGCGATAGGAGCATGTTCCAGCCCCATGCGCGGCAGCCTGTCGAGAAGGTCAGCCATCTCCAAGAGCAAGTGACAAAATCGGCTACTGGGAGTGCCGCGCAGTGGCTCAACAACATGAGATGCCACGGAGATGGTCAATCGTACCGTTGTAGATGTCCCATGGATAAATGATTCCGTCGCCATCTGGGTCCCAGTAGACCACATGTTGCTGGAGAACAGTCTCATGGGAATGCTGTTCTCGCCACCCCGGGGTTCCGTCAGGGCGTTCATTCGACACAGCAAGGTTGGCACGAGCTACTCCGGGGCTCAAGACGTCTCCAATCTTGGGAATGGAAGGCTGTCGTTCGACCGTGACGGGCACACTGGGTAGGAACGTGTCGAATTGGCGTCTCTGCGACCCATCAGACTGCATCAATTTTCGCTTGGCGATTTCGTTGGAGCCGATGTCGTTGTTTCCAGCACCTGGTGCAGCTGTTGCCAGCACGCCGACAATCGAGGGCATGATGTGCGGCGTGTCGTATGTACGCTATTTGGGAGATCTGATAGAGGGAGAAGGATTGATTGAACTTCAGACCAGGAAATCAGAGTTTGCCTTGAGCTGCGTTGAGAGAAGGTAGGTATCACCTTCAAAGTCGTCGTTCTTTCTATCGTACTAGTACCTATGCAGGCTGTGCAAGCATGGCAACATCAAGGCACTTCAATTTCCAGTGACAAATGACGTCGGAACCACCGGAATTGCGCTCTACGTCATTGGCCAATGGAGTTAGCGGCTTCAACATGTGAAAAGGTCAACGTTTTCCACGCTGCATGCGGTGGCGTTGTTGGCCAAAAAAATACAGATTCTGATTTAGCCTTTTAAGCCGCAAGTCCGGAGCGTCCTGCGTTGTGACGTGGATATTCGACTTTGATCGTAGCACTTTGCAGTGCCCGGAATCAGGAGATTGGGAACTAGCACCCTCTCTGCTCACTGTAGACTCGTTCCAACTTGGCCATGCGTGATGGTGCTGTCGGACAGGCGTAATGCGAGGTGCTTGTCGGTCGGTCGCACACGCGGAGTCTTGAGCAAAAGCTGTCTACGGCCTCCTCGCACATGGAAGGTCATCTCGACGACGAGTACCACTGTCTTGCTGCTATGCGACTCTCTGTGGTCAACTTTCTTCCGTTGCAGGATTCGAGAGCGAGAACGCAACGACTTCTCAATTTGCTCCCGAGCTCCACGCTCTCTCTTCTCAGTATCTTTCCAATGCTCTCAGTGACCTGTCGTTGCACTGCGTAATGTGCCACTGCTCCAGATGACCAGACACTTCTGACTCTTGCAGGCCCAGTGTAGTGGGAAGCCTGACGCCCGTCCATGCGCAATCCGTGTTGGAACCTCGTCGCGCTTCCCACCGTTGTGCCCATCCTCACTTATATATCTCATCGAACGGCCGAGTATCGTTGAAGCAGCTCTCCCAAACTTCATTCACCACCCTCACCGCCTGTACATCGTCTTTACAGGCCGGTCTGTTGGCCACCGACAACGCCGCTCTTCTCCTGACGCATTCTTGCAGCTGCTGCGTCACGCTCCACTGTCCTCTAGTGAAGAATTCGCGTCGGAATCGGCACTCTCCACTCAACATGCTCGCTCTTATCTCCATACACGCCGCATGTCTCAGGTCCAATGGATCCAGCTTGAAGCGCATATAATCGTAGGCATGGACCATCTCGTGGGCAAGTGTGTCCTCCAGATGTCCTCGGTCGCGAAACTGGTTCGCGCAGAGCAGAATCCCGTGCTCGGGACTGAAGCCTCCACTTTGCTGTGTATCACATCTTCTGCAGGTGACGTTACCGGGGTGTATCGATGCGCTGCCGTCTGCCGGACCGAGAAGGTCGATGTTATGCTTCATGAAAGTCACAATGGGCGAGCCCTTGAAGAGATATTTGACGTCTTCTTGACAGCGCTTGCAGTCTTTCTCTTCGTTCTTGACGTCGCGTTCATGGAAGTAGGCATTTCGAAGAGGTTGCGATGCGCTGCCACTGAGGATGGAGAAGAAGTTGGACCAGGTCAGATAGGTCGAGTCGCTGGCATCGGATGTCGAGGGCTGCGAGGATACAGCCGATGGGGGGGACGGATCGGACATGTTCTCGGGGGCGTACAACGAAAGAGAAAAGAAGAAGCCGTTTCTGCTTTGGATTGCTGTCGATGGACTTGATTCAATTCACTCTGGCTTCCGCGGCTACTGCCGGCGCTAACCTGCGCTTCTCCTCTAGTACCTCTTTCACAGGTTGAAGGCTCACGCGATTTGTACTTGCAACATCCAAGACGACTAGTCGCATTTCACGTGTCATAGATACACTTGGATGACTTTCCACTCACTGCATACGTCTCCGTCACCATGCACCGCAGCGCGAATGGCACCCTCCGCAAAGTCACCAGCACGTTCACATCAGGCCAGCGAAGCGTTGGGTGGATTCTTCAAGAATGCGCGCGGAGCAAGGGATGGATGGCTGCGCAACCGCGTTCTGCTACTATCTAGACCTCGTCGAACCTCCTCCAAAGATGTACACCTCATCGCATTGCTTTGGTCGCCAGCAACATGCACCTGAGCACCAGTACCGTCCGCCAGCAACCTCCCACGGTGCTTGTAGCTCTGCTCGCACTCAGCCTTCTCCCGCTGTACATCATCTCCTACCAAATTCGCCTCCGCTTCCCTTTGAGCCAAATCCCGGGTACGGAGTCTCTCGGCCTCGACATTCCTCCTTCTCCCGTCTCCCAAGACTTCGTCACAGCTTGGCTAGCCACGGACCTTGTTCAACCCTTTGATCCATATCCTCTAGCTCGCTATTGTAACACTACCGGTCGAAGATTCAATCCGAATCTTGTCTTCAACCTCGCCAACGCAAATGGCGGACTGGGAAATGTTCGCGGCAACATTCTGGATTTCATCTTCTTCGCCATTGAAGCAGGCGCGAGTATTATCCTACCGGGCTTCGCAGGCCGGGATAGCGAGAACATAGGGAATGTATGGGGAGGGCACAAGCATTTCGGGGAGTTCTTTGATCAAGAATGGTTTGTGGAGACGATGGGAAAAGTGTGTCCCGAGATGGAGGTGTACGTCTTCGAAGAGGGAATGAAGATGAAGGAGGCGGTCAATGGAGAGAGGGGAAATTACATGCCGAGGACGAGGAGGATGGATAGTGGGTTTGAGAACACGTGGAAAGCGGCTGTGGAGCAGTTGGAGGGGTGGTTGAGGGAGGTCAAAACTGACGATGAAGCCAAGGACCAAGAGGCGGGCGGGACGACGATGGTGAATTTGGAGAGGACACTGTGGGATGTGGATACGAGGTCCTTGCCACTGGGAGTCAGGAGGAATTTTGGGCAGATGGTGAGGCTGAGACCGGATGTGAGACGACTGGCAGCGGTTGCGGTGCAAAATCTGGCGCTCAGGTTCGGACTGGACATCGATCCCGGGCACGCCATTCCCAGACATGCCTTCTACGGAGCACACTTGAGGACCGAGGCGGACGCAGGAGGCGCTGGATGGTTGGATGACGCGAATGCAAACTTCTCGGCGCAGACGGATGCATACATCGAACAGTCTCTGAAGCACAAGCTGAGAGTGATGTACGTCGCCACAGGAGATGAGTCAGAGCTTGCGCTCTTCAGGGAGAAAGCCTCGAAGCACAAACCGGCTATCAACATCACCTCCAAGTACGATCTACTTCCCGCGAGGGAGGCTGCGGAATTGAAGGGGTTGACTTGGGATCAGCGGGCGTTGGTAGATTACGAGGTGCTGAAGAGGAGCAGTATCTTCGGCGGCTTCGTGAAGAGTAGCTTCAGCTACAACGTCGCGATGGCGAGGAATCAGTGGCTGGAGGATCAAGCGTGGATGGCGGATCCGTGGTACGCTCAGCACACGGAGACTGGCGTCAGCTTTGATGATGGTTTGAGCAGGATACTGGGTAGGGACGGCTGGCATGAAGGTCGAATTCCGAGAGGCATGTGGCCGTAGCGTAGTTGAGTGCTAGTTCGTAGCTTGGAATGAATCCGAGTCTCTTCTCCTGGCAACTCTGCAGCCGCGTCTCAAGAGGGCCGATCACGTGCTAACAGCCTTCCAAGCGAGGATTGACAGGGGGGCCGCGCCTGTACAGAAATACGTACAAACGAATTGCAACCAGGTCGAATAAGACGTCCGAACAATCCAAGATATGTCCCCAACCACCAGCTCCATGCAGAATGCAAAAAATTGTCATTAGCCAACTCAATAGAAACTGAACAAATCCAAGAAGAGTTCTGTCGTAATACCTCGCTCATGTGCTCATCAAGACCCTCCTTGTGTTCTCGTACTGCTCCCGCCCAATCCTCGCGTCGTGACAACGACGTGAGGTGTGTATTTTGCGAATTACATGGATACCGTTGTGCTTTCTGGCCCGCAATGACAGACGCTCCAATGTCAATCGATCATCTTCCTCGCTTTAAAGGGATGACTCGATGCTGGTCCTATTGGCTTGCGCTTTCACTAGCTGGCCCAGTCGTTTCTCCATGACCTGGCGGCCTTCCAGCGTGTGCCACACGTAGTGCGGCGCCTTGTTCACGACATCCCAGCTGACGAGCTTTCCCGTGATGCCGGTCAGATCTTTCTGCTTGTCCGCCCACTCCTCGTCTGTGCGGAACCTGATGCCCGAAGAGACCACCACCAGAGGAGTGTCGGTTGCCTGGATGGTGCGAGCTGACTTGACCTCATTGCGCGAGAAGGATGTTGCGACGAGGTTCTCCTGCAGCTTCGCCTTGAGGAGCTTGCCGCTCTGCATGGCCGCTTTTCCGTAGACTCGATCTTGCTTCGTCTGACCGCCAAAGATGGATCCCATAATGCGGCGTACGCCCAGTGGACTGATGACACCATAGCCCCAAAGGACGAATCCACGTCCTGGGGTGCCGATACGACCCAGAAGGTCCTCGTGCAGAGGCTCGATCATCATAATACCGACTACTTCACGGAAGTTGCGAGCGCTGAATATTCGAGACACAATGCTTCCGTACCCCGCCGACACAAGAATCCATGGACCTTCTTCGCCCTTGATAGCAAGTGCCTCTGCGAGGTTGTCTGCACTCATACCCGCGCTGTGGGGCGATGGTGCGTTGTCCGACCAAGCGTAGCCCGGTCGATCCCAGTAGCAGTATCTATCGATGGTGCCGTTCTGCAGAGACGCATAGAGCCAATGCTCGAAATCGTATTCGGCGGGATCTTCTGCTGATTCGAGAAGGATGGTGGGCGAGCGGTTGCCATGCTGATCGGTTGTCTTGTTCCCAATGCATGCCAGGTGAACTTCGTACTTATTGTCGTCAACTGGTATGCGATCGCCGTCCATGGCGAGGCCGGCGTCGAGACTTCGGATGACCAGAGTCATTGTCATAAGAACAGAGATGAGGATGAAGCCGACGAGAATGATGGTCGACGTGAGAACAGCCAGCCACTCCTTCAGAGTGCGGCGGGTCTCCGATCGACCCGTCAGACGCTCCTCTTCTTCTCGTTTACCCCAGGCGACTATGCGGTCGGTGAAGACACACCAGCCAGCTATCAATGTAGCCCAAACGACGCTGGCAATGCCTGGAGGCCCCTCTTCCCCGCGAATTCTCGGGACGGCCACGATGATGATCAGGTCGGCGAGCAAGACGATTCCCAAGATTCCCTGCGAGACGCGCATGGCCAAGCTTGGGGCGGCGAAGAAGAGCAGCGAGTTCAGCAAGATGCCAATGGTCAGAGATGAGTAGGCAAAGTCGAAGAATCCGGATCCGCGCGTGTGCAGACCTGGCGGGGAGACGAAGATGCTGACCAGGAGGAGTACCCACCACAGGAAGGTGATGGCGAGGAACAGCAAGGAGACGTAGCGCATGAAGCGGACGGTCCACAAGTTGTAGGGCGAGACGGCTGGATCGTCGGGGTCGAGGTATCCATCTGCGTGGGGAGGACGACGAGGGTGGGCGGGCAGCAGGCGGTCTCTCTCCGTCGGTTCCCTCATGGTCCTGCTGCTGGGTCTGCTGTCGGTCGAGTGTCGCTGGACGCCCTGCTCGTTGTTCTGCTCGTCGTCTACGTGGTCGTCGTCGTCCTTCTTCTTGGAACCCCACAGAGACATGTCTGCTACGCGACGGCGTCTCCTACACTGACGCTGTACCGGACCCTCTCTCTGCTCTGCTCTGCTCTGCTCTGCTCAGCTCTGCTCTGCTCTTCCCGCCTAGCTCTGCTCTTGCTAACTCCTGAGATATTAATGATGATGTGGTATGTCCGATGGGGGGATGCAGTGGACAGAATTAGGATTAGGATTAGGTAGGAATGGGATTAGGATTAGGATTAGGAGGCACATCTGTGGTCCGCGAGTGAGAGTGAGTAAAGCGACGTCACCTTTGTGGCACGAGCTTGGTGCTGCCGAGCGAACAATGACGCCTTGGAACCTTAAAACGAGGCCGAGAAAGGGAATAGAGTGACGGTGTCACATGTGATGGCTAGCCACTCCTCTCCCCATCTGGACCTATCCCTATGCGCTCCTCAACCTGTGCGCACATCCTCACCAATGAGATTACACTGGGCAAACCCTTCCCCGAGAGCTATCCATAGCTGTCTGTACGTCGGTGTTATTATTGTGGTGAGTACAAGCGGCGAGTGTATTATTGAGCTGCACTGTAACGAGTGCCCAGCCTCACCCGACACACCCTAGTACTCTTTGCTCTGCAGCCTCAGCCTGCCCTCGTGCTCTCGCTATAGTACAATGTTCGCGGCTGGCTTTTGCCCAATTCGCTGCGAACTTCAGGAGCTATTTCCTGTGCAAGACGGCAGTGCTCCTCTGCAATCATTTTGCTGATCTCCATTACCCCTCTCCTCTCCGCTGCTTGCACCCGCCATTCTCCTGCGCGCTCGCTGAATCGAAACCCGGTGACTTACCAGGCGTTCACGTCAAAGTACTCCTCGCCGAAGTAAGTCGCCACCACCGTTCGGTCCGAGAACTTTCTGCCCGCCAATGCCGCCAATGCTTTTGCTGCGCTCGCCGACTCCTCGTACTTAAGATAAATCTTACCTATGCCATTGTTTTGACGCGAGCCACCGGTTGGCCGCGGCATCTTCACCTCCAGCAACTTCCCGTACTTCGCCACCTCCTCCTTGACGTCCTCGAGAATTTCTGCCAAATCAGTCAGCTTCAGCCTTGAGTAGAAGACCTCGTACCTTACCGTCAGCCTCATCCGGGTCCATGAGCTCTTCAGGCGTGATCATGTTCATCAGACACAGCACACGTCCGTTCTCGCCCTCGTTCCGCGCCGTGCCAGCCACCATACTCAGAGCATTCACGCTGATCTCTCCGCTAACCTGCGAGATACCCACACTCGCAAGCTTCACCTTGATAGAAGTGCCGCCCAAGTCCATACCGTTGAGTCCCTCAACAGCCGTCTTGGTCACGCTCGAGTCTTTGTATTCGCAGAAAGCGATACCCTTGCTCTCTTGCGTCGTGGCATCCCGCACGTGCACCAACGCTTTCAATTCACCGAACGCGGTCATGAGTTCCATGAGCTGGTCCTCGTCAATGTAAGCGGGGAATATCACAGAAACCTTGTTCTGCGAGTCAGGAATGTAGTCAGAAAGGACTCCGCCCTCGTTCTCGCCGTCACTGGTCACGGCGGGGACAATGTAGTCGGATGGACGCTTGATCTGGAGTCCCTTGGCGGTATTTTCATTGCCATTAGTGACCATGGCGTTGGGTTCCATCTCGATGCCGTCAAATGCCAGGGCATTGGTGGCATCCTCGGGGGTCTTGAATTCGAGCAAAGCAAAGTCCTTCTCTTTGTTGATTTGGCCCGAGATGCAAGGATCGACGCCGCGGGTCACGTTCAGTCCGTTGAGTTGCAGGTTGAAGAAGTCGGCGAGGCTGTCATCGGTAGCCGTCGGAGGCAAGTTGGACACGAGAAGACGCTTGGACTGCCGAGCAGTGGACGGCTTGAGGGCCGATGTGTTGGCCTGGTTGCCTGGCTGGTCCATGAATGCTTTGAGTCGCGATGGATCCACGGGTTGTGCACGCGGTGCTCCTGGAAGAGGAAACAGCCCAGACAGCTTCGCCTGCTCTGCCGTGACATTTTCGTAGCCAGCGGGCCTGATGTCCCACTGAGTCAGACGGCGCTGGCGCTCAAGAACTGGGACGACATCAGTGAGGTCTGGAGTGGGTTCCTTGGGTTTGCGTGGAGGGGAAGCGCTCATGCGCGCGGCCTGGCGCTCGAGCTGGCGCATGTCATCGCGGTCGCGGCCCCGGTCGCCTCTGTCGGGGCGACGGTCGTGCTCGCGGCCATCACTCCGTGGTGGTCTCCTGTCTGCAAACAGATCTTCACGGTCTCGCCGGTCACGACGGCGGTCTCCATCGTCGTCTCTCCGAGCATCTCTGCGCGCGGAGCCACGGTCTCTGCCCCAGTCTCTACCACCATCGCGTCTTCCGCCGTATCTGTCCTCGCGCTCGCGCTCACGATAGTCCCGAGAGGAGGCGTAGCTGTCTACGTCTGGTCCATCACGGCGGGAGCGGTGATGCGGCGAGCGAGAGCGTCTCCGGTCGCGGCGATCGCCATCACGGTCCCGATCCCTACGGCGGTCGCGTGAGTCGTAGTCGCGAGAAGACTGCAGTCTCCCGTCAGACATGCTGAACTCTGCGCGTGTGCAAGCTCTTACGTAGGTGTCCTGCGAGAGTTGTCTGTTTGTTTCTACTTGGACTCCTCCGTTCGGTCTTGTGTAAGGGCTGAAGGTCGCGGAGCGGTGAGGGCGCTGGTAATTAGCGAGTAATTTGAAGCCGGCGGCGGGCGGCGCGCATCGACTCGTGAGAGGTGGAGGTGTAGGAGTGGAATTGGTCTGGAGGTGTATTGTACTCGAGAGAGCAACGTCGTTCTTCAGATTTGTTCGAGCGGGAGTTCGAGCTGTGCGGAGCGGGCCGCCCTTGAGCAGCATCCAATGAAGTTGAGGTTCCCAACTGGAACTTAGGATCCAACCTCATCTTCCAATCTACTCGTTATACTCTACTCTCTACCCTCTGCGTACCTCGCATGAAATTCGCATGAAATGGACCATCAGTTATGCGGGGTCGCGACCATGCCACAACGCTGCTGTTGCCAGAAACGGACCGGGACGCTCAATCAGAGGACCATTAATAACTGCCTCGATCTCTACCTCCGGGAAGACGCGTCCATTGAGGGCAACAACGGGACAAAGTACGATTCTGTGGCTTTCCAGATGGACTACAAGATTTTTGCGATTCAAGACTTATTAGGAGGAAGAATCGATCTCGGCTCTATTCGTACGGAATGAGCTTAGCCTTAGAGCTTGTTTTCTTAAGTCCTAAGTCCGAAGTCCGCCTGCCTTCTACTACCCGTACCGTACTGTAGAATCATTATCGTACTAGAGCTTCTACTATACCTTAGCTAATAGTAAGAGACTATTTTAGTACTAATCTACGTATAGCTAGCTAGTCTATTTACGTTAAGTAAGTAAGTAAGTAAGTAAGTAAGTAAGTAAGTAAGTAAGTAAGTAAGTAAGTAAGTATAATATTTATCTTAAACTTAGTTAGTATTACGTAATAGTAGAAGGATACGTCTTCTAGACGCGTCTATTATACTATAGCTTATATTAATAATAACTAACTACTTCTTTAAATAAATACTACTATTACTATAGAGATACTAGATCTAGCTTAGATTATATTTAACCTTTATTATAAAACTATCCTCTTAATTACCTCTAGTACTATTAATAGACTCGGCTATTTCTAGAGTAATTAGAGTAATTAGAGTAACTATATATATAATATTCTATTAGTATTAAGTCTATAACTTAATAATCTTATAATAACGTAGATAGCCCTTCGATATAAAGAGTTAGACCGTATACCTTAGAGCTAGTACTTACCTCTTAGAGTCTAGACTCTAGGTAGTAGCTTCTCCGATCCTTTACCTCTTTATAAACCTTTAGTCTTTATCTATTTAATTTACTTTCTTTTTATCTTACTTTCGCTTTAGTTATAATCTCTAGTAGTATACTAATAACGCCTTCTCCCGCTCGTCTACGATACGTTAACCTATATTACTATCTCCGCGTATTACTAGTTACGTACGCTTATTATAGCCGCCCTATCTCCTCTTAATTCTTAATCCTACGCTATAGGACCTACTTATTATAAACTCTCTCGTTATATCTCGATAGTACGTCCGAGAGGCTCTATTATAGTCTCGCTAGATAGCTATACTTCCGGCTACCTACCCCTCTTCTACTTCTACTATAGCGGTATAGCTAGCTTAGATATTAATCTTAACTAGATATAAAGTTTACGCTAGGCTATTAATAAGCTAGCGGTATTAGATTATCCGCGTTAGAAGATAATAGATAGTAAGGAAGATTATTAGTAGATCGTAAAGAGCGGGATAGGTAGTAAGATTACTAGATATTAGTAGTACGAACCCGCTAGTAGTAATTTATAGTATCGAAGGCCCTATAGTTATATTAGAAAATACTATACGACGCGAGTCTCTAGGTAGTAGTTTATAAGATATTAGTAGCGTACGTACGAACGCGGCGGCTACGGTATAGTATTTATTTAGTAGTATATACGCCGAGTATTTAAGGATAATAGTATCGAATCTTTCGAGCTTTACTTATAGTAGTAATAGTATTATACTTACCTTTTACTTCTTAGTATAGCTATATTATTTGTCTTCGCGTCTTATTATACGTAGACGTAATATTATACGAGTTATAAATACTTTCCTTACGCCTACGCTCGATAAGATAGTATTCTACGACTCTACTAAGTTAGATATAAAGAATTGCTAAAGAGAACTTATAGAGTTACTAAATCCTAAGTTCTATATTATTATACCTACTTTATCTTCCGCTTTAGTAACCTATTAGGGACTACTATTAAACTTAAATATAGAGACTCCTACGCTACTAGTAAAATTATAAGTAATAGGAGAGTCGCGTACGTTAGTCTCGCTCTTAACTCCGTTCTCTATATTATAACGTCTCTCGAGTATTATAAGAGTAACCGTACCTTCGCTAAGTCGGCCTACTAGAAGCGTAGCGTATCTAAGCTCTAGCTAAGTATCGCCTAGAGAGTAGATATTTAAAGAGGTATAAAGTAATATCGTTATCGTCGACGCTAGCTCTCCTAAAGAGGCTACTAAGAAAGAGTCTCGGGCTAAGCTTAGTAGTCGCTCTTCTAGTATTAGCGCGTATGTTCGCGAAAGTTTAGTTCTAGCGCTATCGCTAACGTAAAGTATTTCCCGAACCTACTACTCCCGGACCCTTCTATTCGATAGCGATAAGGACGATAAGAATACGGACTATAGTAGTAATAATAAGGATAATAAGAATAGCGACTATTATAAGGAGGAGAAAGATAATAACTTACCTTTTATTAATAATACTCTTAGTAACAATTATCGTAGTAATTACGCCGAACTATCGTACTTATTATATATAGCTTCCTAAGGTATTAACGTCCGCTTAGGACGCGAGGTTTAGAATACGGTACGCCTTCTAGACCTCTTACTTAAGATTAAATATATTTACTAACTTACGGTAGCTACTCTCTTACCTCGACGCTAGCGGGAGGAAACGGAAGTAGATACTAGAGGGCGCTAGTAGTAAGAGATAGAAGCGGACAATAGAGATAGATAATAGTATTTAAGTAGTTTCTACCTAGGAGGTAGATCGTATAATACGCGCTATATACGACTAACGTAGCTACTAGAACTTCTACCTAGTTAGATAGTAGAATACCTAGGAGCCTATAGAATACCTTAATAGCTACGCTAAAGACGCAATTATAGAATTTATATAAGTAGTAGAACCTTACGACTATAAGTCCTAGTAAGTAATAGGGTTTTATATAAGTAGATATTTACTTACGTACGATAACCTTACTTCCTAACTATCTCTACTATCTAATTACGATATATCTCGCCTATTCGTCTATATTATTATACTATAGTAGACTTATCTTAGCCGACTAGCTATCCGGATTAGAAGGCTAGATATACTATAATAAGGAAGCTACCTATTACGGATCGAAGTGGGAGCGAGGCTACTTCGAGAATTCCTAGCTAGTGAAATAGAAGAGAGACCCTACGCGTACAGCGAGGCACGTC